AATTCGCCATATGGACCAAGGTCGGGAACTTAACTCGGGATCAAAGCCCCTGTTTGATGTGCCTTCATATGCCACAGGACTTCATGGGCTTCCAAGGGGATTTGTTTCAGCTGCTGGCTGATTGGTTGGTAGGAAAACAGAATTCCAGGGCAACATGCATGTAGCCAGCTCTGCCAGGAACAGTTCTTGTGGAGCGTGACACACCCTGCCCACCAGACGTCTGAGCTGACTGTTGGGAGACTTCGCACAGGGGCCTCTGCATTTTGTAGTGTTCTTTGGTTTCATGTGCATTAACAGTCCCCCCATGGAATGGGTGACTGCGCTTGAGAAGAAAAATGCATCTGCCCTTTGTGTTTGATGGAATATATATATATATAAAATGAAATTTATACATAAATAAAATTTATTAAAATGTAAGTAAAATAATTAAAATATATTTACTGTTTGAAAGAGTGACAGAAGAGAGAAGGAGAGACAGAGATCTTCCAACTGCTGGTTCACTCCCCAAATAACCCCAACAGCCAGATCTGGGATAGGCTGAAGCCAGGTGCAAGGAACTCCACCCGGGTCTCCCACCTGGGTGGCAGGGGCCTAAGTACTTGGGCCATCTTCTGCTGCCTTCCAGGGCTATCAGCAGGGAGCTGGATAGAAAACAGCAGGATCTAAGACTTGAACCAGTGCTCCTATGTGAGTAGCAGTTTACCCCAGTATGCCACAACACTGACCCAGGAATTAATTACACTGATGATTTTTCTTACATTGATTTTCAGTTAAGCAACAGAATGACCAAAGGATGTAAGATAGGCTTGGTGTACATTGACTTTGTCAGAGGATATGTCTTAATGTAAACTTTTAATCATAAAGCTATTTGTTTAAAAAAATGTTTATTTTGAAGTTCCCTGCCAATATACTTTGGAAAAGCCTTCTAACATTGTTAAGATTTCGTTTAAGTTTCCCTTTACATCACACATATGTAATTTAACACAATTTTAATTAGTTCAGGCTGTTATAACAGAAATACCATAGATTAGGTGGCTTAAGTTTATTCCTTGCAGAAGTACACAGAAATGTATTCCTCACAGTTAGCTTAGGAAGTCTAAGATCAAGGTGCTGCTAGAGCTGGCAGAGGGCCAACTTCATGCCATCCATCCACATGACACAGAGCTCTGGTCTCCTTATTTCCTTATAAGAAATCTATCATGAGGACTCATGTAAACCCCGATGAAGGTGTAGGCTGCTGACTTGGGCCTGACCCAACCCCAGCTGTTGCAGGTATTGGGCAGTGAACCAGTGGATGGATGATTGATCTCTCTCTCCTCCCCCCATTTCTGGCATATATACACACATTATATATATATATATATATTTGTTCATTTACTTTTTAAAAATATTTTATTTATTTGAGAGGTAGAGTTAAAGACAGAAGGAGAAACAGAAAGGAAGGTCTTCCATCTGCTGCTCACTCCCCCAAATGATTGCAACAGCTAGAGCTGGGCTGATCCAAAGCCAGGAGCCAGGAGCTTTTTCCAGGTTTCCCACGCAGGTGCAGGGACCTAAGCACTTGGGCCACCTTCTTCTGCATTCCCAGGCCATAGCAGAGAGCTGGATCAGAATAGGAGCAGGTGGGATATGAACCAGTACCCATATGGGATGCCTGCGCTAGCCCCTATTCTTTTATTGTTTAGAGAGAGACACAGACACAGATATCTCCCATCCACTTGTTCTTTCTCAAAATGCTTACAGCTTGTTCTCTCCTGAATTTCCCACAATAGCTAGCGCTGGGCCAGGCTGAAGCCTGGAGCTCAGCAGGAAGTGGAATTGGAAGTGAAGTTGGAACTTAACCCAGGCACTTTGAAATGGGGTGCGGCTTTCTAAATTGCTATCACACACCTTATTAGATGAGAAGTCATTGGAAATTTTGAGCAGAGAAGTGATATGGTATACAGAACATTTCATAGGAACTTTGGCTGCTATGCTGAGAAATGCTTAATGGGCATGCAAAAGTAGAAGCAATGAGATCAAACAGGAGGCTTTTTTATCACCCAGTGGAATTAGTGGTGGCTTGGGTCAAGGTGACAACAGGAGAAGGAGGAAGTAGCTGGATTCTGGATTTGTTTTGAAGGAAGAATATATTGAATTCCTATTTCTGTGTAGCCAATCACTACAAACTCTATGACTTAACACACACTTGCCATTTGTCAGTGTCCAGAGGTCTGGGGTCTGCCATGGGTTAGCAAGGTTCTGTGTTTTGGTTGTCACCAGACTGCTTTCGAAGAGTTGAATGGGTTCTTGCTTTTACCTGGAGGCTCCGCTTGGGAAGAATCCACTTTCAAGCTCATGCAGACTGCCAGCAGAATTCATTGCCTTGAGGTCGTGGAACTCACAGGGGCATGCTTGTTCAAGTTCAGCAGGAAAAGCCTCTAGCTGTAGTCTGAGAGTCTTCTCTCTAAAAACACGTGATCATGGGAGTGACATCCCTCACCTTTGATGATTCTGTTGGTTGAAAGTGTCAAAAGTTTTGCTGGCACTCAAAGGGAAAGAACTTATGGATAGCAGGAGGCTGGGGATGACAGAGTCGGCGGAGAGAAAAAAGAGATCTTCCATCCTTTGGTTCCCTCCCGAATGCCTGCAACAGTCAAGGGCTGGGCCAGGCTGAAGTCAGGAGCCCAGAACTGCATGCAAATCTCCCACGTGACGGGGACTCGTGCACTTGAGCTGCCTCCCAGGATGTGCATTAGCAGGAAGGTGGACAGGAGTGGAACACGGGACTGAACCACAGGCTCTCTGGTATGGGATGCAGTCATCTTAAGTGGTGGCTTCACCACTGTGCCTCAATACTCACTCAAGATTTCAACTTTTTTTTTTGTATCCAGGTAAACTTATCTTTTTAATTCCATTTTTCCATGAACATTTTGAGTATCCTCAAAGAGATAACATTCATGAAGCATATTACCTCTAATTTTCCATCTATCAGTTTTCTTTACCATCCCATTCCTAATGTTGAACAAATAAGCTGTTTATAAAGTCATAGAATATGCAGGTTTTTCCTCTGCCATCAGCTATATTTTCTTCGAACTTCTCTGCTAGGTTACAGGGCAAGCTGTGTAGCTTTCAAAGTGCTCTTAGGGTTGTGTTAGGATTTATTTTTTTATTTGAAAGGCAGAGAGAGAAACAGAGAAAGAGAGAAAGATCTTCTATTTGCTGATTCACTCCCTAAATGGCAACAACAGCCAAGATTGGGCCAGGCTGTCGCTCCCCCTCTTCGTGGAGGAACGACACAGGACCCTGCGTTGTTCTTTCGTCGGCTCGGCCCTCCCCGGGTTTGCTGCTGGTTCTTCCCGGGTTGGCTACCATCCCTTCCACCTCCGTGGAAGGACGGTTCCCCCTGCCACTTTCCCCACTTCCGCGGGGGAGCGGCACACCGCCGGCCGGCTCTCTCGGGGGCTGCACAGGTGTTCCTTCAGATCGATGTTCCCTCAGATGTTCCCGGTGCCTGTTGTCTCTCTCCTCCTTTATAGTCCTCTTCCACCAATCCCAACTCTGCTACCCACATGCCGAGTACGCTGCTCTCCTCCAATCAGGAGCAGGTCCTACAGTTTATTGGTTGAACTGGAGGCAGCTGTGTAGAAGCTGGTTCTCCCTTCTCAGCGCCATATTGTGGGAGAGCAGATGCATAGAATAAGTCTTAATTCCAGTAACTTAGTCTAGTCCGAGTTGCTCCCCACACCAGGCCAAAGCCAGGAGCCTGGAACTTCACCTGGGTCTCTTACCTGGGAGGGTGGCAGGGTCTATGCATTTGGGCCACAATCCGTTGCTTTCCCAAGTGCGTTAGCAGGAAGCTGGGTCACAAGCAGAGCATCTGGGATAGTTTCCATGGTGAAGTCGTTGCCCTTGCAGGAGCTGAGGCGGTCAGGTTTGGCCACTGTAGTCAGTTTTTGCAGAGCCGCTGACACTCTTGCTTCTTCCTTCATGTGTTCAGCAAAGGCTTTGTCCATCTTCCTAGAACCATGGCATGTGCAGGCGGTGTGGAGTGGGCAGAGTCTGGCATGGGAAATGAGGGGTACCGGAGGTATTTTCGTACACTCTTTTGACAAACAATGATTTTGGTATCCACTGGTTATACAGAGAAACTTCCTGAAATCCTTAAAGTATGAGGCTTTGCTATAGGCAAAAGAAACTACCACGGATTCATAAAACATACTATGCATTTAAGGATGTATTGTGGTACATTTCACCTTGGATAAAATCTTTTCAGTTCTTCCAGAACAAAAAGAGTTATCATGAGGCTCTGTGTGATTAAAGTAGAAACAAAGGTTCCTTTATGAAGATTGAGTATGTAACAATGTAATTAGCATTGAGAATGGCAGCAGTGTGCGTACATATACCAAGCCATTAGCTATGTGCATTACAACCTTGTGCTCTCTTCCTAGTTTGTTCTATGTGTAAACTTGAGAGCTCACTTAGAAAAAATGTATTTTCTCCAGTTTCCACTCAAGTGTTTTTTAGGTGTCTACAATGCTCCATGAAGTCAGAATGGTGCCCCATGCGACAAATCATTAAGCTTATTTCTTAATTGGGATGTATCGATTTAGAATTAATCACGCTCTCAAACAGTGCACAAATAATCCTCTCAGCTGCCTGACGCCACTTAGATTATAGCCTCATTGAACAAGCGAGGAGAAAGCATTCGAGAGCTCGGCCACGTCCTCTGAACTCAGAGGACCCAGAGTGTACTCGGGCCACTGGACCACCGCACTGACTTCCTGCTCTGTCACGTCCAGTCCAGAAGCAGGGGCCCCAAGCAGGGCAGTGAAATGACTGCTTTGCCTTACAGATGGGCTCCGAGGTCAACTTAGTTGATTTGTTTTTAATTTAGCTGAAATTATAGGCTGGTTGTAAGATCCCTTTGTCAGGAGCAATCTTTTGAATAGCCGCACAAACCTTTGGTTTCTCTCTCTCTCTCTCCCTCTCTTTCCTCCCACCCCTTCTCCCATTTGCAGGATTAGGAAAGCTCTTGGGAGGCACATTAATCTGCCGGCGTTGTCAGGAGTGATCAGCGAGTTTTATTAAAAGCCCTGGGATTGCCTGAAAGGCCTCCTTGTCTGCGTCTGAAATGAAAGGGGTGTGCTAAGATCTCAGGGTGCATTGTGGGGACCCCTTGCCCTGCTCCTCGGGCTATGATCTGACACTGCAGGAGGAAGCGCCGAGGCCCCCCTGGTGGCCGGGATTTCACCAGTGGACGGAAACGAGTTGGCACCTGTCAGCATGAACCCTCTGAGCCGGGGTGGGCTGCATGTTTTGCTGCTGCTGCTGCTCCTGGGCTGGGCCAGCCCCACCTTCGTCAGTGTTAATCGCGGCCTGAGAGTGATGAAGGGCAGCTCGGCTTTCCTGTCAGCAGATGACCTGAAGCTCGCCGTCCCCAAAGAGAAGGATGCCTGCAAGGTGGAAGTGGTGATGAATGAGCCAATCACCCAGAGAGTGGGCACGCTCACTCCCCAGGTAGGTTGTAGCCAAGCGTTGCTCTTCAGAAGTGTGTGTGATGTGGGTCTGCAGCAGGGAAGGAGGACGAGAGAATGAGTATAAAATGGTCTCCCCTCAACCAATCACAGGTGAGTGTTGTAAGGTGTTCCCATTTGACAGGAGGCTTGTAATTAGCATTATTTTCTATGTGAGCTGAAACCTACTTTGGAACATTCTTGACTGATTTCACATGGTAAGCCTGCAGCAGTCAGGATTTACTCGTAATTACGTTAACATCTGTGGAAGAAGTGAAGTTCAAGCTGACATGGAAGCATGTATTTTTTAATGTACTATTTTAGCGAGTCTTTTCAATTTTTTTCTCTTTTATTGACAAGAACTCTTATGTATCTTTTAAAAATTATTATTTATATGAAAGACATTCAGACACTCACACAGAGAGGGAAAGAAAGAGACAGAGTGCTCATCAGCTGGTTTACTTCCTAAATGCTGGTGGTAGCTGGGGCTAGGCCTGGTGCCAGGAACTCTGTGCAGGTCTACATTGGTGGGAAGCTGGAGCCAGGAATCCCACCCTGGCACTCCTATGTTGGGATTCGGATTTCTTAATGTCTGGACTAAACCATTGTCCCAGGAATCCTGTATATTTTAATGGCTGCTAGAACTTATGGAGTAGCTTATCATCTGGGAAAACTTGTAAAAGGCATATGTATTTCTCATTTTAGGTACATTGCCACTCTATAAGATAGAAAGGGAACAAAATGGGCCGTTTCTCAGGAAATGGTGTGGGCAGTCACTTGTGTGATTTGGTCATTGGGTATTTCACTTGTTCAATATATTTAGAAAGGTTAGCATTCATTTAGAAGTATTTGGGTGTGCAGAAGAGGAGAAGCAAAATCTGTCTGTCTGGTGCTATGCAGCTTAGACCTGGAGTTTGCACACCCCACTGAGCAAAACAAAAGTCCTGCCTTTCCCCAGACTCTCCTCAAGAGAAGGTAGTTTGGAGATGATCTGTTGTGACCTAAGCCAGCCTCTGGGGTTATCCTCTCTTCATTGCAAATAGCCGGGCAGCTCTTAGCATATATGGCAATACTCTGAATAATGAAGTTGTGACTTCAGTGCATATTTTTAGTATGTTCAGCTTGTTTGGCCTGCTCTAAGGAGCATAAAGGGACCCAAGGGACAAGAAGTAGGTGAAAAACGTATTTGGTCATAAAGATTGAAGGTTGGAATAGCTCTCCACATGGTCTCTGTCTCAAACTTTCTCTTGTTTTAAGGCAGAAATCCAGTTAATAGGTTATATTGCTAGAAGACACCCCTAAGTACACTGATCCCCTAGTGAGCCACTGCTCATAGTCACAAAGTAGAATTGTGTTTTGAATGCTCAGTGCATGTATTTTGAGAGGTAAATATGACATTTCAAATGGGTTTATGTCATCTAAAGCAGACAAGTGATTTAATCTTCTAAAGCTTAGTCTGTGGTGAAAGTCTGTTAAAATGCGGAGTTTCATCACCCTTTTGCCAGATATTAGGATTTTATGTCATAGAGAATTCTGTGCAGTAGGGAAACTGTTTCTTGAACCACCAAGTGGCTGCTCCCATTTTTTTATTCTGTAAATTTGAACCAAAACAAGATTCTCAAGTATTTTCTTAAAAGACACACACACACACTCACACACACACACTCACACACTCACACAGCGTGGGGGTTGGGGTTGGGGGAGGGAAAGTGCTTCCATTTGCTGGTTCACTTTTCAAATTCCTGCAATTGCTGGGACTAGGCAGGCTGAAGCTGGGAACCTAGAACTCAATCCTGGTTGCCCACATGGGTGGCAAGGGGCCCCAAGTACTTGAACCATCACCGCTGCCTATGAATTAGTAGGAAGCCAGCGTCATGAGCCAGAGCCAAGTTTTGAACGCAGGTACTCCAAAGTGGGCATCTTAGCTGGTGTCTTTACTGGTATACGTACACCCTTCTTTTGTTTATATTTTATTTTATTTTTTTAATTTATGCTTGTTTTTTAACTCTGACTAGTTCACTCCTCCCTGGGGATTTATTTCTTATGGAGACTTTATACCCCAGTGAGCATGTGCATGCACACATATACATACACACACACAGCCTAAACATAAGAGCTTAATAGAAAGCCAGACGTATGTGAACCCATTTCTAGCAAGATGACTGTATTAACAACACCCTGCTGTGTAATGAACAGTTTCATTTGATTTGCACAGAAAATGTTTTGTTTAACATCTGTTCAATTAGTGCTTTCATTTCATTACTGAAGTTTGTCTTAGAACCAACAGGTTCATTTTCCTATTAGATATTTGGAAGGAATTTCGATTGGTGCACAGTTATCTACCTATTGTTTAGATAACCCTCTTGATAAAGTCAATTAGATGAGGTCAGTGGCAGTAATTTTTTCTCATGTTCTAGGACAAGAGTTCCTCACACAGCACTTCTTACACCTAACTTAAAGCAAGACATTTCCTGGAAGGAAAAACACCCAGCTTAATGCTGAGCTTGCTATTTTGAGTAGGAAATACAGCAGTGACAAAGTATCTCTAGTTTGAACCAGTTTACTGTCATTAAAGTGAGTAATGAGTTAAGAATGTGTGACAATTTAATTATAAATTGTAATTGAAAAGCAGTTGAAGTGGAAAAAAACAAAGCAAGACAGTAATTAGAAAAGGATTTAGCTCTCCTTTGTTTTAGTTAGTAAATTTATGGACAATTATGGTTGTCGCCTTTTATAAAAGGAAAACATATTACAAAACATAAAACAGATGTTTCTTTTAACAAAGCAGATTGTCTCTTTATTACCATGACTATTTGTTGATGATATGGGGAAGGTCTTTTCTTTATCTCTTTCCTAGTTGTCAATTAAAAGGAGGAACCAATGATATCTATGGGAAAAGAAAGCCATTTGTTTTAGTGATGAAGGCTTCTCGGGATGGATTATGTCTGAACATGTTTGAAGTTGTAAAAAGTACAGATAGAACATGTGACCTCGATAGTGATGATGTGTGACTACCTCAAGACTGCCTCCTATGGCTCTACCAAGTCACGATGGGCAGAATGAGGCCATGAGCTGGGTGGCAGAGAAGATTCTCCTTTTAAAAACCAGGGTTCCCAAACTATAAGAGCTATAAGAGCAAAAATTCTGAATGAGGTGATACAGTTCATTATAACTTTATTTGAAGAGAGGAAATTGCCTTCAGAATACTATTGATATCGTTGGTCATGTATGTTGTTATACAACTAACAGAAGCAACTGTTTGCAAGCGTAGGAGAAACACCTGTTGATCAGGGTTGACTCTGATCAACCACAATACTATCCATGTTCAGTGGCTCCATCTTTGAAAACATACATGTTACTTGAAAAAAAATATAAAGAAAAAATGCAGTGTATTTGTGGGTGGTTTAAGACATGCCTTTCCACACAGACACACTGACAGACTAACTCAATTGCTATGAATGCCTGTAGGCAGTAAATAAAATTTTAATAAATGGAACCATATTTTAAATGCACTATCCACTTTAAAAAACATAATTATTTAGAGAGACAGTCATACATTAATTTATTTGCTTGATATGCTTGGATTTTCATAATTTAGGTACTCTCTAAACAAGACCTAACTACATAAGCAGATGGAGAGTGAGCATGAAGAAAGAATAAAGGTGGTGACTACGCACACACGTACACACACACACAACTAGGGGATTGTAGTTTCTCCAGGAAGTCTTTTAATGATAGAAATGAGAAAACGAAACCTGGTACCAATTTCTCATAGACATTTCCCTTTCTTCATGCATGCAAACTAGGTTTTTGATTGCCATTTCCTTCCCAATGAAGTAAAGTATACACACAACGGCTGCCCACTTCTTGATGAAGACACAGTGAAGCTTAGACTTTACAGGTATGTGGCACAGGAGCATGGCTCAATTCTTGCTGGATGATCATTCTGTGTACTTCTTAGGGCTTCTTCTGTGGTTTTTACCATGAAGAGAATTAGTAGATTCTTAACAGGAAAGGAATCACTAGAAATTGGAGACTCATGTGGCTAAAACAAAGATTGCAGCCAACTTTCAATGATCTTCATTTGTAAGATCCTCTTTGGGAGCATTTCTGACAAGTTGTTAGATCTATTCTGTTTCCCTTTAGTGTTCTTGTACAGGTATGTCTGATATTCCAATCCACTGCTTATGATGAGAAAAATTATAAACTATAAATTCTAAGTGAGAATTAAGAATAAATACCTCAAAATTGAATGGGTCCTTTTTGATTATTACTTGCTTAGTTGTAAGAAATAAAATATCTTCCTCTTTAAAAAATTTTTGATTTGATTTGATGGAGAAAGTTGGAGGTGGGGAGATTGATTCATTCCCCCAAAGCCTGTAGGTAGTGACTGGGCTAGGGCTCAAGCATGGAGCCAGGAATTCAATCCAGGTCTCCCATGTGGGTGTCAGGAATCCAATAACTTGAGCCATCACTTGCTACCTCTCAAGGTCTGTATTAGAAGGAAATTGGAAGCAAAGAGTGGAGCCGGGCATCAAACCCTGGTACTTTGGTATGGAGTGCAGGCGCCTTAACTGGCATCCTAACTGGGGCCAAATGCCTACCCCTTCTCCATTTTTAAGTGCGTTAAGTCATGAAAATGTTTTAAAAGTCAATTATAAACTTAAAGCATGATTGTATGACCCAGCAGTTCTCCTGTTAGCTATATGTACAAGAGAAATAAAAACCTGTTTATAAAAGATTTTGTACATAGATGTGCATTGTAGCATTATTCATACTATCCAAGAAGTTGAACCAACCCAACTGATGAAAGGATAAACAAAATGTGTTATATCATACAATGGAATACCTTAAAAAGAAATGAAACATTCATTTTTGCTAACGCATGGTTGAACCTTGCAAGCATTATGTTAAGTGAAAGAAGCAAGATCAGAAATGTCACACTGTAGGCATCTATGAATATGAAGTGTTCAGAATGTGCAAATCCATAAAGACAGAAAGCAGACTAGTGATTGCCTGGTGCTCTGCACAGGGCATAAGAAACGGAGACGAGGAGACATGGTCGCTGATGCTGCAGAATAGCAAGTGCCGAAAGAGACAAGAACTGAATGCTGTGCTCGGAAATGAAGCATCACTCACAGATTTCTTATGCAGCTGTAAAATCAGCACACAGAGCTGTCTGATCTTGTCTGACTTTCACCTTAAAAACCAGACATCAATGAATTTACCTGGAAGGGCTGGAAAAAAGCTGATGAATTCTGGCTGCTCCCACTTCTTCTTAAGTTTTGAAGGGGCTCGGAGGTTGGAAGAGCATACATGGAGGGCAGCGTTAGAGGAGCCAGGAACTGGAGGAAGGTCTCAAACCCAGGTACTCCAAAATGAGACATGGGCATTTCAAACCACTAGGCCAAACGCCTGTCCCTTATTATAGATTTTTAAAGAGACCGAATGAGATGCTGCTGTAGAGTTTAGCAGAGTGCCTGGGCCATGATAAAAGCATATCCATTTGAAGCTGCATGGCTGATACACTCTCATTCCTCCTGAATTTTCTCCCTGCAGGAAGAATGACAGCCTCCCTCACTAAATCTGCAAATACCCTGAGAATGATGTCTCTAGAGGGCTGAAAGGAGTGGGAGTAATAGTGCCCAGACTAGATTTCAGTGACTACCCACATAGTGGTGTTTCTGATGAGCACACAACCTTGATGCCTCCAAAAGTCCTTAGCCATTACTCCTGTGTTAAAACTCAACCCACAGGGGCCAGCATTGTGGCCTAGTGGGTTAGGCTGTCTCCGACAATGTTGGCATCCCATATGGGCACTGGTTTGAGTCCCAGCTGCTACCTGCTAATATGCCTGGGAAAACAGTGGATGATGGCCCAAATGTTTGGGACCCTGCACCCAAAGATCTGGAAGAAGCTCCTGGCTTCACCCTGGCCCAACCTTGGCTGTTGTGGCCATTTGGGGAGTGAACCAGTGGATAGAAGATTAGAAGATTCTTTCTGGGACTGGCGCCGTCGCTCACTTGGTTAATCTTCTGCTTGCAGCACCGGCATCCCATCTGGGCGCTGGGTTCTAGTCCTAGTTGCTCCTCTTCCAGTCCAGCTCTCTGCTGTGACCCAGGAAGGCAGTGGAGGATGGCCCAGATGTTTGGGCTGCTGCACCCGCATGGGAGACCAGGAGAAACACCTGGCTCTGGCTTTAGATCGGCGCAGCACGCTGGCCGTAGCGGCCATCTGGGGAGTGAACCAACAGAAGGAAGACCTTTCTCTCTCTCTCTCACTAACTCTGCCTGTCAAAAAAAAAAAAAAAAAAAAAAAGATTCTCAGCCCTAAAGGCATTCGGATCTGGCTGAAAAGCCCATGAGAGTATTTCAGGCATGGAAAGCCAAGACACTCTGGCAAAAGATCTCTGCGAGTGAGATCCCAGTGGAAAGAACAGGTCTTCAAAGAAGGAGGTACCTTTCTCTGAAGGGAGGAGAGAACTTCCACTTTGACTATGACCTTGTCTAAACAAGATAAGAATTGGAGAACTCAGAGGGCTTCCATAGCCTTGGAAACTCATGACTGGAGCATAGGGAGACTACTGATGCCATAGACAGGAGTGTCAATTGGTAAAGTCAACAACAGGAGTCACTGTGCACTTACTCCTCATGTAGGATCTCTGTCCTTAATGTGCTGTACATTGTGATTTAATGTTACAACTAGTACTCAAACAATATATTTCACTTTGTGTTTCTATGGGGGTGCAAACTGTTGAAATCTTAATGTATACTAAACTGATCCTCTGTAAAAAAAAAAAAAAAGAAAAAAGAAATTATCAACTCCCAACTTGACTCTCACTGGGATTAAACATGACAATAGGTCTGATCTGATTTCATCATCATTTAAAAAAAATCATCTATTATTTTTCACTTTATGTTTCTGTGTGGGAGCAAACTGTTGAAATCTTTACTTAATGTATACTAAGCTGATCTTCTGTATATTAAGATAATCGAAAATGAATCTTGATGTGAATGGAAGGGGAGAGGGAGTGGGAAAGGGGAGGGTAGTGGGTGGGAGGGACGGTATGTGGGGGAAGCCATTGTAATCCATAAATCGTACTTTGGAAATTTATATTCATTAAATAAAAGTTAAAAAAAAAGATTCTTTCTCTTTTTCTTTCTCCCTTCCTTCCTTCCTTTCTCTTTCTTTCTCTCTCTCTCTCTTTCTTTTTCTCTCTTTCTCTCTCTCTCTTCTTTTAAATAAATCTTTAAAAAATAAATGAATATTAAGCTCAATCCATAAAGGCTTGACACTCTGTGCTACAAGTGAGACTGAGCTGTCAGCAATGATGAAATACCAGTGTGGGTGGCGAGTTTGAGAGCAAGTGTTCAAGGAAAGATGATTGAAGGAGGGAGTGACAGAAAAGGCACTCACATCAAAGTGAAGAAGAGAACAGGGAGGTTGGGAGCAGAGAGTTGAACCAGATGCTAACTTGACCCAGATTGTGTGAAGGGCAGGCTTCATGGGTGAGCATCGATGAACACACACCACACACCTGTGCTCTGCTCTCTCCACAGATTTACTGAAACAGACACCTTCACGGAAACCTTTATCCTGCGGGTCTACCTGCTGGAACCAGACTGTAACATCATCCGTATGAGTGGCAATGCACTGGAGGTGTCTGAATTCTACGGCTTGTCCCGAGCAATCGACAAGAACCTACTCAGATTTGAATATGACAGGATGGCTAGCTTGGAATGTACCATCAGGCTGGACCCTGTGAAGACTCGGTTGCCAGCACATGGCCAGATGGTTCTGGTGGAGTCTTGGCCAGAAGAACCCCGTGGAGATCAGCCACATGGTTTTTTCCCTGAGTCCCGTATGCTATCTATATCTATTATTGTTACTTGAGAGGCAGAGAGATAGAGAGAGAGCTCCCTTTTACTGGTTTGCTCTACAAATGCATGCAAAAACTGAGGCCAGGCCTGAGGCCAAAGCTGGGAGCTTGGAACACAATCCAGGTTTCTCACATAGCTGGCATGGACCCAATTACTTGAGCCATCACCAGTGCCGCCTGGGGTCTGCACTGGGGGGAAGTCTGAGTCAGGAGCTGGGGCTAGGACTCAAACCCAGGCACTCTGATGTGAGATACACAGGCACTCTAATGTGAGGTGTCCGAACTGCTAGGCTAAATGCCTGCTCCTTGTATTATATCTTTTAACACATATCTAAATGTTACAAAAACTGATAAAAGTATCTACAAATGGTTGTTTTACCCCCATGAAAGCGTCTACTTAACTGATACATTTTTTTTTCAGCTCATTGAAAAGTATGGTATAGTGGTTAAGAGCATGAACTTTGGAATCAGAAAGACCTGGATTTGAAAACTGCCTTTGCAATTCATTTTCTGTGCGATTTCAGTTATTCACCAATCTAAGTCTCTGCAGGATGGGAAAGGACAATGCGGCAGGAAAGGAGTAAATGAGACCACACGTACACACAATGCTTAATACTGCACCTGGCTCATAGGATATACAGTGATTGTCAGGTGGTATCTGTAACAAGAATCACAGCAATAGTAACTGTAGCTGGTGTATTTATTATTATTGGAGTATGAGGAGTTTTGAAGTAGAGCTAACTAGCAGCCATGATTTAAATCAGGGAGGGTTGATAATATGCCTTCTGTTATTTATTCAATCAGTATATTTGAGTACCACCTATTTGCAAAATAGTGTTTTGGGAACTATCAAAAGAAATGAAAGTGATAATCATAGTCATAATATCTTCACATAATACCTTGAATTTGGACAGAAGTTTACAGCTAAAAACACACTTAAACATAATCATCTCATTTTTGTCTTTCCAATCCTGAGGTTGAGAAAAAGAGTTATTTAAGTTTGTACATCAGGGAAATGAGATTCAAAAAATAAATGTCCTATATGAGTATCCGATGCCCATTAAGAATGAAAAATACAATTGGGGGGAGGCATGACCACTGCAGGGGAGACAATTAAGGTTTTCATTAAGTCAGGATAGGGTGCTCAAAGAATATGTGAGGGACATGTTAGTAGAAAAGACTAGCTGGGCCTGGAAGGAGATGTAGGATTTGAGTGTAAGCACACTGGGGAGGAGTTTCAGTGAGCATGGCAGTGGGTAGAGATGGTGTGATGCAGCTGAGAAAGCTGATGCTGTCAAGGAAGACTGGAGGGCCTGTGGAAGGCCTGCAGTGAGCCGGGCCTCCTCGTAAGAGATGCTCAACCACCAGAAAACGTACTCTGCTATTTATCTCAGTGCAGTGAGTGGAGGGTAAGGGCCTGATGAGACACAGGGCAACTGTTCTGTTTGTTTGTTTAAAGATTTATTTATTTTTTTGAAAGGATTACAGAAAGAGAGGGAGAGGTGGAGTGAGAGGGAGTTGGGGGGAGAGAGAGACCATCTCTCTGCAGGTTCGATTCCAGATGACTGCCATGGCTGGGGCTGAGCCAACCCAAAGCCAAGAGCCAGGGGCTGCTTCTGGATCTCCCACATGGTGGCAGGGGCCCAGGCACCTTCCAGACCGTTAACAGGTAGCTGGGTCTGAAGTGGGGCAGCTGGAACTCCTTGAACCAGCACCCATGTGGGATGCTGATGTTGCCCCAAACTGTTCTTTTATGTAAAGGAAATCAGAAGCTTCCAGAATAATGACATCCGATTCAGAGAATGACTGGAGGAGACACAGGAGGATTCCTGGGGAATCAGTGTCCAGGGGAGGGTGGATTGGTTTTAAATTTTAGAGCCAGTATACTTGGGTGACTGTATTTATCCAGTGCTGTACATCCTAGGTCTGGGGACAGAACTGAAGTGTCCAGGTGGCCGCTGTGCCCTGGGGCTGAAGAAAATAGGAAGTCTCAGCGTGAGCTGTGAGGAGTTCCTGCTGATGGGGCTTCGCTATCACCATACAGCTCCCCCTTCGCCCAACGTTGACTACATCTCCATCCAGCTGCACCTCACAGACAGCAGGAGTAAAATCGTGTACAAGGTAGGGTTTGGGGTCATGTCAATGTCCCCAGCTGATTCAAAGTGAGAGAACCAGTCCCAAGGGGGTGCCTGTGCTGGCGCCCGTGTCAGGGACCGTCCTGTGCTACTGCAGGTGGAACTGTCAGGTGACTCATGGGAACTGCAGGCATCTTTGCTCTGTCAATAAGGGCTTAAAGCAGCAGCTCTTGTCTGTAATGTGAGTGAATAGCTTTCCTCCTCTGCTCTTCTGGCTCTTCATCACCAACGCAACCTGGGAAGGACTAGGCTACCCCTCTTCCCTCTTGAGCCCCAGGACTCATCAGCTTGTCACTGACCTCTGGTAACACCCCGCTGATGCCTTTTTCCCTTCTCGAAACCAGGGGGTCCATGCTGGGAGGGAGGCCACAGGAAGCTAGGAGGGAAGGGATATTCAGTCCCATTTTTATGGTTGTGCAGAAGAAATCATTTTCACCCATGCAGGCTTTGGGATGGAGGGCTGGGTCAGGCAGGTGACAGGCTGCTGCCAAAGGCCTCCCCCATCTTCCAGTTTCTTTGAAACTTCCTCATTCTTCCTCCTCTGGAGATCTTCATACCCAAATGATGACAGGAAGTGAAATGCATTTGTATGAGGTATTTAATGCGTTACTCTCTTAATTCACACATTCTATAATTTACTTGGGAAATTGGGGCCAACTGTAGACCTGCTGAAATGGTTCACATTTTGTGCTTGACATGAGATGATCCAGGAGGACTTGTGGAGGGACCTCTCTCACAATCTGGTTTCTCGACTAGGATTTCTCCCAGGAGTCCAGTCAAATAATGACTTTTTACCCCAGGCACTGGTAAGATGAGGAGTGAGAAAGAAACAACACAACAGGATCATAGAATTTTAGAATGGAGACCTGGGATAAAACTTCCAGTGTGGTCAAATTGATCAGGTAAATCACTTGGAAAGCTTTTTTTTTTTTTTTGACAGGCAGAGTGGACAGTGAGAGAGACAGAGAGAAAGGTCTTCCTTTTGCCATTGGTTCACCCTTCAATGGCTGCCGCGGCCAGCGCATTGCACTGATCCGAAGCCAGGAGCCAGGTGCTTTTCCTGGTCTCCCATGAGGTGTAGGGCCCAAGCACTTGGGCCATCCTCCACTGCACTCCCTGGCCACAGCAGAGAGCTGGCCTGGAAGAGGGGCAACCGGGACAGAATCCGGTGCCCCGACCGGGACTAGAACCTGGTGTGCCGGCGCCGCAAGGCGGAGGATTAGCCTAGTGAGCCGCGGTGCCGGCCGGAAAGCTTTTTAAATGTTAACAGTTAAGGGCATGCACACTGGTCCCAGATTGCTTGGGCTCATACATCTCCATAACTAGCTTTGTGACTTTGAGCTTTAATGTCTCATTTTATTCATCTTGAAATGGGGATAATAGTATTCACTTCATAGAATGAGAGGATTGGAGACAATGTGTATAAAGTGCTTGACAAAAAGACTGGCACATCATAAGCATCCACGTATTTTGCTGGCTCAAAAGTCACCTAGTGAAAAACTGATATGGGACAGGTTTGTGATTGCTTTGACTAAGTCTCTTGTTTATAAGTGGTGGCATAGAGAAATGAGGCCCCCTGCCCAAACATACTCAGGTGTTTTATAGCTGGGGCAGGGCTAAAATTCCAGGTACACTGATTATTAGTACATATTTTCTGCTTGTTTTGACATGAACCTTCTATCACTTTTAATGATTTTTTTTTCATTAAAAAATTGAGCCATTTAGTTTTCTGATTTTTTTGTTTTGTTTTGTTTTGACAGGCAGAGTGGATAGTGAGAGACAGAGAGAAAGGTCTTCCTTTGCCGTTGGTTCACCCTCCAATGGCCGCCACGGCTGGCGCGCTGTGGCAGGTGCACCGTGCTGATCCGATGGCAGAAGCCAGGTACTTCTCCTGGTCTCCCATGGGGTGCAGGGCCCAAGCACTTTGGCCATCCTCCACTGCACTCCCTGGCCACAGCAGAGAGCTGGCCTGGAAGAGGGGCAACCGGGACAGAATCTGGCGCCCCGACTGGAACTAGAACCCGGTGTGCTGGCGCCGCAAGGCAGAGGATTAGCCTAGTGAGCCATGGTGCTGGCCTGATTTTCTTTTTTTCCTGACTACTTTGTTAGGGCACTCTTTGTATTTTTAGATCTGTTGCATTGGGAGGTTGCTCCTTTAAATGTCCTTCTTGCCTAATTTATCATTCACCCATTCTGCAGTCAATTTGGCATATCATAAACAGACCCATTTGTGGACATAAAAGTAATATGTTTACTGCAGGTAATAGGGGGGACTTTAAAAACACAGACAGCAAAATAAGAGGAAATAAAACTTAACTGTATTTCTATCCTTTTTATGTACACACAAAGACAGTGGGAGGACACACACTAGAGTTGGTTTTGTTTTATGGAATTCAGTTGACATTATATATGAAGCATTTGTACTCATCCCTTTATTACTTTTATGGTTGTACAGTCCATCCTCATTGTATGACTGAATGACATTTTCCCATCATTTCTTATGAATTTTTGAAGGTCTTTTCTTTTATGTGTACCTTTGTTAATTCACCTAGACCAAATTTTGTTGTGCATTGAAGTATGTGAAACAATTATTTTCCAAGTAGCCCAAATTTTCCACACTATCTGTTGAACAAGTAACTTGGTTCCCATCGATTTTAGATGATTCTTCTATTGTGTAGAAAGGTACGGGTACAAGGTCTGCTGTTTCAGGGCTCGCTCTTTTGTTCCCTATACTTGTGCCAGTACCATATCTGTTGTTCGAAATTTAATATATCTATACTCTTTCATGTCTTCTAGACACGTTCTTCCTCACTAGTCTGATTCAATTTTTTTTCTTCCAAAATTTTCATAGTCATTCTCCCTATTCTTGTTTCTGGATAAATAGTTAAATCATTTGTATTAGTTTTTTTTTAAACCAAAGATGTTTAACAATATTGGATTAGAACCATAGATTATTTTGGGGAAGAATTGAAATATCAGAACATTAGAAATGAGGCACCTTCCTTCATCTGGGCAAATTCTCTTTCATGTGCTTCTCTAAAGATTAAAGTTTTCTTCATGTAAATTGAGCACATTTATTAAGTCCGTCCAGTTTGTTTTTGCAAAAATAGAATCCTTTTCACCCGTTATATGTTCTCATTGGTTATTGATGATAAACATGAAAGCTAATTTTTGGTGTAATTTTCTTTTTCTGGCTTCTTTCCTGAATCCAGTTATTTTAAGAAATTTTCAATTCTTTGGGCTTTTAAAGACCATAATTATATCATTCACTAATGATGATAATTGTGTCTTTTCTTTTTCTATAATTATTCCTCTTATTTCGGCACTATTTCCCATTGGTTTGGGCAGAACAGTATTAAATATAAGGTTTACAAGAGTCATTGTCTTGTATGTTTGATCAATATCAACTGTCCATGTTGTCCTTTTTAATGAACTCATCTTGAGTTCATCTTTGTTTGAAACTAATATGACCATTCTGTTTTTTTCCTTACATGATAAATGTGGATCATCCTTTTACTTTTAATCTTTTTATGTAGTTTTAAGGATCTTTTCTGTAAGGTACATGCAATGGATATTTTCATTGAATTTCAGAGTATTTGTCTATATTTGTAGGTATACCCAGGATTTTCTGTGGTCATTTTATGCTTTCTTGCTAATTAAAATATTTTTTCTTATAAAATATGTTATTTTCTTTGTCTTTATCTTACTTGAAATTATTTTATCTTATTGGGTTTAATTTTAATGGATTTTTTAAAAGCTATTCTTTTAAAAATAATTATTGGGGCCACCAGCAAGTTAAAGCCCCAGCCTGTGGTGCTGGCATCCCATATGGGCACTGGTTTGAGTCCCGGCTGCTCCACTTCCAATCCAGCTCACTGCTAATGTGCCTGGGAAAGCAGTGGAGGATTGCCCTAGCACTAGGGCCCCTGCACCCACGTGGACCCACCTGACAGACCCAGAAGCTTCTGGCTCCCAGATTGGCTCAGCTCTGGCTGTTGTGGCCATTTGGGGAGTGAGCCAATGGATAGAAGACCTCTCTCTCTCTCTCTCTCTCTCTGTGTGTGTGTGTGTGTGTGTGTGTGTGTCTGCGTACATCTCTCTGTAACTCTTTCAAATAAATAAAATAAACATTTTAAAAATTATCTATTTGAAAAGCAGAGAGATTCCATCTATCTGATGACCCCCAAGATGGCCACAATAGCCAGCAGCCAGGCAGAAACCAGGAGCTGGTAACTCCATCCTGATCTTCCATGTTGGTGGCAGGGACCCAAGCACCTAGATCACCTTCTGCTGCCTTCCTGAGTGCATCAACAGGAAGCTGGATGTGAAATGGAGCACCAGGGGCTCAAACTGGCACTCTGATACAGGACGTTTGTGTCACAAAGCTGCTTAACTAGCTGCACCACAATGATGGCCCCTATCTTATTTGGATTGAATTTCACATTTTGAAAAACTATTCTTTATATGTGTAGTTCACAAAATCCAATGAAGTCCCCAGGCTGCTACCTATGCACAAAATGAGGATTGATCCGATTGGTCCTTTCTCTGGGAACTGCCTACCCTCTAGAGTCCTAGCATAGGATTTTTATACCTTATTAGTTCTTGTATCATCCATCTTCTATGTAAGTGCTTCTGATGTGTGTATCTGTTTAATTAACATGTTCAAAATAACATGTTTATTTAGACTTAACTCTAGAATTGGTCTCAGTGTTCAGTTCTAGTCATTCTAAATCGTGACTTGCCATTTCTTGAGTTTTCAAATCATGGGTCTCCAAATAATTTTCTTCCAGTGGCACATGGAGAGTAGACATTGTAAGCCCTGGAGTGCCTTAGTATGTCATTCAGTGACCTTCATCTGCCATGCAGTGAGAAGAGGAGGTGTGGATTATCTTCTCTTGCTCTTCTCTCTTCTCCCAAGTTTTTCTGGCTCATTTCAGGCTGGTGCAGGGATGGTTTGGGGCGAGTGTTGGAAAGAGAGGTCTTATTTGATCAGGCACTGATAGATGGCTTCTTTGTCTCAGGGTAATTTTCATGGGGCCTTTCAATCACAGCTCTCTCATCTTCAGAGGATGCGTTTCCTCTGAATGCGTGGTCACTGCATTCCCTTCAGTAGCCCCAAGGATATGATTTCCATCTACAGTTTCTTTACTACTGCGGTTTTTTTTTCCTTCTCAAAGAAAGATAATCCCTTAAATGTTAGGGTCCAGGATGACCCCTCCACCCCACAAAAAATAAAGCTACCCTACTTGGCCCATATCTGGAAGCACTTACGGGTCCCCTGTGCTGCAAACAAAGACAGTTGGATCTAGCCGAGCCACTGCTACTCTTCTGCTTCCGGCTACTGCACTTCCTCAGGTATGAGCCCAGAGCCAGTCTTCTGGGTGCACCACCTGTAGGAAGCTCAGTTTAAGGCCGAGCTCAAGGAAGCTGCTCTCCTGACATCTGAGAAGGGAATTCGCACTGTCCCACACTTCCTGCTTTGTGGGGTGTGCAGTATTGGGGTCTGGGAAATGACTCAGCACCGCACCCCTTTCTCCCAATTTCTCTCTTACTTCTCCCAAACTTTTCATATTCTTATAGTTCTAGACAATTTGTGTTGTAAGTTTTGCACGTAGTTTCTGTCTCACATTTATATTAAAATCTAATGTCTCTTTATTGGAAATTCAGTTGAGACGGAACCAAGAAGAATTCCATTTTTAACATTCTGTTAGATACAGATGACGACTTCCTAGGCTAATATCCAATGTTCAGCAGTATTGCACTAAAGTGACCTTGATCATTGAGACTGGTACTATTTTAAGATTTATGTATTTGAAAGGCAGAGTTACAGAGAAAGGGGGAGGGACAGACACAGAAAGAGATCTTCCATTTGCTGGGCCAATTGAAAGCCAGGATCTAGGAGTTTCATCTGGTTCTGCCACATGGGTACAGGGGCCCAAGTACTTGCACCATCTTCTGCTGATTTCCCAGGCACATTAGCAGGGAGCTGGATAGGAAGTGGGGCAGCTGGGATGCTGGTGCTGCAAATGGCAGTTTAACCTGCTGTGTCACAGGGTCAGTCCTGAACCTGGCACTCTTACAAACAGGGTACATCAAACTCTGTGACAGCCAGAATCTGCTGCTATGAGAATTCTCACACATAGCACTTGTTGACAACTCAGGTCCATGGTGCACTGTCACAGTTTCTTTGTAAAGTCTCTTATTCACAGCTGTCTCATTTTGGATGGATGCTTTTCTAGCCTGAGTGGTCGCTTGCAATCCCCAACATCTACCTTTGGCTTGGAGACCCAAGATCTTAAGTAACCAACCAGTTGAGCAGACCTCCCTTAACCCCTGAGTCCTGAGTTATGTTTTTCCATTGCCCTTCCCCAGCTGCCAGCATTAACACCACTTGGCAGGAGATGGCCAAGGTGGCTGGGAGAGGCTGGCGATGCATGCCAAACACTGCAAAGTGCTTTACTTTGGCTATTTCATTTAGTGTTCACTTGATACTCAGGAGTCCGCTGTTCGTTTCCATTTACAGGTAGTAGGAAAACAAGTCTTGGGAGTTAAGTGACTTGTCTGAAGTCAGACAAATTAAAAGGGTAGAAGACAGACTCATAAACACCCTTGTTTCTGATGCCAAGATAGGTGCCCCCTTCTTGATGCTCTCTGCATATTACAGTCAGCTGGGGGCTCTAAAAAGATGAGCTGTTTGGTCCCCTCCTCAGAACAATTGAGTGCGAAGCTCTGCAGGTGGATGCTGGCTATTGGAACATGAAAGCTCCCCAGGTGATTCTAATGTGCAGGATTCGGCTCTCTGCAGGGCACATCCTCCGGGCTGTGGCTTGATTACACAGCATGCTATGAACTCTCTAACTTGCAGCTTCTCTCTTGTTATTCCCCCTTTGTATTTGCTTTCTCCTTCACAAGTCAGAGAACGTGTGGTTACCCGTCTATATCAGAGCTGGCATCCCAAATCAGATTCCAAGGGCTGCATTCATGGCCACGTTCATCCTGGAAGTGGATCAGTTCATCCTGACCTCTTTGACTACATCGGTTGTGGACTGTGAAGAGGATGAGACCCCCAAGCCCTTGCTGGTGTTCAACGTCACCAAAGCCCCACTCCAGGGCTATGTGACTCACCTGTTGGACCACACCAAACCCATCTCCTCATTCACCTGGAGAGACCTCAGTGACATGCAGGTTGCCTACCAGCCTCCAAACAGCAGCCATCCTGAGAGGAGACACTACGAGGTAAGAAGGAAGAAGGGCAGAGCTTCTAGCCTTGCTGGTGTTCCCACAGTCATTTAACACTCGTCATCTGTTAGCCTTCCGGTTTGGCTGAATGTCCCTTGCCACGGAAGGCAATCACTGAAAATCAGGATGCAAACTAATGTCCAGAGGAGCCAGGCAGGTGGTGCAAATATGCAGCCTGCTTGGAGGGACACTGACACGGCAATAGAAAGGCGAGCCAGGAAATGGCTGCACCTCAGCCCCCCCACTACTTGCTGCCATGCCAGCAAACACATGACCCAGGCTGGCCATGGTGCTCACTTGTCACCTTGTCAAGAGAAGTGGGAAATTTTTGTTTTTGTTTTAAATAAAAGATTTATTTATTTCACTCCTCAAATGCTCACGACAGCCAAGAATAGGCCAGGCTGAAGCCAGAACTCAGGGGCTCCATCCAGATCTCCCATGTGTGTGGCAGGGTCCCATGCACTTGAACAATCATCTGTTGCCTCCCAGGAGCATTTAGCAGGAAGCTGAACTAGAAGCCCCGAGTATCTGGGGCCATGAACCAGGCATCCCATCCAATATGGGATGTGGATGTTGCAAGCTGAGGCTCAACCCACTGTGCCACAAGCCCTGCCCCTAATTTTTAAAAAAAAGATTTTCATTTTTTAGGTATAGAAAAAATAATTTAAAAAATTCAAGACAGCTGCAAAAATACTTCTGAGGTCTGCATTCAGCCCAGTTTGCAAGTTCTGCTGTCCTTCAACAAATTGTCTAACATACACCATTGGGGTTAGAGGTTTTTTTTTTGTTTGTTTTGTATTTTACAGTTCTTTTAGTAAGTTTTTGTTCTCTCCTGTGTGTGTTTTTATGGGGTTCTTAATTTTAGCTAATAATAAGTCAGGATAGGAGAGTTCGTGATAGAATATATAATGGGTGAAAAGTCCTGCTTCCATCAGATCTAAATTCCTTTGGTTGCAGGTTCAGTCTCTCTGCTCTTGTTTTGCATCCAGTGGGAGTGGAGAACAGCTGGTCACAGCCTTGCCCGCAATAATGCCTCCCATACTTAGACCTACCAGCAAGTTGATTCAAACAGGAAGGGGAATTTAAATGAGCAGATTGGTGCAGACTCTGGGTTTATTGAGGAAAATGAGTGTCGCTGGGGTTAGCAAATTGTCCTCCCTGTAATTTTGGCATTTTCAGCATTTAGCCTCCAGGGCAGCTGAAAGACTTCAGACTATAAATGTGGGGCTGTGCCTTTTGCTTTCATTAGCTTCCCTTTGTAGTTGTGGCAGCTGGTTTTTCTTTCCTTCCCTCGCCTCCCGGGACTTCCCACACATCCACTTTTACCTTGAGCTCACAAATAAAGCACCATTCTTCTGTGTGCTCTCAGAGTGTCTTCTCTGGTGTTTTATAATGCAAATTTTTTTTTTTTAAAAACTTTTACTTAATAAATATAAATTTGAAAGCACAACTTTTGGATTGTAGTGGTTTTCCCCCCATAACCACCCTCCAACCTGCAAACCAACCTATCTCCTACTCCCTCTCCCATCCTATTCTTCATTTTTTTAAAAGATTTATTTATTTATTTTTTAAGGTATATTTATTTACTTGAAAGTCAGAATTACACACAGAGAGAGAAGGAGAGGCAGAGAAAGAAAGAGGTCTTCCATCGGATGGTTCACTCCCCAGTTGACCGCAACGGCCAGAACTGTGCCGATCCGAAGCCAGGAGCCAGGAGCTTCTTCTGGGCTTCCCTCGCAGGTGAAGGGCCCAAGCACTTGGACCATCCTCCATTGTTTTCCCAGGCCTCAGCAGAGAGCTGGATCGGAAGTGGAGCAACCGGGACTAGAACCGTTGCCCATATGAGATGCCAGCGCTTCAGGCCAGGGCATTAACCCACTGTGCCACAGCGCCGACCCCCCCCCCCATCCTATTCTTCATTAAGATTCACTTTTAATTATCTTTATGTACAGAAGATCATCTTAGTATATGCTAAGTAAAAATTTCATCAGATTGCACCCATGCAGACACACAAAGTATAAAGTACTGTTTGAGTACTAGTTATACCATTAATTCACATAGTACAATACATTAAGGACAGAGATCCTACATAGGGAGTAAGTGCACAGTGACTCCTGTTGTTGATTTAACAATTGACACTCTTGTTTATGGCATCAGTAATCACCCGAAGTTCTTGTTATGAGCTGCAGAATCAGTATGGATGGGTGATTTTTTTGTTGTTGGAAGCTAACTCTTAATATTCTCAGTAGAGATCATGCATGGCTCAGATTGTGGGCTGAAAGCCCTGATGCAGAGCCCAGCCTGATGCTTGTTTATGGTATACTTTCCCCAAAAGACCTTCTGCCCTTGTCTAGTTTCATTTTGAGTCTGTTGCTTTGGCACCCTTGAACCTTCTTTTTGTTACTCAGTATTTGCTGATATACTTCTCTTATTGTCTTAAAAAATCACACATTATTTTTTTAAAAAAGATTTATTTATGTATTTGAAAGCCAGAATTATACAGAGAGAGGAGAGGCAGAGAGAGAGAGGTCTTCCATCTACTGGTTTACTCCCCAATCAGCTGCAATGGCCAGAGCTGTGCCGATCCGAAGTCAGGAGCCAAGCGCCTCCTCTGGGTCTTCCACGTGGGTGCAGGGGCCCAAGGACTTGGGCCATTCTCTTACTGCTTTCCTAGGCCATAGCGGAGAGCTGGATCGGAAGAAGAGCAGCAGGGACTAGAACCAGCACCCATATGGGATGTCGGCGCTTCAGGCCAGGGTGTTAACCCACTGCACCACAGCGCCGGCCCCACATTATTTCTTAAAAAGATTTATTTACTTGAAAGCCAAAGTTGGGGGAAGGGAGAGAGATCTTTCATCTGCTAGTTTACTCCCCAAATGGCCACAACTCCTGGGCTAGACCAAAGTGAGGAATCAGGAGTTGTTCTGGGTCTCCTATGTGGGTGCAGGGGCCCAAACACTTGGGCCATCCCAAGTGCATTAGCAGGGAGCTGGATCAGAAGTGGAGCAGCAGGGATTCCAACCAGCATCTATATATGGGATACCAGTGTTGCAGGTGGTAGCTTAACCCACTATACCACAATGCCAGCCCCCAAATTATACATTATTTGAAAGAAGGCAGTGAACCTGGTATTTCTGTTATACCTGGTCCTTCTCATGTCAGTCTCTGGTGCAGAACACACAAAACATATAACAAAGCTCAAACTTATCATGTAGCTCCTAAAGAAGTTATAGATTTCTTAAGACCAAATAAAATCTAGATATTTAAAAACACATCTAGTGTAATGGATGCCTCTTGATCTGAGATTCCTAATAGCAGCACCACTGATCCTTTGGGTCAGTAATTCTTTATTGTTGGGGATTGTGCTATGCACAGGAGGATGTTAGCATTCCTTGGCCTGTAGGCGTTACATGACAGTAACATACCACACCCATTTGTGAAACCAAAAACGTCTTCCAACATTCTCAGCGCCCCCTGGAGGGACAAAGTCACCGCAGCTGAGATGCACTGCCTCAGAGTCCCTCCCTATGGGAGATGTGTGCCGCCTCAAGGGCACAGCCTCCTGAGCTCACACAGAGATCTTTCTTTAGCACAGGTGTTAATTTTAGACGAATACTTTTATGGAGAAGAAAATTTAAAAAATACTACTAAGCTAAGGAACTAGGTTAGGGCCTGTAAAAGTGACATTGGTTCTTCAAAAGTGATGAGATCTGAGGCCAGCAGAAACCTGAACCCATTTTTGCCTCTGTCTATGGGCATAGGACTTTCTACCCTAACTTGTCAGGTGCATCTGTTTGTTCACAGCTGGAGTTGGAGGTCTACGACTTCTTCTTTGGAAGGAGCACACCTATCACAGTCCACATCTCCATCAGAACTGCAGATACCAATGCCCCCCGAGTCTCCTGGAATACAGGTAAAGCTCAAAGCTCTGAGGGATTACAAGAAAGTAGATGGGTCAGGAGAGAGCAGTACATGAGACCACCGCATCCCAGATAGATTAAGGCTGTTAGAAAGCTGTTCTCCTTTTTTTTCCTTTCTGGTGGAGTGAGAAATTGGAATCCTTGATCTCTGTGTCCTGGTGTCAAGGTCTGGCTCTGTAGGAGATAAGCTAGAAGACACCTTTTAAGAAAGAAAAGGTCTCCTACTCGCCATTTAGGAGACTCAGGGAGGTAAATTCTAGAGCCCACTGTCCGATTTTTTTGTTGGGATGCATGGAAACCAAAACACATAGGTCAAAACTTAAAGTGCTTTAAAAAATAAAAGGCTTTGTGCTGCTTCACCATTATGAGTGGACTCATAATGAGAAGGATTATTTACATCAATTGCAAATGTGGAATATAAATGAAGTTTTTCCTTTCTTACCAATCGTTTCAACAGCATGCAAAATGTGCTTGTAGGTAGTAGTGGTAGGTTGTATTAAGGGGAAATATCTATGACTAATTTAAACCCTCAGGTGGCAGCTTAGCAAGTTGTCTCATGCATATGTGTCTATATGTGTGTGTGTGTATGCACATGTCTGTACTTGTACACATGTGAGGTTCAGCAGAGGATGGGGAGCATCAGTTGGTCAGCCTTGATATATAATTTTGGCTCCCTATTGCATTTTACCTCTGTGGTAGGGATAATGAGGAAAAAGAAGGCATTGGTAACCTAGGGTTTAGTAATCATCAGCCATCACATGGACTATTGCTAGAGTGTAGAGATGGGATAGCCTGTATGTATATTTGTAGTGTATGTCATTCAGGTTTGTTAAGGGAGCTCCAGATCTGATTTTCAGTACTTTGGATGTGAGAATCCTTTTTAAAATGAAAATTTGGAGAATATAAAGTAGAATTAAAGCCTTTTATTATTCTACCATAAAGATATAGCCACCTTTGATATTTTGCTACTTCCTCTGTTGTATCCCATGACATGTCCTGTGTTGTTGTGTGTTGTTATGGCTTCAAAACCCCTCCTACCTGCACAGAGATCTTTAATAGCTTGTCTTTCCTCCTTCTCTTCTTTGTACTTCCTTTATCCTGTCTCTCTCTCTCCTCTTCATTCCTATATTGTATGTCTTAGCCCATCTTCCCTAGAAAGCAGTTGTCCCAACCCTATCCTGAGAATCAGCGTAGGGGGAGAAGCAGGTGATAAGGTGACGTGGCTGGGCTGGTCCTAGCTTTACAGTAACATAAAGCAGCTTGTTCCACAGTGCCCACGTCTCCAGGGACGACATGGAGTCACTGTGTCTGGGAGGAGTTGAGGGTGGGTAGGGAAAGGTGAACAGTCTGGCAGTTCCTTCCCCTTTCCTGTCTTGAACTGGTTGGTTTGCCTCACTGGGGGTTACCTTCCCTCCTGTCCCGATTGTGTTACCTGGCTCCTCTTGGCAGTCATTGCACAAACTCCGTGGATCCCACAGGGTGAGACCTGACCAGTGACCCAGGGAGGTCATGTCACAGGGGCAGTCAAAGTAACCAACTGCATCAGAAGAAGAGGCAGAGTGATAGGAGGGCTTCACAGTTGTGGAGAGTGTGGGAAGCCTCATGGGGCTGTTCTAACTGGAAAGCCAGCAGATGGTCAAGGCCAGGGAGCAGGGAGAGCTGGTAGGTCCGAGGTCCACTGGTGGACTGTCTTTAGGTCTTATCAGCTTGATTCTTTAAAGAGCTCCGCTCCTTCTCGTGATTCCCTGCACCTGTTGGCTCCCAGTTTCCCTGGGTGATGGAAATGTCTGTTGATGCTACAGCTTCCAGGGCATTTAGTTCAGATCATGTATTCTTGTTCTGACCAGCAAGCAAATCTCTCTCCATAGTTTCCTGCAGCATGCTTGGTCTAAGGAGAAGGTTTTTATATCATTACAAAAGTCCCTTCCTTATTACAGTCTAAAGTAAATTACAATGCAAAGTGATTGGAAGTTCTTTGTCTATCACCATTAGACAACCCCCTGAAGCAGTGGCTCTGTATGTGTATATTTAAGCACCTGACATTTTCCATCCTCCAAGCTATGTGTGCTTTCACAGAGTGTATATGTGTATATATATATATGTAGGTATACACACACATGTATGACTCTTCTGCCCACTTAAAATACTGGCATGTAGCCTTTGAAAAATTCCATGTGGATATTTATGAACTAGAGATCACTGAGAAACATAACATCTTTTCTTTCCTTCACCAACCCAAATGCCCATCAACAGTAGACTGGATAAAGAAATTATGGGACATGTACTCTATCGAATACTATACAGCAGTCAAAAACAACGAAACCCGGTCATTTCTGTTGGACTTCTAAAGGGTCTCTTCTGAGGAACCAGGTGTCAGATTGGATTTAATCATAGTAAAAAAATTTAAAAACCTTATTTTAAAATAAATTTTAAAAAGTACGTGATTTTTAAAGTTTTACTGGGGTAAAGCTGCAGCCTGCAGTGCTGGTATCCTATATGGGCCGGGCTGGTTTAAGACCCAGCTGCTTCACTTCTGATCCAGCTCTCTGCTGTGGCCTGGGAAAGCAGTACAAGATGGCCCAAGTGCTTGGGCCCCTGCACCCACCTGGGAGACCTGGAAGAGGCTCCTGGATCCTGGCTTCGGATTGGTGCAGCTCTGCCTGTTGCGGCCAATTGGGGAGTGAACCAGAGGATGGAACATCTCTCTTTCTCCCACACTCTTTCTCTGCCTCTCCTCCTCTCTCTGTGTAACTCTGACTTTCAAATGAATAAAATAAATCTTTGAAAAAAGTTTTATTTATTATTTTTTGTTTATTTGAAAGGCAGAGACAAAGAGAGATATTCCATTGACTGCTTCACCTCCCAAATGCCTGCAACATCTGGGGCTGGGCCATGGGCCAGGTCAAGGCTAAGAGCCCAGACTCCTCCCAGGTCTCCCACTTGGTTAGGGACCCAAGTACTTCAGTCATCACCTGCTTCCTCTCAGGGAACGCATTAGCAGGAATCCTGAATCAGACGTGGAGCTGAGATCTGAACTCAGTCACTCTGGTATGGAGTGTGGGCATCCCAGTTGACTTCTTAACCACTATCCCAATGCTAGCCTTACAAACAAAACAAAACAAAAATTAAAAATAGAAGCTACATTCCGGTTTCTTGAAAAGCTTTTTTTTTCTTTAACTTTTGTTTGCTTATTTTATTTGAGTGAGAGAGAGCGAAAAACAGGGACAGAGAGACACTGGTTTACTCTGCAAATGCCTTCAATGCCTGAGGTTGGATCAGACTGAAATTAGGAGACCAGAACTCCATCTCCATCTCCCATATGAGTGGCAGGGATCCAAGTATTGAGCCATCACCTGCTATGTGCCGGGATACACATTAGCAGGAAGCTGGAATTGGGTGGAGCAGGGACTCAAACCCAGGCACTCTGATATGGGATGTTAGTGTCCCACATAGCGGCCTAACTGCTGTGTCAAACACCTGCTTCTTGGAAAACTTTTGAAGATAAAACTTACAGATTGTTTCATGAATAGACATCCATTAATCTTTTCTGTAAGCAGACATGTCGGCATGTAATAAAATGTTCCAAAATGCTCTTCTGTTTTCTGTTTTAGGACTTAATCTACTGGAGGGTCAGTCTCGGGCCATCACATGGGAACAGTTTCAGATTGTTGACAATGATGACATAAGTGCTGTCCGCTTAGTCACTGTTGATGGTCTACAGCATGGACGGCTTACATTAAGAGGTGAATGATCAACCTTTATAACCTAAGAAAAAACCCAAGAAGTATGTGGTTTTTTTGGTTTGATTTTTTTTTAAGATTTATGTATTTATTTGAAAGGCAGGGTAACAGAGGAAGAGGGAGAGACAGAAGGAGAAAGAGATCTTCCATCCACTGATTCATTCCCCATATGGCCACAACAATCAGGGCTGGGCCAGGCTGAAGCCAGGAGCCGAGAACCTCATCCCAGTCTCCCATGTGGTTGGCAGAGGCCCAAACACTTGAGCCATCTTCCACTCCTTTCCCAGGAACATTAGCAGGGACTGGATGAGAAGCAGGGCCAGCATCACAAGCAGCAGCCCAAGCTGTTATGCCACAGTACTAGGCCCAAAGTGTCTTCTTAAGAAACAAATGGTATTTAGCAATATATATGTGACATGTCTTGACCCTATTTCTAAGTGAGATTGTCATATTCAGAGAATCTGGAGATCTTGAAGCCATTGACTTTCATATTAGGCTCAAATCAATGTGTAACCCTTCATGGGTGCTGCTTCAAAGAAATAGAGAAATAAACTAAGAACCAGAAACACTTCGACTTTTTAATCCTTTAGAATGGTATTATTATGTTATTAGAGATAGTTGCCATCATTTAATAGAAATGAAATCATAATTATAAAGATGCCAGTTAACCAGGTAATAGCCCTAATAATAATATTCATACTTTATGATAAAATAATGTATTCCTTATAAAGAGCTTAGAGGATTTAATTCAAATCTCTTGGTTTGCCTACCTGTAAATCAGAAAGACACTTTTCATTTGTCATCTTTTGTGATGAGGGAATTCTGAAATCAAAAATAAAATGATGCATTCTCCTACTTCATGTAAGAGAAACCCAACCAAAGCAGCTTGAAAGTCAGTGTTGTTTTCTTCATGTCTTCAAGGCTGAAAGAGAGAGAAAGGGCAATGTAAGAAGTCATGGCATCTAAGCTTGCCCTTGAACAAGCATTTCCGTGTGAATGTCCTTCCCTGACTCCCACCTGTAACCTCTTAGCACAGCAACATCTGGGAAGCTGAGTATTTTCAAATGCTTGTATTGCCTTGCCGAGTAAAACTAGGGAGTGGCTATTGGGCAAGTCACTGGTTGAGTCCGTCACACTAGCATTTAATCGTTTGTTCTTCTGATGTCTGTTATACACCTGTAGGGTGTGAGGAGAGTGATGGGGATACCTGCCCAAGGAAGTGTGATGCTCTGTGGCTATGCATAAAATGAAGCAATGTTGATTAACACAGTGGAAGTGAAATGGGGAGGAGAGCCCATACTGTAATGCTGTTCTGGGATCAGAGGAGGTAGGGATACAGTACTGACATTAATGAAACCTGTACTTTGTGTCAGATACTGTGCAAACCCTTCAACATACTTTATCTCATTTGTTTCATGCTGACTTTATGAAGTGAGATGCTGTTATCGATATCATTTGAAAAATAATGGAATTGATACTTAGAGAAATTGATTTATATACATAGAAAATGGCAGAACTGGGATTTGGGCTCAGTCTGTTTGATATTAGTGCTCTAGTACTTGGACTTTAACGCGGTGATTGTTAAACTTTCCCATGCATTAGACTCTCCTGGAGGGTTTGTTAAAAACACAGAGGATGGTAAAACATAGATATTTGGTAAAACACAGATCAAAATTTCTGATATGGTAGGTCCAGAGTAAGGCCTGAGAACTTGAATTTCTAACAGTTTCCCAGACAATACTGCTGCTGCTGCTTCAAAACCAATCCTTTGGGATAGGTGTTTGGCCTAGTAGCTAAGAAGCATGCATTCCTATTTGGAATACGTGGGTTCAAGTCCCAGCTCAGCTTCCTGTTAATGTACATTCTGGGAGGCAGCATAAAATGGTTCTGGTAATTGTGTTACTGCCACCTACAAGAGAGACCTGGATTGAATTCCCAGCTCCAGGTTTTGTAGCTCTTGTGGACATCTGGGGTAGTAAAACAGCAGATGGAAGCTGTCATCTCTCCCTTTTTCTCTTTCTCTTCTCTGTCAAATAAAATACATACATACATATGTACATTCATACATACTGCAAGCATTTGGTGCAGTAGTTAAGATAAAACTTGGGATGTGCTGCATCCAATCAGGTTAGTTGAATTTGAATCTTGCCTTGGCTACATTTCTAATTCTGGTTTCTTGCTAAGGAGCACCCAAGGAGTGATAGGTAATCACTCAGGTACTTGGGTGGCTATCACCCATGTGGGAGACCTGGATTGAGCTCTGGGATACTGGTTTTGGGTGGGCCCAGCCCTTGACCAGCCCTGGCTATCACAGTTGCAGGTGTTTGGAAAGTGAATAAGCAAATGGATGCTATCTCTCTCTCCTCCTCTCTCTCTCTTTTAAATAAATAAGCCAAGATGAAAAGGAAGACAATCCTTCAGGAACTGCTTCCATGTAGTATGGTAGCAATGAATTGAAAAATAACCAGCATTTATTGGAGGCTGACTATTATTTAGATTCTCTCATCTCTGCTATGCAACATGAAGTAGACATTTGTATTGGAGTTTTCAGGGTTCTCCAGAGAAACAAAACCAACAGAGAAAAAATACACACATACACACACACACACACACACACACACACACGAAGAGATTTATGAGGATTGCCTTATGCGAGTGTGGAGGCTGGGAAGTCTGATACTGCTGGGGAACCAGGAAGCACAAGAAGGAGTTCTGTTCTGGTTGAGAACCTGGAGAGCTGAGGGTGTAACTCCCAGTCTGAAGTCAAAGGCAAAGGGTTAAGAGGAGAGGAAGCTAGTATGAGTTCTTGAATCCAGAAGCCCCCAAATCAGCAATTCCAATGTCTCGGGACAGAAGATAGATGCACCACCGCAAGAAGAGGGAGTTTTCCCCTCCTGGCCATTTTGTTCTGTTCAGGTCCACGGTGGTGGGGATGGGTCTTTCAGTGTGCTGAGTCATATGCTGATCTCTTCCAGAAATATCCTCCTCACAGAAGCACCCAGAAATAGTGTTTTCCCAGTGATCTGTATATCCCTGAGGCCAGTCATGTTGACATGTTAAGTTAACCATTGCGGTATTGTTAATCTTTTTTATAGCTGGATCTCAAATGAATTAAATGCCTTCCTAAGTCCACACAGCTAATAAATGTTAGAGGCAGTACTCAGCACCAGATGTGTGATGTTCCAGGGCCCTGTGGGCCATCCTCTGTTGTTCTGCAGGGCAGGTGGGGGCTGCACTATGTTCCCTGGCAATCTCCTGTGCTGATGCTGTCTTTGTAGTGGCTGTGTCAGTGCTCCCACATTCACTCTGCACCTGCTCTGCTCTCTCCGTCAGGGGGAAAGGCATTTCTCTTCACCGTGGCTGACCTGCAGGCTGGAGTTGTTCGCTATCACCATGATGACAGCGACTCCACCAAAGACTTTGTGGTCTTCAGGATATTTGATGGCCATCACAGCATCGGTCACAAGTTTCCTATCAACATCTTGCCCAAAGATGATAGTCCTCCGTTCCTCATAACCAATGTCGTGATTGAACTGGAAGAGGGGCAGACCATCCTGCTCCAGGGCTCCATGCTCAGAGCTTCAGACGTGGACTCCAGTGATGACTACATCTTCTTTAACATTACAACAGCCCCACAGGCTGGCGAGATCATGAAGAAGCCAGGGCCTGGTCTGATAGGTAAGCTCTGGGCCTGTAAGATTCATTTGGAGGAAACTGACTCTTCCATAGAGAAATTTCTGTGTACTCCTGTGGCTTTGCTGAATCATGCCTGCCTTTGTGCTAAGGTGGACATCAACGTTATGGAGTAAGATGCTATTACTATTGCCATTTCATGGATGGGAAGCCAGAGACTCAGAGAAGTTAATTTTACCTGTCCAAGGGTGTACATCTAGAAAGTGTAGAGATGAACTTCAAGGTAACGATTATGCCAAGAGAAGTTAACAATATAACCATTATACCAAGAGAAGATGGAACAAATAAATCTGAAGGGAGGTGTTTGGTTTATTCAAGATTGCAAAGTAACCTCATATATATTGTTCATTTACATTTTGTTAGAATCATTTCATAAATGATTCATTTTTAAAAAGATCATTTATTAATTTGAAAGTCAGTGAGGGGGCTGGGAGAGAGAGGTCCACCATCTGCTGATTCACTCCCCAGATGGCCAAAATGTCCAAGATTGGGTCAGGCTAAAGCCAGGAAGTTTATTTGGGTTCTCCCATATGGCTTCAGGGGCCCAAGTACTTGGGCGGTCCTCTGCTGCTTTCCCAGGCACGTTAGCAGATAGCTGGATTGAAAGTGGAGCAGCCAGGACACAAACTAGTGCCCAATTTGGATGCCAGCAGTGCCAATATTGCAGGCGGCAGCCTATCCCGCTGCACCACAACACCAGCCCCTCATAACTGCTTCTTAAAGTGGGTAGGTCAGAAATTTGACAAAACAGGAATCGAGTAAATAATAATAACTATTATTACTTTGTGTTTTTAAATAAGATGATATTTTTGGAAAATTTTTTTTCTAGTGATAATTTTCCTATGTGAAGACTAGTATAGCAATTTTACTTTCTCCAATTTATTATTTTATAAACTTTGATTAGCTTTTTATAAACTTTGATTTTAAAACATTAAATGTGGAGTCCTTGGGCACATACAATGTACTAGGCAGAGGAACTTTGGGTGGTAAGTCTAATATCGTTGTACCAAATACTTGGTAAACTCATATAATAAAAAGTAGTGTTTGTGCCTCCAATAGGTTATCCTGTCCCTGGCTTCCTTCAGAGGGATCTCTTTAATGGGATTATTTACTATCGTCATTTTGGTGAAGAAATCTTTGAAGATTCCTTTGAATTTGTCCTATGGGACAGCCATGAACCTCCGAATCTCTCAGTGCCACAGGTAAGAGATAACTTCTGAATGCTTCCAACATCTTGTATAAGACATCAGTTCTTACAGATGGTCACAAACTATATGAAAACAGGTTTCAAGGTTCAAGACTTGAAAAGCAATGGATTAAGCAAAGTTAAAGAGATTTATTTGCATTAGGGCTATTCAAACATTTTTTCTAAAGGGTACTATAACTTTCTATTTAGTGTTTTTAAGGTTATTTAACAGTGGGATTATTTTATCTCTTTTAGTTTGTTTGAAAGACAGAGAGAGAGACAGAGACTGAGAACAATCTCCCATCTGCTGTTTCATTTCTACGTACCTGCAACAGCTGGGGCTAAGCCAAGCTGAAGCCAGGAACCTGGAATTCAAACTGGGTCTCCCACGTGATTGGCAGGGACCCAAATACTAGAGCCATCACCTGCTCCCTCCTCTTGCTTTAAGTAGATTCTAATCTGAGAACATCCTTGGTTTCTGCCTCTATGAAAGAAAAGGAAGCTTCCTAACAGCATGACCCGAACGATCCTGGTCCTGAGTTTAATCTTCGGTGATGATGGAACCTTCTGATCACAAATGCTATTAAGTAATTATCTTACCTGAACTTTCTGCAAATTAGCAGGAAGCTGGAATTGAGAGTGGAGCTGAGACTCAAGTCCAGACACTCTGAGATGGGATGTGAGTGTCCCAAGCAAGATCTTACCACTGTGCCAAATCCCTGTCCCTTTTCTAGGCATTTTGTATTGGGAGGTATTGTGTGTGGATGCAGCAAATTTTCCACCTGTTCTAGAATGACTAGTAAAAGCATGTGTCATAAATATCATATAATGTCACAGTCACTGACCTCGGCTGATGCTTACCTGAAGCTGATTATCCATTTTCTATGATGAATACATCAGAAGGAGATGATTAGGGAGGATGAGACTCAAGAGCTCTGACACTAGAGGAGGTAGGTGATGCCTCTGAAGAAGGAGTGGAGAACGAACGAGAAGCATCTCAATTCAAGTGCTTTTTGACTAACAAGACAACTTCAAGCAACAGCTCTCTCTTTTCACCAATGCATTATATACTTCTGGATTAAATCTTTTAAAATATTTATTTATTTAAAAGGCAGAGTTACAGAGAGAGGGGAGAGAGACAGAGACAGAGATAGAGAGAGATCTTCCATCCACTGCTTCACTCTCCAAATGGCCACAATAGCTGTGGCTGGGCCAGGCCAAAGCCAGGAGAAAGGAGCTTCATCTGGGTCTCCCACATGGGTGGCAAGGGTCTAAGCACTTGGGCCACTCTGCACTGCTTTCCAGTGACATGAGCAGGGAGCTGGATCAGAAGTGGAGCAGCTGGGACTTGGACCTGTACTTATCTGGGATGCCTACATTGTAGGCAGCAATTTAACATGCTGCACCACAATACTGACCTTTGGATTAAATTTTTTTAAGACCTTTGTTCATTTGAGAGTTCAAAATGACAACTGTTATTAGAGTTGATTTCTAAGTCTTCTGTGTATTTATTCAACTTGAGTTACGTGTCTGACATGAATACCATAGCACTTTTAGCAGACTAAGTAGCTTTTTGAAAGTGGAAATTTCAAGAATTCTTTCCTCATACACAGAAATGTTAGATTCCTCTACGATAAAGACCAAAGTAATGAAGACTTAATTGGAACAGGTTTTTTCCATTTAGTGTTTACTTATTTTTTTTTAAGATTTATTTATTTATTTGAAAGGCAGAGTTACAGAGAGACAGAGGGAGAGAGAGTCTTCCATCCTCTGGTTCACTCCCCAGATGGCGGCAATAGTTGGAGCTGAGCTGATCTGAAGCCAGGAGCTGGGAGCCTCTTCCGGGTCTCCCATGTGGGTGCAGGGGCCCAAGGACTTGGGCCATCTTCTACTGCTCTCCCAGGCCATAGCAGAGAGCTGGATCTGAAGTGGAACAGCCGGGACTGGAACCCATGCCCATATGGGATGCCGGCGCTGCAGGTGGCGTCTTTTCCCGTTATGCCACAGCACTGGCCCCTACTTATTTTTAATTTATTTGAAAGGCAGAGAGATCTCTTCTATCTGATGGTTCACTCCCCAAATGTCTGCAGTGGCCAGGTCTGTGCGAGGCAGAAGCCAGGAGCCTAGAACTCCATCTGGGTCTTCCATGTCCGTGGAAAAAATCCAAACACTTAGGCTATTATCTGCTGCCTCTCAGGCACAAAGTTTCAAGGAATTAGTGTGTGCATACCCACAAAAACAAATATTTTGTGTACCTTGCTGGTGAACGTGGATATCATCATTGCAGCTGTAATTTTTAAGGGACTTAAATGATCATCTAGTTTGTTAGATGATTTGAATGCTCAATTTGGACAAGTACCTCCTCATGTTCTACAAATAAAAATTTATTTAAAATATTCAACAAAAAATGAAAGTTCAGATAAGATGATTACTTACAGCATTTGTGATCAGAGGGTTCCATCATCACCAAAGTATCAGGTCCAGGGTTGTTCGGGTCATGCTGTTAGGAAGCTTCCTTTTCTTTCATAGAGGCAGAAACCACGGGTGTTCTCAGATGAGAATCTCTTTAAAGTAAGAAGGAGGTTTCCTATTATCTCCCTGCACTCTTCCCCTGAACACTCCTGCTGGGATCTACCTACATATCAACAAGGTGTCTATGTATCAGCAAGAAATCCCTTTTCTATTTCTATCTTGGTTGCTGTGATTGTCATCTAATAAAACCAGAATCATTCAATTTGCTTTTTGAAAAGTATTTCCTGGGGGCGGCGCTGTAGCATAGCAGTTAAGCCGCCGCCTGCAGTGCCTGCATCCCACGTGGGTGCCAGTTGAGTCCTGGCTGCTCTACTTCTGATCCAGCTCTCTGCTATGGCCTGGGAGAGCTGTAGAGGAAGGCCCAGGTTCTTGGGCCCCTGCAACCGCATAGGAGACCTGGAGGAAGCTCCTAGCTCCTGGCTACTGGCTTCATATCTCCTGGCTAGTATCGGTGCAGCTCCGGCCGTTGCGGCCAGTTGAGGATGGAGGACCCCTCTCTCTTTCTACCTCTCCTTCTCTCTGTGTGTAACTCTGACTTTCAAGTAAATAAATCTTTAAAAAAAAAAAGAAAAAGAAAAGTATTTCCTTGGGATAAGAGTTTGGCTTACTGATTAAGATTATTTGTTGTGGGGCCAGAACTGTGGCATAGTAGTTAAGCCTCTACTTGTGGCACCAGCATCCCATACAGGTGCCAGTTCATATCATGGCTGTTCCACTTCTGATCCAGTTCTCTGCTTATGGCCTGGGAAAGCAGTGGAAAATGGCCCAAGTGGTTGGGCCCCTGCACTTGTGTGGGAGACCCAGAGGCTTTAGATCAGCACACCTCTGGACATTGTTGCCTTTTATGAACCAGTGGAAGGAAGACCTTTCTCTCTATCTCTCCCTCTCTGTAACTCTGCCTCTCAAATAGTAATACAAAATATTGATTTGGATACCCACATTCTGTATCAAAGTTTGGCTTACTGGGTCCAAATCCAGGCTCTGCTCGTGATTCCAGCTTCCTCCCAGTGTGCACTGTGGAAAGTGGAGATGATGGCTCAAGTAGTTGGATCCCTGCCACCTAGGTAGTAGACCTTGGACTGAGTTCCTGGCTCCCACTTTTGGCCTGGCCTAGTCCCCTCTATTGCGGGCATTTGGGGAATGAAGCAGTGCTTGGACACTCTCTGTCTCTTTGCCTCTTTAATTAATTAATTAATTATTAAATTACTAAATGTATTTAATAATTTAAATTAATTGATTATTTTTTAAAAGAAAAAAATTTCTTTCTAAATCCTGTTTTATGGAGTTTAAGCCTTAAGATACATAAAACCAAAAGTGTGAGAGTATTCTGTTAGCATAAGTATTCTGTTATCTAAAGTGGGGTATTTATAAAGAGAAGATTATTTAGCTCACAGTCCAGTAGGTGCAAGGGCATGATGCCAGCATTGGCTCAGTTCTGGTGAGGGCCTCACAGCAGATGGCATCACAGTGTCAGGAAGGTGCATGGGAGGGAGTGATCACATGGCAAGAGAGAAAGTCAGACCCTGACTGGGGTTCCACAACAACTGTGTTAACCTCTTCCAAAGGCACTCAATGATCTCACAACCTTTCACCAGACGTCCCACTGCCTCTTAGCAAGGAGGGCAAGCTTCCAGCATGTGACACTCTTAAGGGACATGCTAAAGCCAGATTCAAATAATAGCAAGGAGAGAGACGTATTAGAAATTGGAGGGTGGAAAATAAAGATAGAGGAGAGGACTGAACATGGACAAAGAGAGGAAGCAGGTGCCATAACAGCCTGACTAAAGTGGAAGGGTGCAATGAAAGGTGACTGGATAGGACCACAGGCACCCTGGGGGCACGTGTTTACCACAAGCTGGAACAGAAAGTCCTGTGTGCAAAACTGAAGTGGGAGGTCGTTTCTGGAGGTGAGAAGTGATACTGGATTGGCAAAAAGGAAGATGTAAAATAAGGAGCAGGCACGAATCAAAGCTCAAGGCAGAGGACAGCTCAGGAACTCAGGGCCACTAGGAGGTCAGGTTCCCGATGGTGGAGAGTCCTACTGTGAGCTGAGTCTGAGAGTCAAAGTCAGACATTGTCACTGTCTATGCTGATTCCTCACTTTATATTCTGATTCCTTTCAAGTCCGTGGGTGCCCATGGCCATAAGTAGACTGCAGGGATTTGCCAGAGAACAAGAAACCAAAGACGATTCGAGCACTAGTTTTCCACTGTGTGCCTGGGAATGGGTGTTTAATAATGTCTTTGTTACAACCAAATTTCAGTACAATGAAAATGCTTTATTTCTCTGTGGAATTTTGTTAAAATAGGGTTTTTCTCACCCATAGACACACATGCAGTAATTGTTTAAACATGCATAAATATGTAAAGACACATCAACTTAGGCTATCATAAAACATGTTGAAAAATGTGCCCACCAAGAATTACTACAGAGGTATAATAAAGCTTGCTTGTACATTCTTTTTACACAAAGAACACATTGGAGAATAAATTAGCATGGAAAATGGTCTCTTTGAAGGCACAATAACTATTGTCTCCTTATTAAATTCAGTTTTTCAATTAAGTAGAGCCTCACTGATCCACACTATGGTGGGAAGGTCCCATAGAGCATTCCTGAACTTTGTAGATTAGCAAAATACTGTAATTGGGGAAAAAATCATGACACAGACTCCAGGAGACTAGAGAAATGACTGTCATTGTGTTCCTTTACTTTGATAACTGGCTTCAATTTTTAATTATTGAAATGCTTCATAATGGATGGTAAACATATTGTAAGCTTTTATAAAAATAATGAAAGGTAGAGACAGGGAGTTAATGTCTTGAGAACCTACTAAGTGCCAGATGCTCACTGTGCCACTATCTTGTTTGATCATGATAATATTTTACTTTAATAGCCATAGTTATTATTCCTAATGTGCAGAGAAGAAAACCAGAGTGCCAGAGGGGTTAGATGATCTGCCCTGGGGAGCACAGCTTGTGGGTGGTAAGCCGATGTGATATAGTCTTATTTTACATAATAGAAAAGCTTAACTGTGTTTTAGTTTCTGCTCTGTATGTCAATTTAAAAAGGAATTACCTTCATTTTCAAATCGGGTCCTGTGACCACCGCTGTTTTAGACAGAATTGTCATTGCTGATCTGTGTTTTGGTGACAGCATCAGCATAAAATCAGGGTAAGAATACTTTCCTATGGCAGGCTGTGCAAATACCCCTGTGCCTGTGCCACGTCCAGAGAAAGTAATAGCTTTCCTGTAACCAATTCCAGAGTATTCTAAGGAAATAGATGCGATGGTTAGAGCTGTTTAGTTAGTGCTCCTTGCCCTCTAGCATGATCCGAACCTGTGAGGATAGCTTCAAGACTTCTTAATATTGCAAACAAGCCATGTTGACTCATTCAGTTAACAAACACTGAGGAAATGCGTTCCCTCTACAAAATACTATGCCAGATGCTGTGGAGAGACAGAGATGAGCATAATATGTATTAAGTACCTACTGCATGCCAGACATTTTACCTACATAGTGATATTTGATTTTTGAAAGAACTCCGTGAGGTTGTTAGTGTCATGTTGAACTTGCAAATAAGAAAATTGACACAGCGTGGGCATTTGGCCTAGCAATGAAGATTCTGGTTGGGGGGCGACATTGTGGCAAAGCAGGTTAAGCTGCTGCCTGTGACCCTGGCATCCCATATGGGATGTGTGTCCTGGCTGCTCCACTTCCCATCCAGCTCCCTGCTTAATGGGCTGGGAAAAACAATGGAAGATGGCCCAAGTGTTTGGGCCCCTGCCACACACATAGGAGAGCTGGATGAAGTTCCTGGCTCCTGGCCCAGCTCTGGCTGTTGTGACCATCTGGAGAATGAACCAGCAGATGAAAGATCTCTCTGTCTCTCCCTCTCTCTGTAACTCTTTCAAGAGTGCCTGGGATTTATTCCCACCTGCATTCTGGATTCCAGCTGCATGCTGATGTAGACCCTGGGAAGCAGCAGTGATGGTTCAGGTGATTGGGTTCCTGCCATCCATGAGGAAGACAAGGGTTGAGTTCTCAGCTCCCGGCTTCAGCCCCCCCCCCCAACCATTGCAGGCATTTGGGGTGTGAACCAGCAAATGTGAGCTTTCTCTCACTGTCTGTCTTTTTCTACGTGTCTTTCTGCCATTTAAATAACTAAATTTTATATTTAAAAAAAGCCTTAAAAATTGGTATCAAAAAGTTGAGTAACTTATTTAAGGTCAAACAGCTTCTGGTATGTGAGTAGTGCAGTAAATACTTCAACCGGTATTGTCAAATTCCATGTGGTTTGCGTGCTACCATAATCCGGCCATCATGGAACTTTCAGTCCAGCAGAGATTGACATCAAGGGATGTCCTAGTCCATTCATGCTGGTATAATGAAATACTTGCTATTAGATGATTGAGAAATTAAAAAAAAGTTTGACAGTTCTGAAGGCTGGGAAATCCAAGATCGAGACTCCAGCAGGTTGAGTGAGAGCTGCTCTGCTCCCAAGATGGCAACTTGTTGCTGCATTTTTTGGAGGGCACAGATACTCTGTCCTCACATTGGAGAAGAGGTAGAAGGGTGAATTCGCCCCTCAAATTCTTATAAGGCACCAATCCATTCACAAGGGCAGAGTTCTCTCCTGGCCTAATCGTTTCCTAAAAGCCCTACCTGTTAATACCATTGCAGGGGCCAGTGCTGTGGTATAGCAGGTAAAGCCACTTCCTGCAGTGCCAGCATCCCATATGGGTGCCAGTTCAAGTCCCAGCTGCTTCACTTCTGATCCAGCTCTCTTCTATGGCATAGGAAAGCAGTGGAAGATGGCCCAAGTCCCTGGGCGCCTGTACCCATGTGGGAGACCTGGAAGAAGCTCCTGGCTCCTGGGTTCGGATTGACACAACCCCGGCCATTGCAACCATCTGGGGAGTGAACCAGTGGGTGGAAGACCTCTCTCTGCCTCTGCCTCTCTGTAACTCTGCCTTTCAAATCAATAAGTAAATCTTAAAAAAAATACTGTTGCATAAATTTCAACATCAATTTTGTAAGAATGGAAACATTTGAAACATATCAAGGGATAAGAGAAATTTGAGAAAATGGAATTAATTAATTCCAACTGAGAAATTTGGGGATGTCTAAGAAGAGGCTTAAAGGCTGAGACAAATTCATATAGCTGGAGAAAACAAGAGAAAAGCAAGCCAGAATGAAGAAACAACTTGAGCCAAAGCATGGACATATGCTAGAGGACCAGCACATGGTCTATTGTGTGCAACTAGAATGTTAGGTTAATGTTGAAAAGTGGAAGAAGACAAAGGTGAAAAATAGAGTGTGTCTAAACTGTGAAGGATCTTGGAGCCTCGCTAAGGAATTTGAATAATACTATAATAACATGGATGGCTAGTTAAGAGTTTTTCAGGAGGTGAATCAACTGATTTGACTACATTAAAAAAAATAATGCTAGAAATATGACAGTCCAGATTAGTTGTTGGAGTTAGGGCTAATGGGAAGCTGTTGCAATAACATAGGGAAGAATTTATGAGAGTTTGGCCTTTAGCAGTAGGTCTAACACTTAGGGTTATAGGTAGGGCTGGTCTTGGTATAGAAATTTCTTGAACAGAAACTCTGGGACTGTGTTATACATGGGTGGAGAAGGTAGAACCAAAAGTTATGTTAAGGTTTCTATGCCTGATGACTGAGCATGGGGAAGTATTAAGAAAAGTGTTGGCTGTTGATGGCAAGGAGATGTTTTTTAAAAATTAGAACACCTTTTTTTGTTTTATGTGCTCATCCTACAGCCTTCATGACTGGATCAACTATAACTGTGGTAATCAAATTCTTTAAACGGAATATAAAATGAGTAAGAAGTATCTCATTTTTATCTCATGCCCTCAATAGCTCCTGAATCATTTTAACAAAAGTGTACGATAAATCTCAGCTTTTGAAAATCACTTTATCTGTGACTAGGTAATGGGGGACTTTCTTTTTGGCATTTTCTGGGTATCTTGGATTAACGGGACAAATATTTTCATTCCAGGTGGTGGCAATCCACATCACTCCAGTGGATGACCAGCTTCCAAAAGAGGCTCCTGGAGTTTCTCGGCATTTGGTTGTCAACGAGACAGAGGTTGCCTACGTAACCAAGAAACATCTGTACTTCCTAGATACAGAATCACACGATGGGGAGCTGCTCTACACCATCACCACTCCCCCATTTTTCTCCTTCAGCCACAGGTATCTTTGAAAAGTCATCATTAGGGCCATCAGTTCTAGGATTCGAGAGTAAAAACTATCATTATATAGTACCATGATTCAGTTGCTTCATTGGTCAGACATGAACTTATACTCAATTCAGAATTTACTGTTATCTCAAACTTATCTCAGCCCTCCCTTCAAAATCTGGATGAATTAGAAAGTCACTGTAACCTGTAGTATCTTCAGCATAATGGGGCTTCAGTCATTAATCCCCCTTCTCTAAAGAGAGTGCTTGTTTTTCTTTTTAGTAAAATTTATTAAGGTTTTCTGTAATTTTTAGATATCACAGGTTAAGAAATGATTGTATTTGATGATCTCAGTCCAGGAAAGTGGCAGGTCAGGGTCATGTACATGATAATAGAGGAATCTTCTTGGGATGAGAATAGCAGTTCCCTTTCATGATGCCGAATCAGAAGATTCTGTACATATCTTTTGCAGTGATGAGGTGGCATCAGTGATCCTGGACATAAAGTTAGTGCACCTGCTCCCTACCTAAAACAAGAATATGAAGATGGGACATCTGATATCTTTCCACAATGAGTTCTTTCAGTTTTTGAAATTTGGTTGCAGGGTATTTGACTCTTTTTACCTGTAACATTAGCTGATATATTCTCCTGTATTTTTCCATAGATACTTGGATGCTGGGAAGTTATTCATGGTAGACAGCATACCAAAGCTAACCAAAAATCCTGCTGCCCTGGGACTGAAGTCATTCACACAGGTATGATGATATGTGAAAATATTGATAAATCTGATTATATAAATGTCCTGCAAGAAGATAGGCATGCATGAGTGTTGCAGCTGAGAATACTGGCCTTTGATGTCTGCCATAAAAGCTTAGTGTCTTTATTATCTCTGCTTGTACATTTCCATTAAGCACATGACATCTATTTAAAAGTGCTTGATCATGTTGGATATGACATCAGAATCTTGGTAGAATTCAACACAGCACTTTGCCTTGTTCTGCCAGGAGCAGGACTCTAATTTGGGGATCAGGTACGTATGTTTTAATTTAAGCAAATTTAACTCACTCAGTAGCCTCCTAGGGCTGCCATAACAAAGTACCACAATATGATGCCTTAAAACACCAGAGATTCATTGTCTGTTAATGCTAGAAGCTAGAACTCTGAATTCAAGGTGTCGATAGGGTCATGTAGCTCCTGAGACCTTGTTGGGGAATCCTTCTTGCTTCTTTCTAGCTTCTCGTGGTCTGCCAGCAAGCCGTCACTCCCATCTCTGCTTTCGTCATCATGTGGCCATCCTCTCTCTCTTCCCATTATAAGGACACTGGATATTGGATATAGCTACTCCAGTATGACCACATTTTAACTAATTACATTTGCAAAGACCCCGTTTTGAAATAAAGTCACATTCTGCGATACTGAGGTTTAGGACTTCAGCATATCATTTTATGGGGACACAATTCAACCCACAGGGGCTGGCATTGTGGCCGCCATAGCCTGCAGTGCTGGCATCCCATATGGGCGCCAGTTTGAATCCCAGCCTGCTCCACTTCTGATCCAGCTCCCTGCTAGTGTGCCTTGGAAAGCAGTGGAAGATGGCCCAGGTCCATGAACCCCTGCCACCCACAAGGGAGACCTCGAAGACGCTCCTGACCTAGAAGAAGCTCCTGGTTTTGTGGCCATTAGGGGAGTAAACCAGCAAATGGAAGATCTCTCCTCTCTCTGTGTAACTCTGCCTATCAAATGAATAAATAAATAAATCTTAAAAAATATTTAACCCATAACATTTACTATCTTCCAAAATCCTTCACCAAAACTCTGCCTACTTGTATAGATCCTACTTTGAAGTCCCCATGGGAAGTCACGATAATGGTGTTTAGGGCTTAGGCAGCAGACAGCTGTGTAGTTTGGACTAATTATGGCTAATTTCACTGTAGTTAGAGGTTTTAAATGCCTATGTGAGTCCCAAATAGTAAGTACTATTCTCTCTCTCTCTCTCTTTTTTTTTGTAAGATTATTTACTCACTTGAAAGGCAGAGTGACAGACAGAAGAGGAATCTCCAAATGCTAGTTCATTCTTCAAATGGTTACAATATCCAGATCTGGGCCAGGCCAAAGCCATGAGCAAGTAATTCCATGCAGGTCTCCCACTGGGTGCCACAGACCCATGTACTTGGGCCTTCGTATGTTACTTTCCTGGGGTATTCGTTAGCTGAAAACTGGATAGGAAGTGGAGCACTGGGGCTTGACCTGGCATAACAATATGGGATGCCAGCATCATAAGCTGCACCCTAACTCACTGTGGTATAACGCCAGCCTGCCTTTACAGAGTTGGTGGCTTCAGACACTTGACATATTTACTTAATTTCTTTGTCTTTTTCTTTCCTGATGTGTAGAACATATAATTTATAAACTATACCCTTGGAGGATCTTTAAATTGAGGATGGTGATATTTAATATCAGCACAATGATTGTCTTGGACATGGGTCTCTGAAGGTTTCTGGTCTTTGCTGATGCACACCCACAAGTCCATCTCGATTTGCTTTGCAGCACGCTGTGAACTACCTGAAAGTGGCCTACATGCCCCCTCTGCAGGATATAGGCCCTCATGTCAGACACGTCCAGTTCACGTTTTCCATCAGCAACCAGCACGGCGGCACTTTGCATGGGATCTGTTTTAACATTACCATTCTCCCAGTGGACAATCAAGCTCCTGAGGTACGTACAAGGCCTGGTGTGGGGGAAGGAAAGAAAGATCAACTTTTTAATTTAACGGCTACAATCGAGGGGGGAAAAGCAAGGGGAGGGGAGTCCTTCACCTTCCATGGGACTACTTATCCACTAGGTGAGGTTTTCTGGTTGCTGAGTTTGGCATTATTTTCAAAGTTCTATCTGAATCTCATTTGCTTTTCATTCTGCTGAGTTTCACATGTTGATCAGGGGAAGGGGATTAAGTCCTGGGTCTCTTAGCAACCAGAAGGGCTTATTGGCTCTCACCACAGGGCAACTGTACTATTTTGTTATCTAAAGAAGCTCTTTAATTTTCTGAAATAAATTCAGATGGGCCCTCTCATCCTACACTGTCCAGTGTTTTTTCCAGACTCAAAGGACCCACACCTTTCATTAAGAGTGAACTACAAAGGCGATGCTATTTTGTGCGTCTTATCCATGAGACTGGCATTCAAACACCAAGTCTGACATGCCCCGTTCCCCTCCTTCACTTGTGAGTGCCAGACTTAATCAGCAAGGCTATTATTGGGCTCTTTTTACCCCCTTAAGAACGGAAGGAGGAACATTTCCCTTTCATTACAAACCAGAGGGGACCAGAACCTATACATCTCTCATCCCTAAGAAAAGAAGGGGGGACTGGGTTGTGGTATAGCAAGCTAAGCTGCACTCAGCTTCTGATGCCGGCATCCCATATGAGTCCTTGTTTGAGTTGCAGGTATTCCTTGTTCTCTCTCTCTCTCTCTAATTTTGACTTTCAAATTAAAAAAAAATCTTTTTTTAAAAAAATGGAGGCAAATTAACCTTATGCTTTCGTTTCTTTGAAAGTTTCCCTAAAATATATATTTTAAAAATCATCTAATGTAGCCAAATGTATTCCTGAAAGCATTTCCATTCTGGGCCATTCACATGATAAAACTCATGAAAATGAGGTTCCCAAGTAGGAACCTTGGTGCAAAGATTAATTGTCCTCTTTAAATAAAGAGCTACATGGCAGGTGTTTGACTAAGTGCTTAAGATGTTGGTGTCTCATACTGGAATACCAGGGTTCCCTACCCATCTCTGGCTCCTGATTTCTGCTTCCTGCTAATGAAGACACTGGGAGACATCAGTGATGGCTCAAGTAATTGAGTTCTTGCCACCCAAGTGGGAAATGTGAATTGAGTTCTCAGCTGTGGTCTTTGGTTAGGTCCAGGTCTGGCTCTTGTAGACATTTGGGGAGCGAATCAGCATATGGGTGCACTTTCTGTGGCTCAAATAAATAAATAAAAATTTAAAAAATAAGAGCTCCTTCCTTCCTTCTGCATACATAGGTATGTAGGTAAGTTTGGTAAAATAAGAGGGAGACACTTGCTTCTTTGTACACATCAATGCTTAAGATTGGGTTACAAAAATATTTTAGCCAAAACTTTCAGCTATGAACTTGTTCCCTTACCCCATTCATGAAAAGTTAATTGACGCATGAAGAGGGTCCTGGGAGTTTTACAGTGATTAAATGAGCTCTGTCTTCAGGGATACCTTGTGGAATGAGACTTTGAATGTTTTTCTCTTTCTTGGTAGGTGTTCACCAACCCTCTGAGAGTGACTGAGGGAGGTCAGCATGTCATCAGCACAGAGCACATCCTGGTCTCTGACGTGGACACCGTGCAGGACAACATCTACTTCTCCCTACAGAGACAGCCTCTGCATGGAGGGGTGGAGCTTGATGGCTTTCCGTTAAACCCCGGGGACACCTTTTCCTGGGGAGACCTCTGTACCTTAAAAGTTAGGTTAGAACACTTCATGACTTTGTCCTTTTCATGCTTTGACTCCCATCTGGACCCATCGTGAGGTAGAGCAAGGAGAATGAAGTTTACTGGATTCTTTCAGAGCTCCCAACATCCTATTTAACACTTTGAAGAGTCAGAGGAAAAATTAGAGATGACCTGTTTTTTCATTTCCCTTCAGACACTTTATTTCCCTCTGGCTTGCTGTACCAGTAGGAAGACTTGATGGATATTTGAATAACAAAAATTAATTACAATGAATATTAAATTTGTTGCAAATGCACATATCACAAAAGGTAACAATCAAACTAGACGAATGGAGACTGAAATAATGGGTGAGGCTAATCTGCATAATTGAACTTGACTATAAGAAAAGCCCATTTCATAATCCTGAAAATCCCGGGACAGAATTCTGTTAATCAAAATCTTGAGTATAACTTTTATTTTTTTCTACTCAGAAAGGGTTTGCAGGTGCACAGGTAGGGTAGACTGAGTGGGTAGGACATGAAGTAGCACTCTGTCCCTACAGGGATAGAGTAATCCCTGCCTCATGGTCCTACATTAGTTCCCCACACCTTAATGTCTTCCATTTCTTCTATCTACTATAGTTTCGCAAGAAACTTTTCTACAAAATCTAGTAAGATAATTTCTGTGGCTAATACAGCAAACAATGAAAAGCAATGGCCAGCTAGATAGATAAACTGACTAATTTCTCACATAAATTCAAATTATAGGGGCCAGTGTTGTAACACAGGGTTAAGCCACTTCTTGCAATGTTGGCATCCCATATTGGAGTGCAGATTCAAGTCCCAGTTGCTCTGCTTTCAATCCAGTTTCCTGTTAAAGTGCCTGGGAAGCAGATGATGACCCAAGTGCTTGGGTCTCTGCCAACGATGTGGAAGACCTGGATGGAGTTCCTGGCTTGGCTTCTGGCTTTGGCAAGGCCCAGCTCTGGCTGTTGCAGCCATTTGGGTAGTGAGCAAGTGGATGGAATCTCTATCTCTTTGTTAGTCTCCTCCTCTCTGACACTCTGCCTTTCAAATAAATTAGCATAGAAATAAATCTTTAAAAAAATTCAAGTTACAAAAGAGCATTTGCTCTTTTGATAAAGTGTAGTATGAGGCACTAAACACCAACTGCTTAGTTCTATATATGCTTAGAAACTAAAATTTACACATGCAAAGATCAGTTTAAACCTGTTAGTTTAGTTACATCATTGATTTACCATTCCAAATTTCTTCACTTCTTTTCACTATTCACTCCTATTCCCTTTAAAATTCACCCCCCTTTATTGGAGATGATGCTCTCAGCTAAGCGTTAAAAAGAGAATTCTGTTCAGGCAATTATTGCTAGGGAGTGAATGATGAGAAAAAGAAGGTACAATCTTTGAAACAATTATATGTTCAAGTACTCTGCTAGAGATTTTCAATTATGTTCTCCCTCCCACTTAATCTTCACAGTAATCAAGATTGACAGAGTAGATGGTTTTACTCTCATATCACAGTTGAAGAGCTAAGCACAAAAGGTTAAGGAATTCGCCCAAGATTATGCGGCTGCTATGAGTATATAAAGGAGTCAGGTTTTGAAAGAATTTTCAAAAGTCAATTTGCTTGACTCCATAGACATGACTTTGGATGTAACCCTTTTTGGAGGTGTTAGCTTCATAAAATAGTACTTTATCACTTACCTATTTTAGAAAAACAGGGTAGGGAGCATGGCAAACTATAGACCTGTACCACCACTGGAATGGAATTCCACACCCAAGTCCCTAACCAGCCTATGCATGAGACTAGTCCTGAGTAAAATACCTTAAAGCAATGATTTTTTTTCTGTGGGTCAATATCTTCAATATTGTATACTATCTTCAAAGTAACTTTTGTTTTCAATTCCTAAGACTTATTTCTATCCCTTATTATCCTGAAGAGATAGCTGATATGTCAAAGACTTGTCTCAGTCTAGTTCAACAGCTGTGGACAGGAATGTACACGGAAAACCTAGAATTAATAATTTCTTCAAGAAACCGGGCTAAGAGTTAAGGAAAGAGAGAGCCAATAATAGACCAAAGAATGTTATTTTTAAGTTTGGGAGAGGGTTTAGAATTTTTATAGGTTGAGAGGGAGAGAGCTAGTTAATGGAAGAGGGAAAATGACAGGTAAGAGGCAAGATTATAGAGCAAGGTTTTAGAGAAGAGCTGAATAGAACTACAATACAGGCAGGTTAGCCCTTAAAGTGGTACAGAGGGATTCATCAAATCCATGCAGTGGTCCCCTGTTTCTTGTCTACTGCTCAGTCTCAGAGTCCCCTGGCCCCAGCCAGTGTATTCTACAAGTAGGCAGAACCACACCAAATGATTCCTGTTGTTATGGTGTCAATTAAAAGGTTGATTTTTGTTGCAGGGGCAAATTATCAATGCATACAACACATTTTTCCAGGGTGGAGCAATTTTACTTCTAGGCATACTTGAGTAGCTGAACATGTGACTTCATGATTATGCTGTTTTGTTCTTATTCATTTATTTATTTAATGAGCATGTGGCCCATGTAAGGGTCCCTGTGTTATGTATCTCAGTTTACTCTCACAGTGTTCTTGAGAAATGAGTGACAGATATTATCCCCACAGGTATCAACATGATGGATCTGAGGTTCTTCAGGATGACATAGTCTTGGAGGTCACAGATGGCACAAATTCAGCAGAATTTGTTCTACACGTTGAGGTGGGTAGGAAGTTTCCTCCCTGGATCAGAGAAGTAAAGCGTCTGGCTTGGAAACCTCTCAGTGTCCCTGATAGAACTTGAAGCACACGGCTTCAAAGCAAGAGAATGCCTTCAGATACCTTTGTGTGTCTCAGGCTGTAGAGACCGCAGTTATATTGGTGAAATGGGCGCACTGTTCTCTCTCTCCAAGGCATTTAAAGGTAGAATTAGCTTGGTCTCAAATCTAGATACTTAATTCAAAAAATATTTGGTTCTATGTACTTTTTTTTTTACTGTAACACTCAAGTTTTTATTTACCAGCTTGGTAGGTAGCTAGCAACACTGGGGCTTTAAACAAATGGAGAAAAATAAGCAAAAAGTTGTGCGAACCTGAAGGTCTTAGGGGAACACCTGGCGTTCTCTGCTGAGTGGCCACCAAGTCCCTGAGCCTGACTCATACTTTGCAGGGTTGGGGAACCAGTGACAGAAAGATCTTCAGAAAAACTCACCAATTTCCCTGCAGAACCACTAAGCATTCTCATGGCACTAAATTCCAGGACTTTTGGTTAGAATTTTGTCAGATATTTGTAATATGAAATTATTACCAATGGTGATAACTAAGTTTTTGTAGGATATTTTCCAGTTAGTAATACATGAAGAGTGTTCCCACAATCTGTTGTTTTAAGAAGCAGATAGAAAGGAATTATCTCCATTTCATAGCTAAGGACACTTAGACTCATCAACTTTCAATGACTTCCCCCAGTCATTAACTTGACCATGAGGACCTGGGCTAGCCTTTCCACTCTGTAACTTAGCAGTGTTTTTCCTTCTTCCTCTGCCATGCATCAGCTTTGCCAACTGATTATAAGGACCATGCTTGCCCATAGTTCCTACACCCTTCTCTATATGCCAGGCCTGTTTTCCTACTTAGTCCTCGTATGGCCTTTGAGATTTGGATGAAGAGCAGGGTGCTGCTTCAGCTTCCAAAACTTTTCTGGGTTACTTTTTTTTCCCTTTTATCACAGCTACTAACACACTGGCTGCTTGGGACACCCACATCCTATATCAGAGTGCCTGGGGTTGAGTTCAGGCTCCACTTTTGAGTCCAGCTTCCTACTGATGTGCACCATGGGAGGCAGAAGGTGATGGCTCAAGTAGTTGGGTCCCTGCCACTGCATGTTGGAGATCTGGATTGAGTTTTGGGCTCCTGACTTCAGCCGGGACCAGTCCCAGCTGTGACAGGCATTTAGGAATTCAATCAGTGGATAGAAGATCTTGCGCTCTCTCTCTCTCTCTCTCTCTCTCTCTCTAGAGGAAAGGATTATTGTTGCATGGAGGAAGCCGGAGCAGGGGGAGGGGTGGTGAGATGGAGAGAGATGACGTGTGTGGGAAGCAGGTCCTGTTATACCTTTTCGGGGGCAGGGAGATAGGATCAACAAGTCCCGCTATGAGGGACTGACATCTGTGGTTGGGCCATTTGGTCACTTGGCTTCTAGCAATGGTGGCAGGGGCTAGAGTGGAGGATGGTGTCCCAGGGCTTAGGTTGCAGCACAGATAAGACTGCACCATTTTACTAACATTCCCCCCTTTTGTTTTTTAATAAACAAGTATTGTATGGGATTATATCAGCCCCCAAAGTCCAGGAAGGGTGGAGGGATGATGATCTGACTTTAGAGCTACTTCCTGCTGACATGGGGCAATGAGTTACTCTCTGCTGGCATGGGGCAATGTCTCAAGCTGTGATCTCCTGGGTGGGTAGCTGTGTATATCCCTGTAGCAGCATTTAGTTGACCACCTGGCTGGTGAAGGCTTTGGTTTGTTCCATTACCAACTCCTGTAAACACTCAAACGGACACAGTAGTATAAAAGCCAGGGTGAGAATAGCAGCCAATGGTATTAGGAGTGGCATTAACCAAGGAATGAGAGGATTTCATAGAGGAGGGGAAATGGGGGGGTCTCTGGGCCCTTGTGAAGACTGTCTGATGGATGTGGTTTTACCTGGCCTGATTGGTTAACATAATAACAATACCGTTAAGGTTGGTCTGTTCTGCAGTATCACGCCTGTTAGTGAGGAGATCTGGCTTTGGAGACCTTGGATGGCATCAGCTGAGGTCTCAATGGACCTAGTGAACTCCTCTTATAACTGTTGGAGTTGTTTTGGAGTTGATATAACATTGTGGCCCAAAGTCTATCTCTTTTTAAAAAGATTTATGTATTTATTTGAAAGGCAGCATTACGGAGGGAGGGAGGGAGGGAGGGAGAGCGAGCGAGCGAGAGAGAATGAGAATCTTCTGTCTGCTACTTCACTCTCCAAATGGCTGCAATGGCTAGAACTTGACCAGGCTGAAGCCAGGAGCAGCTTCTTGGTATCCCAGAGGGATAGCAGGGGTCTGAGCACATGGGCCATCTTTCACTGCTTTCCCCAGGCCGTTAGCAGGGAGCTGGATCAGAAGTGGAACAGCCAGGACATGAACTGGTGCCCATATGGAATTCCAGAGTTGGAGCTGGCAACTTAGCCTGCTTTTGCCACAATACTGTTCCCAATCTCTGTATGTCTCCCTGCCTCTGTCTATATCTCACTGCCATTCAAGTAAGTTAAAAAAAAAAAAAAAAAAAAAAGAGTAGAGCAGACTTTTAGGGGACAAAGCCTCAAGTCTGTTTCCATCTGTGAACGTCTTATTACTGACAATAAGCAATGCATTTAGGGTAAACAATTTGCTTATTGTTATTTTTAAACAGTAGAGCATGATCTATGAGAACCAACAGAAGCAGAACCAACTTTTGGGCCAGTGTTTATAATATTTCTTTACCCAGAAGTAATGTTCTTAGTTTTATTGGCTTTGGACTTTATTATCCATTTGAAAACTGAAGCTCTTTTGTGAGCTGCTGTAAAATGGTCATCATTGAATTTATTCATGAGATTCCTTAGCATCAGGATCAATGAGAGTGTCTTTAATTAATTCACTTGGAGGCCATGATCAAAGATAATCTTTCTTAACAAGCTAATAGAAAATAAAGAATACTGTATGCTCTCATTTTTGGCTTTTTATTAAATAATTATGCCTAGGGTTTCCAACTCTCCCATCCTACCCATTAAAGGAATGTGCCCGCATTACTTCATGCTTGTTTCAGAGTTGTTAGCCTGCTTAAGGAGCAGGATAATCAGGGCTTATATACATAGTTATATCCACTCATTCATTTATTCAGCAAATATTTATTAAGTGCCTCTATGTGCCAGATCTTAAGCTAGATACTTGAGCTACAATGATCAAGACAGGGGCAGGCTCTGTGGCGGAGCTGGTAAAGCAGTGCTGGCATTCCATATGGGTGCCGGTTTGAGTTCCGGCTGCTTCACTTCCAATCCAGCTCTCTACTGTGGCCTGGGAAAGCAGTAGAAGATGGCCCAAGTCCTTAGGATCCTGCACCTGTGTGGGAGACCCGGAAGAAGCTCCAGGCTTCTGGCTTTAGATTGGCCCAGCTCTGGCCATTGTGGTCATTTGGAGAGTGAATCAGTGGATAGAAGATGTCTCTCTCTCTGCCTGTGCCTCTATCTCTGCTTTTGCCTCTCTGTAACTCTGCCTTTCAAATAAACAAATCAATCTTTTTGAAAAATGATCAAGACAAACAGAGTCCCTCTTCTAGAGGCTACTGCCCAGAGCTGAAGACCAGGCATTAAAGAGGTGACCACCATGGTCATGAATTGGTTAAAAACTTAAATGTGTTCTATAAATAAGCAAAGTGCTAAAAGAGAACAATGATAGTAGCCCCTAAATTAGCTTCCCTAAAGAATCTACATGTAACCCCAAAGGAGGAGTTCTGAACAGAGTTGGAGACAGAGCAGAACCAGGCAAGGTGAAGAGAGAGAACAAAGGCCTTGAGTGGGTTGGGGTGGCAAAGGCATCCCTCACTGTGGGTGAGGCCAGAGGTTCCCAGGAGAAGCCATCAAAGGTCCTCACAGGGCAGTGACTAGAAATTGATTTTTTTTAAATAAGATTTTTTTATAATTTGAAAGAGTGACAAGGGTAGGTGGGAGGAGGGAAAAGTAGAGAGGTCAATCTTCCAACTGTTATTTCAATCCCAGATGGCTGCAACAACCAGGGCTGGTCCAGGCTAAAGACACATGGTGGCAAGGGTCCAACCACTTGGGCCATCTTCTGCTGCCTTCCCAGGCACGTTAGCAGGGAGTTGGATTAGAAGTGGAGCAGCTAGAACTCAAACCAGCACTCTGATATGGTATGCCAGCGACCCAAGTGGTGGCTTAAACAGCTGTGCCACCATGCTGTCCCCTTGAAATCAACATTTTTAAAAATACCACTTTGGCTGAAGCATGAAGGAAAGAAATGGAGGGTTGAAAGAACTCGTAAGTGAGTCTTGCTGGATTTAGAGCACCTACTAGGCTGTGGCTATGAACGTTCCTGCAGAATGCCCCTCTTCCTTGTTTGGAAGACACACTGTATCCGTTTTCTACATGATCATTCTAAGTTCAGAGAGCCAGCAGGATCCATGTTACTTTCCTTTTCCTGCTACCTGGAGCATTATTTTCATGCAAGTGAGAGAAAAGAGTTTTGTCAAGTTGAAATCTGGTGCTGATTAAATGGTTTCGGAGTTTCCACTCTCACATGGTTTGAAATGCAGCTGCTGCATATTGTAAGCCCAGAGCAAGTTCCTGGCTGGCAGGAAGTTGCTGGTGGAGGAAAGCTTTGTAATCACCAAGTCATTTAAAATAAAAATAACATTGATGCAGTAAATGGAAATGCATTAGACCACAAGGACCAGCATTCCTCTGGAATATGTGTGGATTTAACCACAGAGGACGGGGCTTTGATGAAGAACACTTTATATTACATTTATATTTTGTCTGAGAACAAATGAGAGCTCTGAGTCCCAAATCGTAACCACGTTCTCCCAAATGCTTCTCGTGTGGGGCATTCCTCGCAAGATGGTTCGTGTGGGGAAAATTGCAAGACGCAGGCTGCTTGGCCAAGTTCCACGGCTATTGTTTCACATATCTGGAAGACGTAAATAATGTCTGTCGCTCGGACTAGGAGCTGTGAGTTACCAGTTGGGCGATTTTGTCATTTTTTTCTTTTTTTTTTTAAATGTGCATTTTTCTCCTGCTTAGGTATTCCCTGTAAATGACGAACCCCCGGTCCTGAAGGCTGACCTCGTCCCCGTGATGCACTGCTCCGAGGGTGGGGAGGTGGTCATCACCCCTGAACATGTTTTTGCCACTGATGTGGACAGTGATGACCTGAAGCTGATGTTTGTGGTTGTGCGAGCACCTGAGCATGGGGTAGTGAGCAAAGCTGGAGTCCCTGTGGTTCAGTTCTCTCAGAGCGATGTTATCGCAGGGGCTGTGACATATAAACACACAGGTAAGTGACAGCATGACTCAAGGGGCATTGCAATGAAAACGTGGGAGTTTCAGTCCACCCTGTACTACAGGCTCAGATAATCTAGTGGTCTTGATACTTGCTTCCATTAAAATAAAGATGCATAGGTGAGGGCTTGGAACAACGATTAAGATGCCACTTGGATTACCCACATCATAGTGCCCAGATTTGAGTCCAAGCTCTAGTCCCAATTCCAGTCTCCTGCTAATGCACACTCTGAGAGGCAGCAGGTGATGACTTAAGTGTTTGGGTTACTCTCACCCTTGGGGGAGACCTGGATTGAGTTCCTGGCTCCTGGCTCTAGCCTGGCCCACCTTGGCCATTGCAGGTATTTGGGGACTAACAGATGAAGATCTCTGACTTTCAAATAAATGAATAATTTTTTGAAAAAGATACAGCTGCAGTATATACCTCATGTTTGCCTCATCACCCCACATAGAGGTGTTTCTCATTCAGACTGCAGAGAGAGTGAGAGTGTGTGTGTGTATGTGTTAGCTGCTGTTCTATTCCTGATCACACAGGACTCCTATTTACTCTGTGATTCCCCTCATCTCCTTTTTGGCAAATTTGAAGAATACTTATTTGACCATCATAGCTTATGGATCCATCAATCATAATAGAAATGCCTGAAGTAGGTTCCATAATGTAATTACATTATTAATTTTTAGAAAGCTCACTGATCACCAGCTAGCTCCTAAAAAGTAGCTCATCTGCTTTTTGAACTCCTGAAAAGTAATGAGAGTATGTTGAACTTTATTTAACTTGCCCACAGCACATGATAGTGTGAGTACGGGTAGGGTATACAGCAAAAGCCTCGTTATAAATACTGTGCCTAGTTGCTGCTGTCACATGATGTTGGGTCAAGGTGGCATTAATTTCCCACATGATATGTAAAATTAACAAAAATGTTAATTTTAATATGATTATCTGCAAGTTACATAAGGCTAGGCACTATGGGATTACAGTGGGGTCTAATCCAGACCTTGCTAGGAAGGACTTTTAATATTTAATAAAATGGGGCTTGTGTTGTGTATAGTGGATAAAACCACCATGACATCCCATAACGGTGCCAATTTGTATCCCAGCTGCTCCACATCTGATCCAGCTCCCTGCTAATGGCCTAGGAAATGCAGCAGAAGATGGCCCAACTGTTGGGCCCCTGCTACCCACGTGGGAGACCTGGAAGAAGCGCCTGGCTCCAGCCTGGTCCTGCCCTGGCCATTACAGCCATCTGGGGAGTGAACCAATGGATGGAAGATCTCTCTCTTTCCCTCTGTAACTCTGACTTTCAAACAACTAAATCTTTAAACAAAGTTCATATACAGAGAGGACAACAGGACATATCTGCTCATCATCATGTCATCCACAGCCTGGGGGGCAGTACTTCCTCAGTGATGATGGCGTGGATTTCCTCTGGCTGACGAAAATTATAAGGCAGAGACACAGAGAAAGACCAAGAGATTGAGATCTTCCATCTACTGGTTCACTCCCCAAATACCTTTAATAACCAGGGCTGGGCTAGGCTGAAGTTAAGAGTCTAATTTTTTAAGATTTATTTATTTGAGAAGCAGAGTTACAGAGAGAGAGAGAGAGACAGACAGACAGACAGACACTGAGACTGACACTGACTTCCATCTGCTAGTTCACTTTCCATATGGCTGCAATGGCCAATCCAAAGCAAGGAGCTTCTTCCAGGTCTCGCATGTAGGTGCAGGGGCCCAAGGACTTGGGCCATCTTCTACTGCTTTCCCAGGCCAAAGCAGAGAGCTGGAGTGAAAGTGGAGCAGCCGGGACTGGAATCAGCACCCATATGGGATGCTGGCACTGCAGGTAGCAGCTTTACCCACTATGCCACAGTGTCGGCCCCCCAAAGCTGAGAGTCTTGAACTCATTTCATGTCTCATGTGAGTGACAGGGACCCAAGTACTTGAGCATTACCTTCTGCCTCCTATGGTGCACATTAGCAAGAAGCTGGAATTGGAAGCTAAACTGAGACAGGAATCAGGCACTCTAATATCCCAAGAGGTATCCTCACCACTGTGTCAAATACCCACCCCTCACGCCAGCTTTAACCACACTCTGCTATGGTTTCCTGGCTACTAATGTCTGCAGATTTCATAGTGGAGACATTATTGGCATATGTGAGAACCAGTGATGGCACAAGGAAGAACTACCAGAATTCAAATGATTTTCTTGTTTGAAGAGTCAGAGAAATCAAGCAGTGAGGGAGGGCAAGGACTCAGGAAGAGGGGTGGAGATAGCTAACGAGTTATCTGGAAGTGGGAGAAAATGTTTAAAAATAACATCTTTCATGTGTATTTTCGCGAACAATTACAAGGATACCGGTTGTGTCTTGGCTAATGAATTACTGTGGAACACTTCTATGGCTCCACCAGACGTCTTTTCTCTTTAAGTTGTATCTGCCTTTCCTCTTGTCTGTGTTTGGTCTTAGGGAAGCTGTCACTGTTTCCTGGTCCAGGAAGTGTAGTTCATGTGCTGTTGCCCCTCTTTTTGAGTTTCTCGCTAGATCTGAAACAGACCGGCAGAAAACAGATCTATAGACTCTTCTGGGCCCCTTTGGTCGTTGAGTCACAATTTTAGCAACTTTGGCAGGCTCATGCAGTACAGCTAAAGGGGTGAGAAGAGCTGGTCTTCTCTTCCAGTGCTATATCCCAAGTGCTGACCACTGGGTGTACATATTGCTAGATTTTTTCTAGTGTAATGGCCATGTAAGGGAGTGCTAACTAATTTTTTTAAAAGTAAGATCTTGTAGGACATTGGGACAAATTGTGTATCTCAAATAGATAGTTTTCAGTCATGTTACTAAATTAGAAGAAATACTGGGTTCAAAGGATGTTTTCATAGTTGCATGCTGTGTTTGCTTATAATGCTCACTTATTTACTCAATGGGTAATTACTCAGCACTATGCCATGACCAGCGTAAAGAACCCCAGTATTGCAGACTTAAGTTTCACTGAGTCATCTGGCCCCCTCTTGCTTCTGTGCATCGATTACAATGACCACCCAAGAATAGTTTTATCGGCATTATTTTACTTGCTTTCTGTGATTATAAAAAGAATCCATGCTCATTACAGAAAACTTGAAAAGAATGGAAAATATAAGAAGTATTTACTGGCATATTAAGCCTGTGATTATAGAGTAGACTGAAATTGTGTTTTTGCGAAAATTAAAGAAAAAAAGAAGGAAGGAGGGGATTGTGGCAGGGAAGGAAGGAGGGAAATATGGTTATCTTCTTAGAATTGTACCTATGACATACATGAAATCTGTTCTTTTTATGTTAATAAAAATGTAAGAATATATACAGAAGTATTGACAATTAACACCTCTCAAAGATAATCTCTGTTGGTATTTCAGGATCACAGTATTTTCTTTTTTCTAATCATATTGTATATGCCATCTTGTACATTACTTTTTTATTTAGAATATTGAAAATATTTTAAATGGTATAAGCTTTAACAACTGAATATTTTACTTGTAGAAGTACATTATTAATTTGCTTTTCCTCCAATATTAAACATGAAATCATTAAAATTTTTTCTTTTAAATCACAGTATGATTAACGTTTTTAAGTGTAAATCAACCCTTGCACTATTCTACTTCAAGGTAAAAAAGTCTTCCATCCCCAGTGTAGCCTTTTTAATCATTTAATTTTTAGCCTACCTTTCCAATTATTTCTTTAAGTACATCCAAATGTTCATGGAAAAAGTGAGATTCTTGTATATCCTATGTGTTCATTGTGGAGAAATTAGTTATTGAATGTGTTTTGCTTGCCTTTTTCTTTTTAAGTGACATGTTTCTGCAATTTTTTTGTCTTTTTTTTCAATTTTATTTAAGGTATACAAGTGTCATGTATTTCATATATATGGAGTTAGGAACATAATTATACTTCCCTCCCTACCCTCCCACCCACCCACTCTCCAACCCTTCTTCTTCTTCCTTCTCCCATTCCCACTCTTAGTTTTTACAAAGATCTATTTTCAGTTTACCTATACTCATAAGGTTAACCCTATACTAAGTAAAGAGTTCAACAAATAGTATGAAGGAGAAAAACACTGTTCCTCAACAGAAGAGATAAGGGCTGTAAACAATCATCAAATCTCAAAACGTCCATTTCCATTTCTCTCCCCAACTATCTCTCCTGGCAGATCTTCTCTCCCAGCTCTCAGTTCTGTGCCTCATCTGCCTGGCAAATGGCAAGTGGCAAATACTTACTATCCCTTTACTGCCCAGCACAAAGCCATCAGAGCCAGCTGGAAAGACTTCCCTGACTTGTACATGTGTGTGTGCCCTGCGTGTACTCTCATCTTCTTTCACACTTAGCACCTCGTACTAAGTGTGGCTGAAGGACCATCCTCACTCAGTATCCACAGGGGATTATTACCAGGACTTCCTGTAGATACCCAAGTCTCACAGTGCTCAGGTCCTTTATGTAAAATGGTATGATATTCGCATACAACCTGCATAAATTCCCTTGTAAACTTTTTAAATCCTCTTAAGATCACTTCAAATATCTAATACAATGTAAAAGTTATGTAAGTAGTTGTTACTTTATATTGTTTAGGACATAATGACAAGGAGAAAAAGTATACTCATTCAAAATGCATGATTTTTTTTCTAGAATATTTTTGATCTGGGTGTTTGAATCCATAGATATGGAAATCCTGGATATGGTGGTCTGACTGTATTTGAAATTGCCATTCAGTGGGTAAAAAGGGGTTTAATAGTAGCAATTTCTTGTGTGAAAATGTATTTAGTATGAAAGGCAGAGTGACACACAGAGAGGTAGAGAAATAGAAAGATCTTTCATCTTCTGGTTCATTGCCCAAATACCCACAAAGGTGGTGGGTAGGCCAGACCAAAGCCAGGTGCCAGGAACCCCATCCCAAGTACTTGAGCCAGCATCTACTGACTCTTAGTTGGAAGCTGGGAGTGGAAACCTGGTGTAGTCAGGACTTGAACTGGCACACTGATATGAGATGTGGGTATCCCAATCATCAGCTTAACCCATTGCAGCACAACACCTGCCCCAAAATAGCAATGTCATGTATGCTCATAGCACATACAAACACCTGTGATTTTCTGACTTAACATGTCCCTCTTTCCCATTAGACTTTTTCAGTTCCCAGCACTCAGTTTGTCTTTTGGAACTTCATTTATTGAGTTAGTTATTTTATGAGAGAGAGAGAGAGAGAGAGAAAGAGAGAGAAAGAAAGAAACAAGAGCCTGGGAACTGAGAACTCAATCCAGGTCTTCCATGTGGATGGCAAGCACCCAACAATATGAGCCATCATCTGCTGCCTCCCCAGGTGTGTATCAACAGGAAGCTGGAATCAGGAGCAGCGCTGGGACTCAATTCCAGGCACTCTGATTTGGGGTGTGAGTGTTCCAAGCAGTGTCTTAACCACCGCACCAAATGCCAGCTCCTGACATTCTTTAGAAATGGCTTGTCTTTTTTTCTACTGTAGCAACCAAAACATTAATCATCCCATAGTAGGTACTAAATAAATATTTATCCAGTGAGTGAATGGTGAGAGTTTTAAGCCAATAAAAAAGGAAAAAAGATAATTTAAAAAGAGTTTTAAGCCAATTTGATTTTTATAACTATTCAGAGGTGAGAGACCTCTTACGCTGACTTTTCCCAAAGTTGAAGACTGGTTGTTTCTAACTCTATCAACTTCAATTCTGTTTTTTTTTTTTTTTTTTTTTTTTTTCAGTTTTCTCATCTTTAACCATTTTATTGCTCTGTAATGTTATCTCTAGATTTTCTTTGTCTGCCCTCTTCCCCTGGCCCTGTGAAGGGGATGTGTGAGAATCACCAAGAGCACAGATGTGGAGACATGGTGGCCCCTGGCGAGCCAGGACTCCTCCTCCATGCTGTCCAACCCAAGAACAGACTATCTTTCCTTCCTTCTCACTGTCTAACTTGGGGCTATTTTGAATCCTAAAAGGTCAGCAGAGGGACAAAAGAAGAAAAGCAAATGTCACTTCCTTTCCAAAGACTGCTGCTATTTTACAACATTTTGTCTGGTACATAATAAGGAAATATTGAAAGAAAACGACAAAAACATAGATTACCTTTGTCTTTGACCACTCTGGAATCCCCTGTGCCTTCTCATGTGCTGTGTGGTTGATGGTGGTCCATTTACAGTGGTGGTTAATGCAAAAGAAAAGCCAGTGGCCAATCGTGGGATGGAGGTTCCTTCTGTCTCTCCCTACACAGAACGATGATGAGAGCAGAATGAAACCATCACCAGTCTAGCTTCTCATCTCTCCCTTGTTCATTTGTGAACTGTCAGACCATTGTTAGCCCTGCTTTGCCTCCATATGGTGTTAGATGGCTGGCAGGGATTTCACCAGAGGCAACAGATGGACAACCGTTTTTGCATTATTTTCATGACTATGTTAAATTTCATAGTGATAAGATGAGGTTTTACATTTTATGCATGTAAGTTCCTTTCCTTCTCAGTTGCTGCTTGTAGAAGAGGTAGGAGTAGATTTCTTCTATGTGGTCTATATCTTTAAAAAGTCAGGTGTTAGATATAGTCGTGTCTTCCAGGTGGCGAGATTGGCCTCCTGCCTTGTTTTGACACCATCTCGTTGGTGGTTTCGGATGGAGATGCTGGCCCTTCTGTGAACGGCTGTTGCTACAACGGACCTAATCCATCTGTTCCTCTTCATGAGTCCTTCCCAGTGTATGCTCTTAACATCACAGTGCATCCAGTGGACAACCAGCCACCTTCGCTTACAATCGGTGATGATGTTTTTTCTGTTAAAGTACTGTCCTCTTACTTGATATCATATCTGTGGTTCAGTGAAATAATACCTTATTTATAGTCAAAATAGAAAATCACCATGAATAATAATAACCAATAACCAATAATTGCTGCCACACAAATTTGTAGAAAACCCCAAATTTCCAAGAGATTACAAGTAAAATTTGATATTTGTGTATAACAAATGCAAGCATGTGTGTGTGTGTGTGTGTATGTGTATGTGTGTGAGAGAATAAGCATGTGTGTTTGTGTGTGTATTGGGACAAGGACAACATTAGAATCTACAAATTTTCTAGTTTATTTCACAGGGGAAGATATCATTTGCCTGCTAGAGAGAGGGAGAGTGATTTATTTTATCTGTAATAATTTCCATTAGAACAGAGTAAGTATACCAGAGAGACCATTTATATACATTTAACCTTATTTGCTTTTGAGAAAGTCATCTCTTCATAGGCATTATGTATATGTTCTGTCTCTCAGAAAAATATAAGCATATGTATGAATGTTATTGTAATTTGCAAACTATTTGCCAAGCAACGTTCTGGAAAGGAAGCATTATCCCAGCAGAATAATTAAGCACCAAGGCATGAAAAAAATGTTCTTTATACACAATTCATAATCGCTCTCAGGTAATTAACGCTCTGACAAACAGTAGGAACAACTGATCTTGAAGAGCACATAAACTACATTTAGTGGCTTATCATTAAAACAGCTTGGCAATTCTTCTTTTCATTTGTCACTTGGATAGAGACACCAGGGAAATCAGGGCTCCTTGAGAATGACTAAAGAGCTCTGCTGGAGCATTTCGTATTTCTGCTGTCTTTCCATTATTGTCTGGCTTGCTTGTACAAGGAAAAGTATAATTCCGTAAGTCAAATTAAATTCCACCCAGTACTCCTGAATATTTTTGCTCTACACATTGTTCGATCAAAGGAAATGAACATCTGAGTGAATGAACAAATGAAGTGTATTTGCATAGAGGAGGCTTCTCTGGATTGGAATTGCAGCCATGCCCCTCGTCCTCAGTGTTCTGATCAGAAGAGTTCATGCTAAGTCATCACTGTGCTGTTGTTTGTATGCAGGTACCATGTTCTTTGTAGATGAGGGTTTGTCAGCAACCCTTACCATTAACCATTTGCTCTCCACCGATCCTGACACTGCAGAAGATGACTTGGAATTCATTTTGGTTTCTTCACCCCAATTTGGCTATCTGGAAAACACACTTCCTTCTGTGGGTTTTGAAAAGAGCAATATGGGCATAAGTATAGGTAAGTGAAGATTTTATGACCGGCAATGACCTATGTTTAAGGATATGATTCGCCAAATCGAGCATAATAACTGGGTTTGGTCTTTAAAAAATATTCACGGCACTGAATTCATTCAAGTCATTTTTATTATAGTAGCTGATACTTTCAACTCTTTTTATGTTTCATTTTTATTTTCATTCTTTCCCATGCATATGAGTTTACTTCAAAATTAATGGAATTTTCACTTATAAAAAAGAAAAAACAATAAACACTGAAGAGATACTATGTTTAAAGGCTCTTTGCAACACAGAATATTATGGTAGAATGGATCTGGTGATGGGGCTGGTGTTGTGGCACATCAGGTTAAGCCACCACCTCGACACCAGCATCCTATATGAGCATGGATTCAAGTCCTGGCTGCTCCATTTTCCGTCCAATTCCTTGTTAATGTGCCTGGGAAAGCAATGGAATAGGGCCCAAATCCTTGGGCCTCTGCACCCATGTGGACAACCTGAATGGAGTTCCAGAATCGTGGCTTCTTTTTTACTTATTTGAAAGGCAGAGTTACAGAGAGGGAGAGACAGAGAGAGATCTGTCATCTACTGGCTTATCCCCCAAATGGCCACAATGGCTGGGGTTGGGCTAGGCTGAAACCAGGAGCCAGGAGCTTCATCTGGGTCTCCCAGGTGGGTGCAGGGGCCCAAACACTGGGGCAATCTTCCACTGCTTTTTCCCAGGCCATTAGCAGGGAGGTGGATTGGAGCAACCAAGGATATGAACCGGCACCCATATGGGATGCTGGTGTCAGTATGCCACAATGCTGGGTCCCTAAGTAAATAAATCCTAAAAACAAACAAACAAACAAAATCTGATGGGAGCTCCCAAAATCATTCTTTAAAATTTTGGCATCTTTGATAGATATTGCTGGAAAAGGTTAGGAAATATACGATGAGTATATCAGAGAGAGAACAGCTGATACTGATTTATTAATTTTGAAACCTACATATGTCCCAGTTATTTATAGCTACTGCATGTCAGGCAAAAACAACACAACAGAGACAAAAACAGAAATCCAAAAGAAAATCTTTCAAGAACAACACTTTAGAAATAAAAGATTCTCCAAGACCCTTGGAGACCTATCTATCTTATATATAAGAGAGACTGGATTTAAGAATAATTGAATTAAAGTCACCCAGTTTGTCCAGTGACTTCATACGCAACTTATAGAATTTTTCTTTTGACTTTGGTATGTCAAAATATCAAAACAATGGGCCAATTAATTGCACTCAACCTAGCCAATTGCTTGATGTGTGCCTGTCAAGTGGGCCGATGACTGGTTGACTCTTCCTTTGACGTGGTCACTGCTTCCTTTCCTACTGAAGCATGACAAGGATTGTTCGTGCAGAAACAGTGTTTAACAGGGACGGGCTGATGTTCATTTCAAGGATCTGAAAAGTGGCCACAGGTCTGTATGCACTATGGTTAATGTTGATCACTGTTCTGTTCTCCTTGCAAATTCCATCTTCCCCTGTGATCCTTGGATGCCTGCTTTCATGTCGGTGGTCAGCAGTTGTTGTAGCCCCTGATAGTCGACATGTAGGTCAACTGCTAAGATCTCTTGATTTGCTGGGAAATATGCTATTATTGGGTTAAGGATTGAGGACCAGTAAACTTGGAAATAACATTTTTCACGTTTCCTTCTTCCATCTTGGTGTACTCTAGCTTCATTTCAGTGGAAAGACTTGAAGGCTTTGCACATTAATTATGTGCAGTCCAGACATCGGAGGATAGAACCAACTGCCGATCAGTTTGTGGTGTATGTCACAGATGGAAAGCAACGCTCCTTGGAGATACCATTTTATGTTACAATCAATCCCACAAATGATGAAGCTCCCGACTTTGTGGTGCAGAATATCACTGTAAGAAACATATCAAAATGTTCTTAGTGTCTCATCACTTTCTGATTTTTATTTTGTCCATTTACATTGGTCCAGGTACACTTTTCACATTAAATTGGTAAAGGATGGGAAAGGCAGTATCCTATAATATGTAATGCAACCACTTGAAAACTATTAATCTAAGAATAATGATGAGGGTAAAGATAATAATAACTACTAACATGTAGCAATTGCATAGATATAAATACTAGGTTGCATATTTACAGGATGGAATATTTACTAGGTTGTAGGTTCCAAGTCCTTTACATGTACTTATATTGAGTCTTTGCAATAGACTTTTAGGATGATGGCATTACTATTCCCATTTTAAATAAGGCAAGATCACAAAGATTGGAAGTTAGGTGGAACATAGTGGATTTTTGCCCATATAATCTTTTTTTAAAATTTATTTGACAGATAGAGAGAGAGACAGAGAGAAAGGTCTTCTTGCTGTGGGTTCACCCCACAAATGGCCGCTATGGCCAGAGCTACACCAATCTGAAGCTAGGAGCCAGGTGCCTCCTCCTGGTCTCCCATGTGGGTGCAGGAGCCCAAGCACTTGGGCCATCCTCTACTGCCTTCCTGGGCCACAGCAGAGAGCTGGACTGGAAGTGGAACAACTGGGACTAGAATTCGGCGCCCATATGGGATGCAGGTGCCACAGGCGGAGGATTAACCAAGTGAGCCACAGCGCCAGCCCCGCCCATATAGTCTTATTACATACCGTTCCTTCTTAACCAAAGCTACAATGGCAAGTATTCTTAATTCACAAATTTCAGGATCTTGTAAAATATAACTATTTGTAAAACACATATGAGCTGAAAAATATAAGCTATTCTTTTTATGTAGTTTTAAACATGTTTCTATACAATTACTTTTGGGAAAAATTATATGTAGTATATATTATATAGTTAAATGACCCTTAATATTATTACTTAGATAATACTTGTTGATTTTAGAAAGTAAAAACTAGGCCAGCCCTGCGGCTCACTAGGCTAATCCTCCGCCTGCGGTGCCGGCACCCCAGGGTTCTAGTCCTGATCGGGGCGCCGGATTCTGTCCCTGTTGCCCCTCCTCCAGGCCAGCTCTCTGCTGTGGCCCGGGAGTGCAGTGGAGGATGGCCCAAGCGCTTGGGCCCTGCACCCGCATGGGAGACCAGGAGGAAGCACGTGGCTCCTGGCTTTGGATCAATGAAGCGCCGGCCACAGCATCCATTTGGGGGGTGAACCAATGGAAAAGGAAGACCTTTCTCTCTGTCTCTCTCTCTCACTATCTAACTTTGCCTGTCAAAAAAAAAAAAAAGTAAAAACTAAATTATTAAAATAAATAAATAAAATCTAACGTAGATAATCATGCAAAGCAGACTCGGAAATTCTCCCTCTCCAACAACCATTACTACTTGTCACTCCCCAGTGACAGAGTTTGCGGTATAATTCATTACACATGAAGGATTTGTTCACATGGCAGCGATGTTTGTGTGCTATGATTTTTCTGTATGTTTTTAATTTAAAAATAATGGATCAGATTTTATGTACTACTACATATGTATATATGGAAGTCTTTTCATATCAGTATGTAATTCTTTTTTTAAAAAAGATTTTAATATTTTTTTCAAAGGCAGAGTTACAGAGAGGCAGAGGCAGAGGCAGAGAGAGAGAGAGAGAGAGAGAGAGGTCTTCCATCTGCTGGTTCACTCCCCAAATGGCAGCAATAGCCAGAGCTGTGTAGATCTGAAGCCAGGAGTCAAGAGCTTCCTCTGGGTTTCCCACATGGGTGCAGGGGCCCAAGGACTTGGGCCATCTTCTACTGCTTTTCCAGGCCATAGCAGAGAGCTGGATTGGACGTGGAGCAGCCAGGGCTTGAATTGGTACCCATATGGAATGCTGGCACTACAGGCAGTGGCTTTTACCTGCTACACCACAGCGCCGGCCCCCAGTGTGTAATTATTTTTAAACAATACTATTTTATGTGTGGTTACTTAATTCAGACATATGTATAACAAATTCTGATTCGTTGGCATGAGGCCAGGCTTTGTGATCAGAGGGAATTAAGTGTTGTTTCGATGAGTTTGTAGGGTATTTGGCAAGCCACTTCTCCCCATGCTTCTGTTTCCTCATCTGCAAAATGTTCAGCAAATCTTCTTTAAGGGGTAACCATGATCATCAAGATGAATGGGGCTGGCGCTGCGGCTCACTAGGCTAATCCTTCGCCTAGCGGCGCCGGCACACCGGGTTCTAGTCCCGGTCGGGGCGCCGGATTCTGGCCCGGTTGCTCCTCTTCCAGGCCAGCTCTCTGCTGTGGCCCGGGAGTGCAGTGGAGGATGGCCCAAGTGCTTGGGCCCTGCACCCCATGGGAGACCAGGAAAAGCACCTGGCTCCTGCCATCGGATCAGCGCAGTGCGTGGGCCGTGGCGGCCATTGGAGGGTGAACCAACGGCAAAGGAAGACCTGTCTCTCTGTCTCTCTCTCTCACTGTCCACTCTGTCAAAAAAAAAAAAAAAAAAAAAAAGATGAATGGTACAGAAGAGACCCTTCATACATGTGTGTCAGGTGGGCATTTAGAGTAGTGGTTAAGCTGCTGGTTAGGACACCTAGATCTCATATTGCAGCACCTAGGTTCAAATCCTGGCTCTGCTCTCAATTCTAGGTTCCTGCTAAGTTACATCCTGGGAGGCAGCAGGTGATGGATTAATGGATCAAGTAGTTGGGTCCCTGCCATCCATATAGAATCCTGGATTCTGATCCTGGCTCCCGGCTTTGTTGTAGCTCAACCCCAACCATTGCAGGAATTTAGGGAGTGAACAAGTGGATGGGAAATCAATCTCTCTCTCAATCTCTCTCCTTCCCCTTGTCCCCTCCCTCTCTCTCTCCTCATCTGTCTCTTTGAATCTCAAAAATTTTTTTTAAAATAGGTGTTATTGCTGTTTTCACTAGTGTGTTGACCTTTTTTATGATATGGAACAAAGCAAATATTAGCAATTTAGAGACCATTATTTTGTTATATCTTTTACTAAAAATCAAATGCTAAATGCTAAGTCTTTATCTAATTTTAATTTTCTACTGAATCTTACTGGCATGTGAGAATAAACACGAAACTTAAGAGTCAGCCTTGCCTTTCCTCTTCTGTTGGCACATGGGTTTCTCTGGAGAGCCCTTCAGTAATATCAGAGAGAAAAAAATGCATTTATGATTCCTTCTGTAGCTATGTCTGTTGTCTAGGGCTGGGACTTCCAAAATAATTGGGCCGCTGGGAGGTTATCCCTTGCTCTTCTATGGAAGTTATCATGCTCTGAATCTGGGCATTCCCCCGCGGAAGCTGCTGGAGAGTAACAAATAGGCAGCCCTGTGTGCTCTCCGCACAGCCCATTTTAACCTTTACGGGATTTTTTTCAATAGCTGTATTTTGCTTTCTTGTAAGAACAGGAATTTATTTTGTAGTACTTTTTTTTGCAGTTATACTGCAAAAAAAGATTTAAGGTTTTAGTTTAGATTATTAGAATCCATTTCAAACCTATCTACTACAAAGTTTCTGCATTTTATATACATTGATTTCTAAACACTTTGATGTAATCTCAACAGGCAATTCAACCTGTGCCAAAGAATCCCATTTTTTTTTTATAAAGTTTCCCAATAATTGAGGCAGCCCTTAGCCTAGTGGTTAAGATACTCACTAACAGCCAGCGCCGCGGCTCACTAGGCTAATCCTCTGCCTTGAGGCGCCGGCACACCGGGTTCTAGTCCCGGTCGGGGCGCTGGATTCTGGCCCGGTTGCCCCTCTTCCAGGCCAGCTCTCTGCTATGGCCTGGGAGTGCAGTGGAGGATGGCCCAAGTCCTTGGGCCCTGCACCCCATGGGAGACCAGGAGAAGCACCTGGCTCCTGCCTTCAGATCAGCTCAATGCGCCGGCTGCAGCGCGCCGGCCGCGGCGGCCATTGGAGGGTGAACCAACGGCAAAGGAAGACCTTTCTCTCTGTCTCTCTCTCTCACTGTCCACTCTGCCTGTCAAAAAGTAAAAAATTTTAAAAATTTTTAAAAAATTAAAAAAAAAAGATACTCACTAACATGCCTGCATACTACATCAAAGTGTCTGGATTCAGGGTTGAGCTGTGGCTCCTGTTTCCAGCAGACCCTGGGAAGCAGTGGCAATGGTTCAAATGACTGGGTTCCTGCCGCTCATGTGGAAATCTGGATTGAGTTCCCAGTTCCCAGCTGCCAGCTTCAGCCCAGTCGAGCCATGGCTATCGTGGTTATTTTCATAGTGAACCAGCAGATGAGAGCTGTGTGCCTCTCAAATAAATACATTTTAAAGAATACCCCAGTAATCTCATGAATTGATTTATCTTTTTTTAAAAGAGATTTATATATTTGAGAGAAAGAGTTACAGACACAGGGAGGGAGAGAGAGAGAGAGGTCTTCCATCTGCTGGTTCACTCCCCAAATGGCCACTTTGGCAAGAGCTGGGCCCATCCAAAGCCAGGAGTCAGGAGCTTCTTCCTGGTCTCCCACACAGGTGCAGGGACCCAACCACTTGGGCCATCTTCTAGTTTCCCAGGCACACTAGCAGGGAGCTGGATTTGAAGCCAGGTCTTGAACTTGCACCCATATGGGATGCTGGAACTGTGGGCAGAGGCTTAACCTACTATGACACAGTGCTGGCCCCTGAATTTACCTTCTCATTAGCTGGAAACATTGCCATACAGTGAGGCAGAGGGGAGAAAGGCTTTATAGTCAAGCTCTATGAAGAAGGAAAATTACAACATGTTTTTAAGTTCCTTTAGTAAAATTCTTAAGAAAAAGTCAAGTGACCATTGAAGATGATTTCTTTTAACTTTTATTTGGCAAGTATAAATTTCCAAAGTACAGCTTATGGATTACAATGGCTTTTTCCCCCCCATAACTTCCCTCCCACCCGTAACCCTCCCCTCTCCCACTCCCTCTCCCATTCCATTCACATCAAGATTCATTTTCAATTATCTTTATATACAGAAGATCAATTTAGTATATATTAAGTAAAGATTTCAACAGTTTGCACCCACACAGAAACACAAAGTGTAAAGTACTGTTTGAGTACTAGCTATACCATTCATTCACATTGGACAACACATTAAGGACAGAGATCCTACATGAGGAGTAAGTACACAGTGACTCCTGTTGTTGACTTAACAATTTGACACTCTTATTTATGGTGTCAGTAATCTCCCTGGGCTTTAGTCATGAGTTTCCAAGGCTATGGAAGCCTTTTGAGTTTGCCGACTCCGACCTTATTGAGTCAAGGTCTCAGTCAAAGTGGAAATTCTCTCCTCCCTTCAGAGAAAGGTACCTCCTTCTTTGATGGCCCGTTTTTTCTACTGGGTCTCACTCGCAGAGATCTTTCATTTAGCTCCTTTTTTTTTGCCAGAGTGTCTTGGCTTTCCATGCCTAAAATACTCTCATGGGCTCTTCAGCCAGATCTGAATGCCTTAAGGGCTGATTCTGAGGCCAGAGTGCTATTTAGGACATCTGCCATTCTATGGGTCTGCTGTGTATCCCTCTTCCCATGTTGGATCATTCTCTCCCTTTTTGATTCTATCAGTTAGTATTAGGAGACACTAGTCTTGTTTTTGTGATCCCTTTGACTCTTAGACCTATCAGTGTGATCAATTGTGAACTGAAATTGATCACTTGGACTAGTGAGATGGCATTGGTACCTGCCACCTTGATGGGATTGAATTGGGATCCCCTGGCATATTTCTAACTCCACCATTTGGGGCAAGTCAGCTTGAGCATGTTCCAAATTGTACATCTCCTCCCTCTCTTATTCCCACTCTTATATTTAATGGAGATCACTTTTCAGTTAAATTTAAACACCTAAGAATCATTGTGTGTTAATTAAAGAGTTCAACCAATAGTATTAAGTAGAACAAAAGAAATACTAAAAGGGATAAAGTATTAAGTTGTACATCAACAGTCAGGACAAGAGCCGATCAAGTCGCTGTTTCTCATAGTGTCCATTTCACTTCACCGGTTTCCTTTTTGGGGCTCAGTTAGTTGTCACTAATCAGGGAGAACATATATGCACTCTACAGAATACTATACAGCAGTTAAAAAAAAAGAAATCCGGTCATTTGCAACAAAATGGAGGAATCTGGAACACATCATGCTGAGTGAAATAAGCCAGTCCCAGAGGGACAAATATCAAAAAGATGATTTCATAAGTATATTGTTGTGACTTCAACTAGGATGCCCCCTTAGTTCTTAGAAAGAACAGCCAGGTAAAAGGAAATCAGTGCTTTTTTGGCCCTGGTTTTATAGATGGTGAGCGGTTCTTTCTGCAATTTCAGTAAAGAATGTTTGCAGGAGGGCTCCCTTCCAAGTCAATAAGAGAGGCTGAAAAGAGAGCATGTTCTCCCAAATCTAAGCCAGATGTATCTTGCCAGGCTTGAGGGGGCTCTCAGCCATGAAGGTGTCCTGATTGTGTCCACCCTGTTGTGCTTCTTGCCCGTAGATAAGTAGCATCACCGGGCTTTTCTTCCTTGCATTGCAGCTGTTGATAGACAGACATTCACAGTTTCCTGACTTTGCTTGCTGAGAATATCTGTTTCCCACAGTGTGGAGAGCAGCAACATTGCAGATTTCCAGAAAGCACACAAAGAATTTGTACACCCTGTTATTTACACCCTGCTATATTTCCAAATAGGAAACAGATATTTCTTTGTCTGTCTTCCCTACGAGGAAAAAAATAAGATCAAGACAGATAAGTGCCATATTGTCAAGTTCTAAGTAACTCAACCCTACATGAAATGATAAAATTTCAGCTGTCTGTGTGCATAAAATGTACAAAGCCTAAAGTGGGAGGTGGGGGAGGGTAGTTCAGGAAAACTGGAGGACTAGGCAGAGATGAGGGACTCAGAATGAAATTATATACTGCCATGCACCCAGAGGAATCCTTGTCACTCATTCCTGACTGCAGTAGAAGTACAGAAGTTCTTACTGCAATAACAGAATAAAAATATGCCCAATATAACCCAGTGTGTGTAGCAGGCATTTGTGCCACTTCCAACGCAGTTAGAACATAAGAAACGTGGAAGTGATGAGATCTGGGAGGTTAAACAAACACATTGGTAACTGAAGGTGAAAGTTCTAGATTTGATTTCACAACTGAAATTTTGCCACTTCCAGAAAGAACCATCTTTTGGGTTGCCTTTTTTGTTAACATTTGAACGATGACCAACAACACATGGCTTTAAAATCACATGTGCTTTGTCTTTAATGGAAATAAAGTGCTTTGAAATTTTCAGAAAATATGTGAAGGAAATGATAGGTTTGTTTTTTCTTTTATGTTCCTGTTAAACCAGCGAATTCTTTTTAGGACTCGTTCTATTACAAATCTCATGGAACACTTGAAATAGGATATCTTCAATTCATTTTTTAATGCAGTTTGCCATCAGGAAGACAGGTTCTCTTTGACTCACAGCTGACTTTTCTGACTTGTTCTGGTTCAGGTGTGTGAAGGTCAGAGGAAAGAGCTGGACTCTTCCATCATCCACGCTGCTGACCTGGACATTCCTGAGGACCTCCTACTGCTCAGCATCGTACGCAAACCACGTCACGGCCTCCTCATCAGTGAGGTGTTCAGCAAGGACTTCCCTCAGAAGAAGCAGCCAGCCAACCCTCACCAGAAGCATGAACCTGTTTACAACTTTTCCATGGAACTTCTAAGGAATGGTATATCATGGTCCACCTCTGTTCATTTAGTAGTGATGATTTAATAATTTGGGGTGGGCCTTTGGCATAGAGGATAAGACACTGCTTGGGTCACCCACACCTCATCTTGCAGTGCCTGGGTTCAAGCCCTGTTTCCATTTCTGACTTCAGCTTCTTGCTAATTTGTAGCCTGGGAGGCAGCTTAAGTAGTTGGTTCCCTGCCATCCATGTGGGGAACCTGGATTGAGTTCTTGGATCCTGGCTTCAGCCTAGCCCAGTAACACTGTTTTGGGCATTTGGAGAGTGAATCAATGAATGGGTGATATCTCTCTGTCTTGTCCCTCTGCCTTTCACAAATATGCAGAGTCTAAAAACATTGAACTCATAGAAGGCAAGAGTGGAATAGTGGATACCAGAAGTTGGTTACTAGGAAGGTTGGGTAGATTCTATATCTATTCCCTGGTTCACTTCTTTTATTTATTTATTTATTTATTTTTATTTTTTATTTTTTTTTACAGGCAGAGTGGACAGTGAGAGAGACAGAGAGAAAGGTCTTCCTTCGCCGTTGGTTCACCCTCCAATGGCTGCCATGGCCGGCGCGCTGCGGCCGGCGCACCACGCTGATCCGATGGCAGGAGCCAGGTACTTCTCCTGGTCTCCCATGGGGTGCAGGGCCCAAGTTCTTGGGCCATCCTCCACTGCACTCCCTGGCCACAGCAGAGGGCTGGCCTGGAAGAGGGGCAACCGGGACAGAATCCGGTGCCCCGACCGGGACTAGAACCCCGTGTGCCGGCGCTGCAAGGCGGAGGATTAGCCTAGTGAGCCGTGGCGCCAGCCCCTGGTTTACTTCTAAAATGCCCACAGGGTTGGGGCAGGCCAAAGCTAGGAGCCCAGAACTCAGTGTGGGTATACCTCGTGGGTGACAAGAATTTGATACTTGAGCCATTACCTGCTGTCTTGTAGGATGTGCTGGAATTGTCTAGCTGTATCAAGCAGTGTCTTAACCATTGTACCATATACACACCCTTGGGAGTAGATTTTAGTGTTCTCACTCCCAAAAAATATAATCACTAAGTGAAGTAACGCTTGTTAGTTAGTTTTAACCATCTAACAAGCAAATAGAAATCAAAACATCATGGTGTATTTCATAAGTGTATTATTTTTATTTGGCAATTAAAAATATTTAGTACAGAAAAGATAATAAGAAATCAAAGAGACAATGGAAAAGATAGCATTTACCTCCTTTATTAAGTTATCCCTCTGGAGTTACCTACTTACTGGCTCTGGATTTAGGAAGAGATGAAGCCCCAGCTAGAGATAGCAAATAATTGAAAAGGCACTAACACTTTTTTTTATTTATAATACTATTAAAAGTGATGTTTGTGGTTTCTGATATTTCCAACTCAAGTTTTTAATGTCATAATAAGAAAATCCTTTTAAAACTATTGAGATTATAGGACTAAATTTTAAGAGAATCACCTGCCAGAATTTCCACAGTTGAAACAAATACAGAACCACATTTAACAGCTCATTATTCTCTGAGGGAGTAATTTGCCTTTTAGAGAAATGACACATTGGAATGATAGTCTGAATTATTTTTTAATCGCTGTTTAAAAATTATTTTATCTAATTTTTCACAAGTAAAATATTTTAGGGCGCCAATGTTGTGGCACAACAGATAAAGTCGCTACTTGAAACACATATCAGAGTGCTGGATTGAGTCCCTACTGCTCCTCTTCTGATCCGGCTCCCTGCTAACGTGCCTGGAAAAGCAGCAGAGTACTTGGGCCTGTGCCAACCATGTGGGAGGCCCTTGTGGAGTTCCTGGTGCAGCCCTGGCTCTTGTGGTCATTGGGGAGTGAACTAACAGATAAAAGATCTCTCTCTCTCTCACCCTCTCTCTGCCCCTCTCTTTTGTTATCTTTCCCTCTCTCATTCCCTCCTTCCCTGTCTCTGTCACACTGCCTTTCAAATAAATAAATTTTTTTAACTTTTATTTAATGAATATAAATTTCCAAAGTACAGCTTATGGATTACAATGGCTTCCCCCTCCATAACTTCCCGCCCACCTGCAACCCTCCCCTTTCCCGCTCCCTCCCCCCTTCCATTCACATCAAGATTCATTTTCAATTCTCTTTATATACAGAAGATCAGTTTAGCATATATTAAGTAAAGATTTCAACAGTTTGCACCCACATAGAAACACAAAGTGAAAAATACTGTTTGAGTACTAGTTATAGCATTAAATCACAATGTACAGCACATTAAGGACAGAAATCCTACATGAGGAGTAAGTGCACAAGTGACTCCTGTTGTTGACTTAACAAATTGACACTCTTGTTTATAGCATCAGTAATCACCCTAGGCTCTTGTCATGAGTTGCCAAGGCTATGGAAGCCTTTTGAGTTCACCGACTCTGATCATATTTAGACAAGGTCATAGTCAAAGTGGAAGTTCTCTCCTCCCTTCAGAGAAAGGTACCTCCTTCTTTGATGACCCGTTCTTTCCACTGGGATCTCACTCACGGAGATCTTTCACTTAGGTGTTGTTTGTGGTTTGTTTTTTTTTTTTTTTTTTTTTTGCCAGAGTGTCTTGGCTTTCCATGCCTGAAGTACTCTCATGGGCTTTTCAGCCAGATCTGCATGCCTTAAGGGCTGATTCCGAGGCTAGAGTGCTGTTTAGGACATCTGCCATTCTATGAGTCTGCTGTGTATCTCGCTTCCCATGTTGGATGGTTCTCTCCCTTTTTTATTCTATCAGCTAGTATTTGCAGACACTAGTCTTGTTATGTGCTCCCTTTGGCTCTTAGTCCTATCATTATGATCAATTGTGAATAGAAATTGATCACTGGGACTAGTGAGATGGCATTGGTACATGCCACCTTGATGGGATTGAATTGGAATCCCCTGGTATGAATTTTTAAGAAAAAAAAATACTTTTAAAAACTTGAGAGAAGTGTACAGTTCTTATGTGTTACCTGTTCTTCATTTCCTTCTTTCTCTTCCTTTTTTTTTTTTTTTTTTAAGATTTATTTTATTTGAAAGGCAGAGTTTTGGAGAGAGAGCCAGAGAGAGAGAGAGATCCTTCCATCTGCTGGTTCAATCCCCAAATGGCTGCAATAGCCAGGGCAGGGCCAGGCTGATGCCAGAAGCCAGGACTTCATCTGGGTCTCCCACTGGTGCAGGGGCCCAAGCACTTGGGCCATCATCCACTGCTTTCCCAGGCATGTCAGTAGGGAGCTGGGAGCTGGATTGGAAGTGGACCTGATCCAGTGCCCATATGGGATACCAGCATCACAGGTGGTGGCTTTACTAGCTACACCAGAATGCGGGCCTCTCTCCTTCTTTCTTCATGTGTGTGTTTTCTCCAGCCTAGAAGGTCTTTCCCCTCCTTCTGCAGGTCAGCTGGGGGACAGCACCTTCAGAACGCGGCTCTCTCTTAGCTTCCCCTCGGAGACCACCCAGCTCCTCCAAACCATGCCTTCTCTGGGCTGGCTTCATCTTGGCACTTGCTCAACATTTTTGTACTTTGTCTTTGAATTGTGTTTACCCCAATAAAATGTAAATCTCTGCCCCGAAATTTATTTTACATACTTGCATAAATGTCATCTTATTTCTGAATTAGAAAAAGCTAATTCACATATTTCTATTTTAGTGAATCCAACAAAATAATTCTGGAGCTTAAATGATAACAACCAAATCAGTATCCACATGCTGTAAATAATAGATATTTTATTATAAATATGTTTTTTCCAAATTTAAGACAAAAGGAAATAATTATAATTTTAGTCAAAAATATTTTTTAAAAACATTTGCTAGTTATTATCAAGGTAAGCACATATTACATGTTCATTGTGTAAATTTTGGACTCCAGATATTTTGAAGAAAAACTAAAAATTTTTCATATTGCTTTTTATGATTTATCTTATTTACTTATTTGAAAGAATCTCCAACATAGGTGGCAAAGGCCCAAGCACTTGGACTATCTACTACTATTTTCTCTAGCATATTAGCAGGAAGCTGGATCAGGAGTAACTTGGACTTGAACTGGTGCTCATATGGGATGCCAGTATTGAAGGCAATAGCTTAACCTGCTATGCCACTATATTGACTCCATAAGTTAGTTTTTTAAATAAAATATTTAATTTAAATTTCTTAAAATTTAATTGTAACTTAAATTTTTAATTTTAAAATATTTAACTTTTTAATCAAGCATTTAAATTTTTTAAATTTAATTTAAATTACAATTTTAAGTTTAATTTAAAATTTGTTTAAATAAAAATTTAATTTAAAATTCAAAAATTCAAAACAATTTTTTGAAAATCAGAATAACAGAGACAGAGACAGAGAGAGATTGGCTGTTCACTGCAACAGCCAGTACTGGACCAGGGCAAAGCAAAGAGTCAGGAGCTTCTTCCAGGTCTCCCACATGGGTGGCAGGAGCCACAGCACTTAGGCCATCCTCTGCTGCTTTCCCAGGTGCATTAGCAGGGACCTGGATTGGAGGCAGAGCACCCAGGACTTGAACTGGTACTCATATGGGATGCTGGCATTGCAGGCAGCAGCCTTACCTGCTACACCACAAATCAGCCCTATAAATTAGCTTTTATGTTAATATTTTGATTATATTCTCAGAGATTATATGTTTACTTATATTTTAGTTTAGTTCACCTAGGGCTACACTTAATTCTTTTTTTTTAAGATTTATTCATTTATTTGAAAGAGTTACACAAAGAGAAAAGGAGAGGCAGAGAAAGAAAGAGAGGTCTTCCATCCTCTAGTTCACCCCCCAAATGGCGGCAACAGCCAGAGCTACACCGATCCGTAGCCTGGAGCTTCTTCTGGGTCTTCCACATGGGTGAAGGAGCTCAAGGACTTGGGCCATCTTCTGCTGCTTTCCCAGGCCATAGCAAAGAGCTGGATTGGAAGAGGAGCAGCCAGGACTTGAACCGGCACCCATATGGGATGCTGGCACTTCAGGCCAGGGCATCCTAACCACTAGAACAAATACCTGTTCCTGGCTACATTTTTTTTTCCCACTTAGTTTTCTAATTTTATTAAGATATCTGGGTCAAGAACAATGGTAGCTATTGTTATTTCACATCTAAATTTAAAATGTACAATTTATACTATTTTATAATCACATACATATTTCCTTAAGAATCAACAAATATTGAATATACATATACTGAATTTCCAACTGTTTGTTTTAAAAAATAGAATCATGTGCCACAAACATATTAATATACTTAGCACAATAACAGTACTCAGTACCACTAAATGATTATGTCATTAAGATTCTGAAAAAAAAATGATTTCCCATTTTACTTATGATTCTTCCAACATTTATTTTCACAAAAGTAACAAAAATACACATAAGGAGGAAAAAAGTTATCCATATGATACAAAAGTGCCAGCTTACTTATTTGATCTCCTAAAATCTTTTCCACAGAAGTGTGCTTGCTCCTTGAAATTCCTTTATAGCATTTTCTTAGATCTTATAATTCCTTGAACTCTGTAGTAACACAATTTGTTTTTAGTTTGTCTATGTTTGTGTCCATATTTTAACCTTCTCTGTCAAACTTATGTTTTGCTAGCTCATCATCAGGCATCTAAGATTGTAACCCAATGACTTTATAGTTAAGTACTGTACTCACATCATGTAAAGACCAGCACAGGCAGCAGCATTTATTTAATTGGTAGCCACTGAATATTAAGTATAGCCATATGTGCAACATATATTGATTGAAAAGCCCTAAAAGGTCTCCCAGAATTTAAATATCCCTTTCTTTTCTGATCTGCTGAGACAAAATATTTTTAAATACTTCTACCTTCCCTCAAACTAACCTTTCAGAACTTTCTACTGAGTGATTTTAGGGTCTATGTACTGCAGATAACCTCTGCCCTGGCTACATTTTTTAAAAACAATGTATTCTTGCCAGTGCCGTGGCTCACTAGGCTAATCCTCTGCCTGTGGCGCAGGCACCCCGGGTTCTAGTCCCGGTCGGGGCGCCAGATTCTGTCCCGGTTGCTCCTCTTCCAGTCCAGCTCTCTGCTGTGGCCTGGGAAGGCAGTGGAGGATGGCCCAAGTGCTTGGGCCCTGCACCCACACAGGAGACCAGGTTCCTGGCTTCGGATCAGCACAGCTCGCCAGCCGCAGCACAGCGACTGTAGCGGCCATTTGGGGGGTGAACCAACAGAAAAAGGAAGACCTTTCTCTCTCTTTCACTGTAACTCTGCCTGTCAAAAAACAAACAAACAAAACAACAATGTATTCTCAAAAACATTCCTCCCCCACCAATGAACTCATAAAGCTGCTACCATGTTATGTGATCTTTTCTCATGAATTATTATAAGCATCTTTTTACTTTTAGAATGTTATCCAAAATAATTTTGATAACTATACTGTTTCATTGTATAAATGAACTATGTTATATTTTTTACTACTATCTCCAATTTTTAAGTATATGGATAGCTTTCCATTTCTTGGTATTAAAAGTTTTATGTTGGACCTGGCATGTGGTACAGCACATTAAGCCACTGTCTGTGACATCAACATCCCCTGCTGGTGCAGGTTTGAGTCCCGGCTGCTCCACTTCTGATCCAACTAGCTGCTGATGTGCGTGGGAAAGCAGTGGAAGATGGCCCAAGTGCTTGGGCCCCTGCACACACTTGGGAGACCAGGTGGAGTTCCAGGTTACTGGCATCCATTGTAGGGAGAGTACCAGTGGATGGAAAATCAGTCAATTCTCTCTCTCTCTCTCCCCCTCTCTCGCTCTCTCTTTCTAACTCTACCTTTCAGATAAATAAATTTTTAAACAAATGAAGTTTTAAAAAAAACTTATATGTCAAGAAACATACTTTACCTAAATGTTGGTGCACATTTCAGTATTTCTGTAACTTTGCAGTAAGTTTTGACAATGGTAAATATAAGGCTTCCAATTTTGTTCTTCTTTTTGGCCTTATTGGGTGTTTTGCATTTCCATATAAATGTCAAACAGTTTATCAAAGTAGATTTTTTATATTTAAGCTTTAATCCATTTTAATTTATTTTGGTGAATGGCTTGAGGTAGGGATCTAACTATATGACTTTCCCCAAGTAATTAATTTTTAACACTGATACCTTTGTTCTTACAGAGTTGATGAAATAATATATCCTTTTCTCACTAATTTTAAATAAGCTTCTTATCAAATACTAAGTTATTTAATTGAAGATTCTTTAATGGGCCAAGAAGGTACTCTTTGACTTCATGAAACTAATTTCATTTCATCATTTAGCATTGATTCATAAGCTCTTTCCAATACCAGCACCTTGGAAATTGAAGTGGGGTATCTGTGACATGCATTGGGATGGTTCAATAAAAGGAAAATTTACTTTCTCTCTGTTTTCCCTTCTTCCAGGAATGAGGTTGGCATATGTGCACGATGACTCAGAGAGCCTTGCTGATGACTTTACCATCCAGGTGTCAGATGGGAAACATAAGATACTCAAAACCATTTCAGTAGAGGTCACCCCAGTGAATGATGAGAAACCAACACTGAGCAAGTAAGCTAGCTGAAAGGAGTCCCTTTCAGATTTCCCTAATTTCAAAAAGTCTGAAATAGCCGTTGGGTAGTGTGTGTCTCCCCAGTGATGCAAATAGCTCCTATCTCAACCAGCCTCACTCACTCGGGCACCTGAAGCCTTTAGTGCTGGTGTGAGTTAATAGTGCTTCTGCTGAACCTTACTGCTTTAATGAGTTGATTTTCTTCTAAAAGTTCTAGTGGTGTAAAACTAGGAATGACTGAACACGTAGTATGGAAAGAACATTCTATTAAATATTTAAACGCATGCATACCTACATAAACATGCCTGCACACATACTGAAGTGCAGTTAGTGTAGAGTCCACTGAAATGTCATATGAACTGCGAGCAATCCTCCTCATGAGTGTGACTGAACGTTTAAGGAGGGAATATATCAATTCCTCCTCTCTCATCATCTTGGAACTGCTCTGTCCGCTGGTCCTCTGCCATGTCCCATACAGATCAGCATCTCCTGCCACCTCATGGCAAAATGATCAGTGTGGCAAATTCTAAGTTGATAGAATTCATTGCAGGCTTTCTCAGAATCTCCAGCTCTTCTTGAGTGTTGAGTGTAGAAAGTAACTGGTTGTAGGTTCTTCTTGGAGGGCTTTACCCCTTTACTCCAAGGTGCAGCTGAGAAAGGCAGCGGGTAGATGGTCTGTGAATAACTTCCTGAAAGTATATAACCCCCCACAGCCTCCTTCACTCTACAGAAAAGGAGGGCTTCAAACAAATGCTTCCTCACCCTACCAGCTCTCCCGCTATTCCCTTATAAAAAGGCCCCTAGGACGGTCCTTGAGAACCACTGTGGGAAATACTGATGACAGTTTCTCAGAGGGTTTTATCTCAGATCATTTTTCGGAGGGTTGTATCAGCTGGACTTAGGGTATTTTTCACCAGATATTTCTGTTCTCTTATTTACTGACTAAAATGTCACATTGGGAACCTTGATTCATAATGAGATTCTGTGAAGTAGTTGTGGTATTACAAAAGCTTTGTTCGATCATTGAACTTTTTCTAACAGAGAGGGAGAGCATTGAAAACTGACATCTATTAAGTACCTGATATAGAACAGCTTATTAGATTTTTTACCTGTCTTTTTCCATTTATTCCTCCCCAGAACTGTGGGGCATGTGTCCTATTGTCCTAACTCAGAGATACTGAGACCAGAGAGGTTAAATAGTTTACACCAGGTTTCTCTCAACCTTGACTGACTGCAAAGGCCAAGTTCTTGCTGCTAATCCTCCTGAAACAGCGGCATCTACGGAATCACCAAATCTCCTTCAATCCTGCTTCATCTCCCCACCCCTTTTTCCTTCCCATTCCTTTTTTCTTTGTCCCCCTGGGAGAGAAACTGATGTTGCCTCTTTATCTTCCATGTGAACGCTTGGGTATTTCACCTCTTGCTTCCTCTTGGAACCCCATTATTTCTTCTTCAAGTTTCTCTTATTTCTCATGGTCTTCTGCTAATGAGACATAAGCATATCATTCATGGTTAAGGGGGCAAATACTGGAGCCAGATTGACATTTCAGCCACTTCTCAGCAGTGTGACCTTGAATATATTGCATAACCTCTCTCTTTCTCTCTTTTAGCATCTCTCTAAATGATACTAATAGGATCCTATTCATGGGGTTTCTTGCTAGGATTATGTAAATAGTGAAAGCACTTGAAAGACTGGCCATACATAGCAACTGCTCATGAGCAACCCATGTCATTGTTGCAAGCAGATATCCTTATTCTAAAAAAGCAAAGACAACCCAGTCTCCATTCATTTCAATGCCAAACTACTTGGAAGAGTAGCTTGTGTACCTGTCTTCTGTTTCTGTCCACCATCTCCAGCCTCCACCTCATTACTGAAGCTGCTCACTTAAAAGTCACCCTTGGCTTTCCCACCAAGTCTGTGGCTCTTCCCAGCTTACTGGACCCTGTGGAAGCATCTGACACTGTTTCCTTGAGATCCTTTTGGATGCTGTTGGTTCCATGGGGATGTACCACACACATGGTCAGTGTCATCAGTGTCCTGTCTCAGGTGCCCACAGTGCTTTGCTCCACTTTTCTGCCCGCGGGCTTCCTCTGAAGGTCAGTGACTCCTTCAGCCCATGACCAGCCACAATAGAGAACATTGTAGAAACAGCCCTTAACCTTGGTAGATAGTGGATAAGAAAAAGATCCCAGCTTCCTGTTCTTCAGAAGCACCATGTGCATCACGTTCTACAGGGTTTCTTAGAAGAGCCCCAGCAGGGTTGAACCCCAGCTGTCCAGAGCCTTTTTCTTCTTTCCCCTTCTCACCCACTCCCTCTCCCCTTTTTCCTGGGATCACTTCCCCAATAAATGACCTGAGCCACAGTCCTTTTCTTGGAGTCCCTTTTAGGGTAACCCCAGTGATGAGATGCTTTCTCTTCTCTTGGCTCTTTGATACTTAACTCCTTCACTTTCTTCTTTCCAAATACGCCATCTTCCTCATATCAGCTTACTGTCTTGATTCGTCTGTCTTTGGGAATGGCACCACTAATCTGCATTCGCTCCCAACCAACTAACTGACCTTCTAGAATAATGGGCTTAATGTCTCCAATCAAGAGAGGGGCAAATGTCACCTCCTGTTGCTAGTGAATATTTGCTTTGTCCTGGGTAGTCAGGAAACACACCCTGAAGGATTCGGCTTCATACCAGGGGACAGGGAGGCTGTGGGCGCCAGTGGGTGCATTCAAATGTTCTTCACCTGATTGCCAAGGAATTCGGGTACCCTGATTTTTCTCTGAAACTAAGCTGTCAGATTGGACAGGGTTAGGCCATGTGTGCTGGCCACAACCAAGAGCCAGAAACATTGCTAGAAAGAGGTCCCTTCCTCTCCTCAATGAGAGCAGAGAAAATGGCCATCATGGTGTGAAAGCAACACCAATGCAGGGACCACGGACACCACAGAGGAAGTGTCCATGGCAGAAGCAGCAGCTGCCCCAGCCCCCAGGAGCTCACATGGCAGCTGTAGCACTGGGCAAAGGTGAATCTCCGGAAAGAGAACACAAGTAGCACAGATGTTTGGCCCGTAGTTAAGATGCCCACATCCAGTATCAGAGTGCCGGGGTTCTAGTCCCAGCTCTGGCTCCTGACTCCAACCTCCTGTGAAGGCAGACTCTGGCAGGCTGCAGTGATGACTCAGTTACATCCCTGCCACTCCCATGGGAGATCCAGGCTGAGTTCTGGGATCCTAGTTTCGGCCCAACCCAGTCCTGGCCTTTGTGAGTATCTGGAAGATAAACTTGATGATGGGCCCTGGTTCTGTGTGTGCGTGTGTGTCTATGTCTCTTCCTCCCTCCCTCTCATACCCCTCTGCCTCTCTAATAATAATAATAATATTAATAGAGAACACGAGCTACCCAGAACATTACCAAGGACAAGAGTGATTTAGATGGCCAACAAGGACATAAATGCCACCAAACTGAGAGTAGCAATCATAAAAGTTACTGGAGCACCTATGACTAACTCATTTAGTCTCTGTAATTCCATTTATAATGTTAGAATGGCAGTACCTGGCCAACCTACTTCATCAGGTTTTATCAAATGAAATATAGGAAACAAAATCTTAACAAATTGCCACTTAGAAGACTGAAAGCCTCTCTAGGTATAAGTAATTAGAACTCTCGAGTCACCGCTCACTGTGTTCCTTGTTGCTGACCTGTCTTTTGAGACTTTGGGGTGCGAAATGAAATGAGAGCCCATGTCATGTGTCTGAGTAACCGTTTACAGTTCTTTGGGTTATTGAATATCGTTCCCTAATTGCTGAAGGGTGGGAACTGCTGGAGTCAATCTGGTGTCCCCTGCTACAGTAATACCTTCTGTTTTCATTCGCTTTTCCTACAGGAAGGCTGAAATTGCTGTGAGTATGGGGGAAACCCGTATCATCTCTAGCGCTGTTCTTTCGGCTGTAGATGAAGACTCACCCAGGGAGAAGATTTACTACCTATTTGAAAGACTTCCCCAAAATGGGCAACTTCAGCTTAAGGTTAGTGGCCTCCTTATTTTCAGAATGAATGTAGCAGGTAAAAATTTTCTCCATGCACACATTTGGGTAATTGAATTTCTTCTTTAATAACCATATTTTTATTCGGAAGTGAAATTTTTCTAGTCTAGTGTGAACTCACATTCTTCTAAGTTTTCTTACTGGATTCAGAGTAAACTCGGTATCAGCATTCTTCATTGCTAGTCCTCTGCCCCCAAGATTGTCCCTAAATGCTAAGGGAGAGAGGTGAAGTTAGTTGTATGAATTCTAAGGAGAATTCAGCATCTTTTGAGGTATCTTTGTTCCCACCAGATTTTTTACTTATGATCTATGTAATTTTCTTCTTCTTATTGCTTTATTTGAATTCTTTTTTTTTTTTTTTTTGGACAGGCAGAGTGGACAGTGAGAGGGAGAGACAGAGAGAAAGGTCTTCCTTTGCCGTTGGTTCACCCTCCAATGGCCGCTGCAGCCGGCGCACTGCGGCCTGCGCACCACGCTGATCCGATGGCAGGAGCCAGGTACTTATCCTGGTCTCCCATGGGGTGCAGGGCCCAAGGACTTGGGCCATCCTCCACTGCCCTCCCTGGCCACAGCAGAGAGCTGGCCTGGAAGAGGGGCAACCGGGCCAGAATCCGACGCCCCGACTGGGACTAGAACCCGGTGTGCCGGCGCCGCAAGGTGGAGGATTAGCCTAGTGAGCCGCGGCGCCAGCCCGATTTATTGCTTTATTTGAAAGAATTACAGGGTGGGGGTGGCAGGGAAGAGAGATCTCTTCCATCTGTTCGTTCACTCCCCTGATGGCTCTCATGGCCAGTGCTGGGCAGGCTGAAACAGGAGCCAGAAGCTTCTTCTGGGTTTCCCACATGGGTGCAGGGGTCCAAGCATTTAGGCCATCCTCTTCTATTTTCCCCAGGCCATTAGCAGGGAGCTAGATTGTAAGTGGAGCAGCTGAGACTCCAACGAGTGCCCATATGGAATGCCAGTGCTGCAGGCAGTGGCTTTACCCACTGTACCACAATGCCAGCCCATAATTTTCTTCTTTACCATCCATCATCTCAAACATAAAACTCCTTCAGATCCACCAACAATCAGTCTCTGTGTGTGTGTGTGTGTGTGTGTCTGTGTCTGTGTGTTTCTACCTCCCTCTTTCAGATAAATTCTAGACTATTCTTAGGTATATAAAAACTTATAATGTTTTTTCATAGCTAAGAGGGTCAGGAGAATTGGAAGGAGCTGCCTCCCTCACCTTCTGCCCTCATCCTCTCGCTAACAACAATCTCTGCCTCTTGACACTGGGCTGCAGGGACCTGAGACCAGTGGCCCAGTGGCCCGGGAAATGGTCCTCTCTCTACTTTAGACGCCAATCATTACTGAGATTTTCACTTCCTGCCTCTTGTGCTCAGCAGTGGGCAGCTTTCTTGTTCCTCTCCCAATTCTCACCCCCACCCCGCCCCACCCTGGGGAGCAGGGACAGTCTTTATCTCTTCCCTAGGGAGACAGTTCTCTCAGCAAGCAAGATACAGAACTGTTCTGCATTCTGTTTGAGATGAACTTAAAAACTCAAAGGTTGGTGCCTTTATTCTGCCATGCAACACTGGAGTCCTCATGTTCTGGTCTAAATGGGCAAAATCTTGAATCAAAAATTAACAGTAGGGAGGGGGGGACTTCCTGTGGCAGTCATCCACCCACTGACAACTATCAGATTGTAACAACAGCCATGTTTGAAACCAGTGAGTGAAGTACATGGCATAATAAATTGACATCTCTAGATTTGTATATGTTCTGGATATTTCTTGCTTTAATGGAGAGCAAGTAAGTATAGAAAAGGATACAATAGGAGTCAAATCACCTGGGTCCCATCATTAACTGTTTTATTAAAAAAGACATTTATTTGAAAGGCAGAGTTAGAGAGGGAGAAACACAGAGAAATAATCTTCCAACTAGTGGTTCAATCCCCAAATTGCCCAACAGCCTGGGCCAGCCAGGCCAAAGTCAGGAGCCTGGAACTCCATCCAGGTCTCCTTCAAGGGTGGCAGGAGCCCAAGCCCTTGGGCCATCTTCCACTGCTTTTCCCAAGCACATTATCAGGGAACCATTTTGGAAGAGGAGCAGCCAGGACTTGAACCAGTACTCAAATAGGGTGCCAGCACTGAAAATGGCAGTTTAATCCCTGTACCACAATGGGAGCCCCTCATTAACTCTTCCAGCGGCTTGCTCTGTGCTCCTGTAACATGCCCTTCTTTCATTGTAGTCCAGGAATGGCCAAATTTCAGTCTCCTTCTGACTGTGCATGATATCCAAGGATTTACCCAACATGAATTATAGATCAGTCACTTGGGAACATCAGTTGAGTAATCAATCAAAATGTTTATGTGAATGAGGGACTTAGGCTATCTACAATCACCCACTATTCTCAGTGTGATTATTCACCTGACTCCTTAACTTTTCATCTAATGTGGATGCAGTCCTGGAAGAGCAGCAAGGACTCACTCTGTGTGGAACAGCTTGATTGTCTTAGATTGCAGACACCACAGAGAATCAGAGTGAAGAGCAGTCACTGATTTAAATTGAGGTGCAGCTGTGTCCTTATTTCATTTCAGAGAGTAATGAAGCAGAAATGCAGTGATGGCTCACACATTTGGGTGGCTTGGGAGCTGAACTGTTTTGGATATGTGAGCATCCAGATGGGTCCAGGTTCCCAGGATGGCTCCACACAGTTCTCTCCCAGCTCCCTAGGGGTTCCCCAAGATTTCCCAAAACCAGAGACCAGGATTCCAGGCCTCCCTGACTCTCAAGTGTTGTTTTCTTGTTGACCTTTCTTACATATCCACCTGGAGTCTGACTATCTTTTTCTTCCTTTTTCTGGGCCTTCAAACAGTTCTTTCAAGTCAATCTCAAATGTAGGGGTGCAAGTGAGGAATTCGATTTAGACAAGAGAGAGCAAAACTGCTACTGTATTTACTTTCTTAGCTCATACTACAAAGGGAAAAACTTAAATAGAATTTCAGGCTGCTTAGTTGAAAATGCGAAAGAATATCTGTTTTAAACCTAGTGTTTGCAAATAGATCTTAGGATGGAGAAAGCACTGAACTTAATGATGACAATATAAACAACTTTAATCCAGCAAGCACAGAGGCTGAACATACATCTCCAAACATCAGATAGGCAAAAGTTTTGAAAAGAAGCTTTATGATATAAAAGGAATTGGCCACACAATGGGGGTGGAGGGGGACAAAATCTTGCCAGGATTCCAAGGGCTGAGAGTCTCTAGAGTGATTATTAAGGGAAATACAAAGTAAATTATTTAAATTTCTGTTTTAATCTCTTAAACCAGATAGGAAATATGCAAGATAATATCATCTAGAAAAACTCTAAGATAATATTTTCCTTGAATTACATCAAATGACTTTATGAACTACTCTTAGGAAAAGCTACACATGTATCTTAAGAAAATAAACATAAGATTATTAATAAGGTACAGATTTATTATTTCATTCCCAAATTTTCTCAGTTGTTAGCCACTCCCTCACTTCTAGCATGATAATGTCTTTTAACTGAAAATTCCACAATTTTTACAAAATCTCTGTATAGAATATATGCTTAACTAATATTGGCTTTTTTTTAGAAGATTCTGGCACAAATAATATATAATATTTGCAATTTGTATTTTTTGCTGACTTAGTAGATGTAAATATAGGGAGTGATGGAGATTTTGATCATTTTCTTTAGGTTTTGGTAAGCTTGGAAAATGGACGGGAGAGTGAATACATCTATCTTATTTTTGCTTTTTCTCCTTTAGATAAGCCCAGTAGCAAACCACTTTGAAAAAAAAATAGATTTCAGGGCCCGTGTATGGCACAGTGGGTTAAAGCCCCGACCTGCAGCGCTGGCATCCCATATGGGCGCCAGTTCAAGTCCTGCCTGTTCCACTTCTGATCCAGCTCCCTGCTAATGCGCCTGGGAAAGCAGCAGAGGATGGCCCAAGTCCCTGGCCCCTGCACCCACGTGGGAGACCTGGAAGAAACTCCTGGCTCAACTCTGGCTGTTGCGGCCATTTGGGGAGTGAACCAGTGGATGGGAGACCTCTCTCCCTCTCTCTCTCTCTCTCTCTCTCTACCTCTACCTCTCTCTCTCTCTACCTCTCCCTGTAACTCTGTCTTTCAAATAAATGAAATAAATCTTTAAAAAAAAGAAAAAGTATATTTCATTAGTTGTATAATGATATGAACTGAAAAAAGGAAACTCCAAAAGAAACTCATTGAATTTCTAAAGAACCTGTTCCATTGGCTTAATTATCTGCCTGCTGTCATTAATTGGAATAGTTTATCAACAATGATTGGTTATGATAAATATCTTGGAAGTAGCAATGTTGTTGAATTGTCACATGACTTCATCAAAGATCCTTTTATTGAAAATAGTTTTTTTCCCTAAGTCTTAAATTATTTAAATATATTTCCTTGAAAAGAAATAAGGTAAAATAACAAAAGTAGCCTGGGATTTCCCTGAAACACATTTTTTAAAAATGTATATGTATTCATTTATTGTTTGCTTTATTTGAAAGACAGAGACAGAAACAGAAAGAGAGATCTGTCATCCAGTGATTCACTCCCCAAATGACTACAACAGTTAGAATGGGGCCAAGGAACCAGAAGACCAGACAAGCCAGGAGCCACAACTCAATCTGGGTCCCCCATGTGGGAGACAGAGACGTAAATACTTTAGCCACCATCTTTGCCTGCGTGGGGTAGCATTAGCAGGAAGCTGGATTAGAAGCAGAGCCAGGACTGTAAGAAAGACACTCTAATATGGGATGTAGACATCTTAAACAGAATCCTTAGTGTTGCTCCAAATGCCTGCCTCTGAAATAATTTTCTACTGGAGATTTTCAGGGGAAAGTCTGGAAAGAGGAGGAACCATGGACAACTGACTAATTCTGGCACCTTTCAGACAGGGAGGGACTGGGTCCCTCTCTACCCTGGCATGAAATGCACTCAGGAGGAAGTGGATCTGAACCTGCTGAGATACACACACACCGGGTCAATGGATTCCCAGAATCAAGATGGTTTCACCTTCTACCTCTGGGATGGTGACAATCAGTCCCCTGCATTTGACTGTCACATCAGCATCAAGCACATGGGAAAAGGTAAAAGTACGCCTACCAACATCAGTGGGGTCAACTTTTATAATCAGAGCTTCAAAAAGTACACAGAAAATTCATATTATGAAAAACTGTGTTAGACTTCAAGATCTTTTTGCATCACAATAAACTTCTCATTCTTCTGCAAGATTTCAAGGACCCTGTACATAACACATTGTATTTATCCATTCATCTGTGGAGGGACACAGGGGTTGCTTCTGTCTCTTGGCCATTGTGAATAATCCTGCTATGAACATGAGTGTGTAAACATACCTTCTTTTAAAAATACATTGTGAGCACCTGTGCAACCACCACATGGTTCATGGATGGGAGTAGTCACAAGGGACTTTTCCTTGTGTGCTCCTCCCACCATATGAAGAAAACTACCATCTTGAGTTATATATTATTTTGCTTTTGTTTATAGTTTTCTTGACTTGTTCATGCAACTCCTGAAACTTTATAAACCACATGTTTTAAATGCATTTATTTATTTATTTATTTAAGAGGCAGAGGGACAGAGAGATAAAGAAAAAGTGCTCTTACCCACTGGTTCATTTCCCAAAAGCCTATAATAGCCAGGGCTTGGCTGAGGCTAAGATCAAGAGCCAGGAATCCAATCCTGGTCTCCCTTGTGGGTGGCAGGAACATAAATACTTGAGCCATCACCACTGCCTCTTAGAGTGTGCATTAGCAGAGTAGAGGGGAGACTTGAATCCAGGTACTGCAATGTTGGAGGCAAGCATCTTAAACACTAAGCTAAATGCCTGTCCCAATAAACTACACATTTATCACTGCATGCAGCTGTAGTTCATTCATTTTGTCTCTGATTGTATTGTATGAGTAGACCACAGTTTCTTTATCCGTTGACCTGTGGAAAGGCATTTGGGTTATTTGCACCATTTTCATCGCAAGCAGTGCTGTAGTGACCATTTCGGTTGATGTCTCCTGGGGTACAAGTGTAAGTAGGGTGGACATGCTGAATCAAGGCATATGTGAATATTGAACTCTTTGCAAAATAATGAAAATTGTGTGCCAATTTACACTTGCTCCAGAATTGCATGTATGAGTCTCTTGATCTACAGGCTCTTTAATACTTGCTATGGTCAATCTTTGACAACTGGAGTGTTATTAGATGGCAACAACTTGTGACCCTGTTTGCATTTCCACAGTTGTTAATGAGTTAATGAGATTGAGTCTCTTTTAATGTATTTATCAGCCTCGTGTATTTCTTCTGTGACAAGGCTCCTTATCTCTTTTGGCTAATGTTTTTATTGATGTCACTTGTTCCTACCTGTCTATGTCATCCAAGTTTTGATTTTGCACAGTCTGGCCTTTGTCTTTTATATTTACCTTGGACTTCACATGTTTTAATATGGTTCTTGACCACACCCTCTTCTGCCACACAGGTGAAATTGTCATTCATGCAAAGCCACTTGTGGTGTCTAATGGTGACAGAGGTTTCTTGACGACCACCACGCTCCTGGCTGTGGATGGGACGGACAAGCCTGAGGAGCTTCTCTATGTCATCACTTCCCCACCACAATACGGGCAGGTAGAATATGTCCGCTATCCCGGAGTCCCCATTACAAGCTTCAGCCAGATGGACATAGCTGGACAGACAGTCTGCTACATCCATAGGAGCAAGGCTGCTGTCCCCAGTGACACATTCAGGTGAGCCCTGCGGGAACTTCCTGAACTTCCTGCCTAGAAAGAGAAAAGGAAACATGTTGCTTGACTATACTAACCACTTTATTATATATGTGATATAGATGTATGTATTTCATAATTGCATTCCTTAAGTGTACTTTAAAAAGTTTATTTTTTGACAAAAAAGAAAAAGGAGGAAAAAAAGCTATGATTTTCTTCTTCTGCTTAACTCTGTGAAACATGAAAGCACACTATTAAAATGACAGCAGCAAGGCAAGAAACTAGGTCCTGTTATTGAAAAATAAGCGCAATAAGCAGATCTAAATGCAAGCCCTTCTCTGAGGAGGAATGTGAAGAAGAGGGTCGCAGCAGAGGGAGACACGGAGAAGTAATTTCCCTCTTTTGTCAGTGTGTTTTTCTGTCTGAGGAAAATGCATTTATTAGTAAACATTTGGCATAAGCAGATACTGCCTTTTGACACAATGTGTTGCTGTAACTAAATCATAAATCATGTTGTCATAAAGTAGATCATATTTCCCCATAGAACTAATGTTATAATTGGGGACTGTGCACCTGTTCGAGGATTTTGCTTCGAATAAATCACTAGAATGAACAACAATCTGGTGAAAAGGCAGATATAACATTAATGGAAGTCTACAGTTGTTTAAAAATATGGAAATTTGTTTCAAGTTGAATAACGTGAAAGAAACTGTCTAGAACATCTACCATCTAGTACTTCTTAAAGCTGGCTTCCTTGAGGTCCATAGTAAAAATACAGGTCCTCGGGCCACTATGAGGTCAGGAAATCTTGACTTGCCTTTGGGGGAATCACGGTACATAATCCCAGTCCAAAACTTACTGATTAAGAAGGAGGTCTATGAGTACTGGCTTGTCTACCATAAACAGTATAGTTTCACCACATCATAACACAATCTTTTAGGAGCGCTTTAAAATAAGTGTGGTATACTCCTGTATTTTCAGTGCAGCCTCATCAACTGTCAAATACTACTGATACACCCCTATTCAAATAGCACTGTTGGGGTGGGTGTTTGGCCTAGCACTTAAGACAACCATGTCCCATATTGGAGTACCTGAGTTCAATACCTGACTCTGGCTCCCAAATCCAGCCTAGGAGGCAGTGGTGATGGCTCCAGATTGTGTACCTACCACTTACTGGGGAAACCTGGATTGAGTTCCTGCTTCCTGGCTTCAGCCTGGCCAAGCTCTGGTCATTGTGGACATTTTGGGTGACCCAATAGATGGGAGCTCTCTGTCTCTCTCTTTCTCCCTCTCAAATAAATACATAAATACATAAGTAAATAGCTAATTCATACTATGTCTGCTAAGGTGAATACCATCAGTTAAGGAGGTTTGCATGCTTTGTGAGCCCTTAAAATGAGTTCTGAAAGACGATTTAGCTAGCCCAATAGTTTAAAAAAAATCCAAGGAAGCTTGAATGAATATTTTCTTTTTTCTCATTATAAATGTCCTTTGTGTAGCAGGTAATCACCTAGCTGATCAACCTCTAACCAATTCAATGCTAGTGCATTGCTATGTACTCGTCGAATATCAGATGTAGGGATTGCTTTTCAGGATGGTTTTTTTGTTTGAGACTTTGGGGTCAGTTACTGTCTCCTTGACTCACACTCTGGCCTTGTCAGGTTACACAGCTCCTGCGTCTTTTCGTCTGTGAAATGGAATCATGCTCACAACACCTGCCTCACAGAACAGTTATTGGGAGGTTGAAATCACCGCATGCATGCAAAGTACTGAGAACAACACCTGGCACACAGGAAAAACTGAAAAATTACAGCTGATCTATTTGTTGTTTGTTGTCATTGTTTATTCTTTCCTTGGCTCCATTTTTACTCTGATGTTTACAACACCCAGCATAATGTAGAAAGAAGAAAGAAGTTACAGAGAGGAGCCATTGTTCTTTTTTTTCTGTTTGCTGATGCAGGCTGAGTGCTTCTTGGCTTAACTTGTATGTATCAGATCCAGGGCTTTTAACTTTACACTTGTTTCTGAACTTCTTGCTTTTCTCTGTTGCTGCTTTCCCTAATCAAAGCCCGAAGGTGAGCCTGCTGAAGACATTAATGACCATATTCGAGAAACCAGTGACCCTGCTGGAGAAGCCAATGGATTTGAATGTGTAAAGAAGTTGAGAAATGAAGGCTAGATTTAATCATCTAGGGGATAAAGAATACAATATCCATATATAAGGATGGGCTATGCTGTAAAATTGTCCTAATTCGCATCTATAGAAAGTCATATTAAATGGCATTTTAGGACCATTCAACTCAGGGATTTCTACATCTCTGCATTCTCAGAGAAAAATCCAGGAAAAGCACAAAATGCAAATTTTGGGGTCTGACCCCTAAAAAGGCAACTTTGGTAAGAACAGCTCGAGGCCCAGGAGTCTGTATTTTTTGAAGTTCTCCTGGCTATTGTGAGGCAGTCAGGACTGGTGGTCCCTGGTCTGGTCTACTGCTCTGAGTGAATTATGAGGAGCCCCGAGAATCCCCAGGGCCTCCCAGTGGGGTTCTGAGCTCCTCATCCCTATTTAATGCTTGATCCTGGCTCTGTTCTGTTTTTTGAAACTTTGCTTTCTAATTTCCTTCCCGCACTGGTCTTCTGGGTAAGGTTTTCCTTTAGCAGAAAGACTGTGTCACCTCTGAATCACAGAGAACCAAGAGTAGAAACTACTGCTTCAGTTCTCTCCTCTGTTCTGGTTGGTTTGAGGAGAGAGGCTGGGCTCGGGCTGGTGCTAACGCGTCTTTAACAGCTCTTCATATTTAAGTTTCCCTTCTTAACAAAATGACCGCAGGCCTAGGCTCCACGCCACTGGGCAGTGATAGCTAGTTGGAATTACAAACGTGTTTTCTTATGCCTATTTTTTGTAGTATTTATAATGTTACAAAAATCCGAGATGGGAAGACTCCCTTTGTTCAAACAGGCACCAGAGACAGTGGAGGATTGAAGTAGTTTATTACACCAGTGGGCCCAGCTGGAATCATTTCCCGAGAACTGAGCGACAACCCCAAGTTTCTTACAATATTTATAGGTTCATCAGCATCACACCTTAGCTGTTACAGCATTGGTGGGCTTAAATTGCAGCCTGTGTGACTTAGGACCACACTTCCAGTGGTCAGTGGGCCTGGTATGTTGGTAAAAGAGGTACCAGGGGCAGATTTATTAGGACAGACTTATGCCTGGAGTAGAATTTAGGACGTCTTCCCTCCATAGACAAGATCACAGTGGGCAGTGCTTCACTAGTTAATTGCAAGCAGCCACTTTTCAAGGTCTGTGTTGGGAGTAGGGATCTGCTTTTCTTTCTTTGTCTCTGGTTGTGGCCGTATTTCTTCTACAATAGAAACTAAGGTTTTAGTATTGAGTACTTTCAGTTTGTAGTAGTTATAAGGTTTTCTTTTAAGTTCATATATGTAGGTAAAAATGATATCAAAATAATATCAAATAATAAGAGTACAGTTAGTACAGGCATATGTCAAAAACTAGGATGGTGATATTTGAGTGATTCAGGACAAGGAAAATGGGCAGGCATTTGGTACAGTGGTTAAGGCACTGCTTGGGATGCCCACATCCCATATCAGATTGCCTGGGTTCAAATCACAACTCTGCTTCCAAGTACAGCCTCCTGCTAATACACATCCTGGAAAGCAGTGATAAATGATGCAAGTATTTGAGTTCCTGTCACCCATATTGGAGACCCAGATTGAGTTCCTGGCTCCTGACTTCAACCTGGCTAAGCTCTGGCTGTGGCGGGCATCTGGGGAGTGAGGCAGTGGATGGAGGATGTCTCTCTCTTTCTCTGTCTCTCTGCCTTTCATATTAATTTAACTTAAATTTCAAAAGGTTGGGAAACAGGACTAGAGAGAAAAAGCAAAGGTAGGAAAGCAATGATTCTGTCTAATCCTTTTATATATATGTGTAGGACAGCTAGTATGAGGGGTCTTCAAAAAGTTCGTGGAAAGTGTATATTACAAAAAAAAAAAACAAACTATACATGGATTTCAGATTTTCTTGCACCAAAATAAACATCTCTTTTCTTTCTGTTTTACCCATTAACTTTCTGAAGTTCACTCCTATTCATTGAATACCTGCAATGCATCAGGCAACGTATCAGATCCTCTTTTGCATGTTTGTTTTTCCTCAAGCCTTATAACAATACTTGCAGAGAAATGTGGTTATTCCCATTTTATGCATGAGGCAGCCAGGATTCCAAGAGGCAGAAGTCACCTAAAATGACATCACTGAGTATCATAGCGGAATTTGGGGCCGAGAGTTCATTTCCATTGTATATTGTCATACCCCAAAAAATGATGGTGAATTTGTGCCCGCACAAAGGAACCTCCTCAATGTGTCATTCTGATATTTGGCCAGCAGTTTTACATATTTATAATGGAAAAGCCTAGCATCTGCCCAAGACTTGAATTTTAATCTTGTCATTTCACAAACCCAATCATGGGCTGTGCTGTTGTTTGTCAAATGGCACTAAACCAAAACTGAGAGCCCATTTTAATGAAAGCATGATCATGGTGCTTTTTAAAAATTAAATATATGCAACCGATCTAATCACCTAAATTTATGTCGCTTGCTGTTAAATTTGGCAAGGAATTTGGCTGGGAAAAAAGAGATAAATTCTATGATACAGGATTTTTCCCCTCTTCCCTTTTTAATGGAGGATATGGCAGCATTAATTAAACTGGGGAGTTTCATGGTCAGGTTTTACCTTCTGCAAAAATATTTTGTGAATCATAAATTTCTCCTGCATTGTTTGGTGCTGCTGGCCTGGAAGAGAGATTTGGCAGCCTGCTTTAGGACAGATGACACCAAGTGATTAGCACGCTGACTTCAGCTGCAGGCTGCCGGGTACTAAAAGAACATGCTAATGTCCTCCATTTTGACATGCCGGCTGGACTTTTTTTTTTTTTCCCAAGGAGGAGCTGGCGCTATTTATGATTCCATTTTTATCTTTTAAATGCCATGACAGATGGCAGAGTCTTCAGCCAACTCTATTGCCAGGAAATGCAGAAAGCTTGAAAGCACTGTGTTAATGGTGAGATCAGACCAGGCAGGCACCCCAGATAAATCCGAGAGTCATTCCCTAAATTTCATGAGAACGGTGGGTATCCCGCTGCATCTTTTCCCAGGGGAGTGTCATAAGGGAAATGAAACAAAACGGACCTTGGCACCACCAGCTGCTTCCCCAGCTCCGGCCCTGTTGGTTTAAATCTCGAGTATGTGTTTGGAGGACAGTTATTTTGGTGGGGGACATTTTGTAGATCACCTGGTTGACTTTGGAGAGACATGATCAGCACTGACCTGCTCCCCTTTATTCTGCTAGCTTCCTTTAGACTGGGCACCCAACCGTCATCCTTCCCTCTGTCTCTCTGAAGCCAGTTCCCTGCCTGGGAGGAGTCAGCGTGGTAACTCATGAATACAGTTAGCTTAGAAATGGCATCCTTTTCACCCCTGACTTATTAGCTTGAGGCCAGCGCTGACAGCTGCTGGGTGTCCCAGCTGGGCACACCGACCTCAGTAAACATATTTCTGGCTCTTCGGGGATGCCCAGCCTGCTGGCCCCTGTGCCATCTGTCTGACGGCGGCCTGGCCATTTCCACTGTGGCTGGGCTGGTCACCAGGCAGGGGGGAAGTGGAGGGGGCCGGCCTGGGTCACAAGGCATCTTCAGTGTCCTCACAGAGGTCATGCACTCACAGTGAACGTGGCTGTCCTGAGACTGAGCCGTGAGGACCTGCAAGGCATTTTTGGAGTTCAGTTGCCAGAGGAGAAAGTCGTCATCAGATATCCAAAGAGCCTGTCCCGCGGTCCACGGTGAACCTTGGTGCTCTGATGCCCGTCTCACTCTTCCTCTTTCCCCTTCCTTCTCCTTCTTTCTTTCTCTGCTGATATTTGACAGACTTTAGCTCCATGGATGATGCCAATATTTAATCTGTGTCCTTTAGTTTCCATGGCTGGTCTAAAATCTCCACAGGGGCACACTGAAGATCCCAGGGTTGTGGGAATCTGAGACTCTGGGCTTGTGAAACAGGGTGGATGGCAGGTGGGAAAGGCATTTCTGGAGGGGTCAAGCGGACAAAGGAGAACTCGGAGGTACTGAAAGGACACATCGCTTCCTCCTTATATTTCCTACAGGGAGATGTAGGATCTGGGTGGAAATAGGAAGAAGTAATAGCAGCACCACAGAGTGAAGGCTTTGCCTGAGAAGCAGAGCATAATCTTATAGCCCCAAATGCGTCTCACTCGGCATTTGGAACTGTTAGGGTGAGTAACTTGAGCAAAAAGTTGGAAGAATCCACAGATATTGTCTAGGTGTACTATATATTTTTTAAATTAAAAAACTCATTTCATAGCATCTCGTGATTTAGCAATGAAACTGCCTGTTTTGCTTAGACTACATTCATCATGGTTTGGCGTTACAAAAGGAAATCTGATTGATTTAGTTGCAGGAGATTGTGACATTTCTCAATCTACAAGTCTAAAGGAAGGTCGATACCTTATCCAGACTCTGAAAACAAAAACAAGTGATGCTGTGGGAGAAAAGCCAACCGATTACATGCTTTACAAGTCTAGGAGTTTAAGATGTCAAATTGACTGTGTCGTACTTCACTTAGCAATTTTACCTTTTTTGGACATAGCTTCCTCGTCCTATGCATCACATCCTACATTCCTTGTAGGAAGTCCTACTAACTAGATAATGAGAAAGCACTTATCACTTAGCCTCACCTTCGAAGCAAAATCTACACTCTGCCAGACTCAGCCCCTCTTTGTCTAACTGTTCTTCTCCCTGAGTCCTTGGCCTCTGACAGACTGGTTGACTCGCTGCACTCACAGGACCTGATTTCAAGGCCCTGGTGCCTTCAAGGTCAGTGCCGAAACCCTGCAGGACAAGACAAATTTCAGGGGGAATAAAGTGAACTTCTCAAATTTGCCAGAATGGTAAAAGAAATGTGAAAAAGCATGCAAAGAAAATTTTTATATAATTAAATGTTGTAGTCCACTAAAACATCATTTTTAGAGTTCCACATCAATGGAATATAATATTGTATGTTCTGTAAATATTTCTAGCAACTTTGGTACATGAGAGAAAACTGATTATACACAAGCCTGTGATTGTTTCTCAGTATATTTCTTGTGTGTATGGTAAATTTGTCAACTCCGTTTGTGAGTAGCAATGTTCTAATTCTTGGTAGTTTAAATGTGGCATTTTTTTGCATAATTTCATGGTACTCCTAATTCTTCTTAAACTATAAATCACATATTGAAATGTTTTATAAAGACCATTTAAGTCAGTATTATTGTGAGACTGACCTGGGTGCAGAGCTATCTCCTACCTGCCTTAATGTCTCCCACCAAGTTCTTCAACCTTTCTTTTCATCTGGGAAAGAACCCTTGTCTGGTACAGCTTTCATCTATCTTATAATGAGCAAGTGTGCAAGCACTAATGAGATCTGCAAAAAGTTCATGGGAAATGCATATTATGAAAACCTACACGTATATTTCCATTTTTCATGTGTGCTGAGACAAACTTGTAATTCCATTTTCCTACAAACTCTTTGAAATACCTTGGTATTTTGGAGTCGGATTGTACTTGCAATCATCTGATCCATCTTCTTTTATAGAAGAGTAAAAATAAGGCCCATAAAGAGGAGATGATTTAGGTACAGCTACATGGCTGAGTAGTGCGATTTGCCCTTAAGAAATTCACCATAAAAACATATGGATAGAGGGAATTAGCCAAATTTGTTCTATTCAGCACTTTATTGTGTTGCCCCCAATCATTAGTCATGCATGCTTAGCTTATTACATTCCAAACTGCAAAATGATAAATATATATAACGAGTTAGCTCTTCAAACTCAAATAATGCATCAAGTTGGATGTGAAATTCTTATTTGAGATAAGGAGCTATTCTCACTACTGATGACCCTGAGAAATGGCGCTGTCAGAATTTGCGTGCTCCATCCCGTGAGTACTCCGTTAATGTTGAGAAAATACTCTTGGGTAGAACGGTTAATTCACGTGTTAGCCATGACTGGCTTACTGATGGAAAGGCATCCTGAAGGACCTGCCCCTGGTTTTTCCTGTGAGTCACAGCACGACATACCGCTTAGTAAAGGTGTGTATTGTTATCGTTTCATTCCAGTGGATGGTGACACAAGAATCCATGCTGAAGGCTGCCTTGCCTCTCTTTGCCAGATTCATCGTCAGCAATGGACTGCAGACCAAGCACGGGGTGTTTCAGATCACACTGGAGGCTGTGGACAGAGCCCTGCCTGTGGTGACCAGGAATAAGGGGTTGAGACTGGCCCAAGGGGCAACGGGCCTGCTTTCCCCCGACCTCCTCCAGCTGGCCGACCCTGACACGCCTGTGGAGAACCTCACCTTCCTCCTGGCCCAGCTCCCACAGCATGGCCAGCTCTACCTGCAGGGCACCGTGCTCCTTCAACTCAATTTTACTCAGCAGGATGTGGATGGTGGCAATGTGGCCTATCAGCACTTGGGAGGGGACTCCCAGTCGGACTGCTTTACTTTCGTGGCCACAGATGGGACAAACCAAGGCTTTGTTGTGGATGGGAGAGTGTGGGAAGAACCTGTTTCATTTACCATTCAGGCAAGTATGACAAACACAATTCATGGGAGAGATGTGAAGAAAGTAACTGCGAGAACTATTTCCTTATTTCATTGAAATATGGATTGTACCTGTGCAGCATGCTAGGCACATGAATAGGAACCAAACAGTGTGGTCCCCATGTATGCACCAATGACAATTGGTGGCAGTACAGAAGGAAGCAAAAAATATCGGCTTTATCATCAGACACACCTAGGTTTGATTTGGCTTTGCCATTTATTAGCTATCTTTGAAATAACTTTGTCTTTTTTAATCTTCTGAATCTACTTGTCCTTGTTTGACAAACATGTCCGCTGTACTATGGCTGGAAATAAATAAGACAAGATATGCAAGGCACTAGCATTTTGCATGATATTCCAAGATAGCACTAACTATATGTATATGCTGTTATGAGGATCCTTACTGGTCCATGTCATCTGCTGGCATTGTAATGGGTTTTGAATGAAACATGAAAACACAAGGCAGCAAGCACCAATACTACACATGTAGCAATGGTGAGGATAATAATAGCAGCTGTTACAATTATTTTAATATTTGTAGATTGGATCCACTTTATATCTCATTCAATTCTCATAAAAATCCTATTAAGTAAATTTTGTTACCTATATTTTATAGGTGAGGGAACAACATTTTAAGAAGTAAATAATTTGATCAAAATAAACAAAGAGCCCTGAAGGCTTTCTGATCCCCAATTCTGTGTCTTTCTTATGGCACTGAACTGCCACACGTGCTGACTCTTATACTGATTCTTGGCAGGCATTGTGTGGTTTTCTCTTTTTAGTCAAAACACACCAAATATATTCTGGTGCTTGGTTGCCTGAACCCACTCTCATTGGATGTAGTCCACTCCTGTTCTACACATTTCCACCCACAGCAAAGAAGACATAAATTTGTGTCAGGATACTTTCTGATTAGCAAAAAAATCTTATTTCCCCCTTGCTCTTTAGTTACTGTATTAGCCAGAGAAACAGAACTACTAATATGAGTGCTTGTGTATAAAATTACATCTTTATATGTCAGAGATATATGTATATATGCAAAATACACATGTGTGATATATATATATGTGATACAGAGCATATATATATATATATATATATGATGCAGTACATAGATAGATAAATAAAGGATTTAAGGAATGAGCTCTGTAATTATGGGGCCAGCTGGCAGGCTAGAAATCCCTAGGAGTTGATGCTGCAGTCTTGAGTCCAATGGCAGTCTTCAGGCAAAGGTCTTTCCTCTTTGGGTGACCTCAGTCTTTTCTCTTAAGGTCTGCAACTGATTGGATGAGACCCACCTACAGTATAGAGGGCAATCTGCGTTGTCTGAAGTCTACTGATTTAAGCATTAATCACACCTCAAACATACTTTTACAGCAAACAGCTAGCCCAAGGTTTAGTTAAACAACTAGGCACCATAGTGTAGCAAAGCTGACACCTAAAACTAACCTTGAGTCTCAGTCGATCAAGGGTGGGAATCCTGATAGCAGGTGCTGCATGAGTGTTTGGCACTAGGGAGATCCAGAAAACGCCATGGAATTATGCCACAGGGAGAAGAGAAGGCACTGGGGGGTAGTGACACATCATGTAAGGAGCACATCACACATGTTCAGGCTGTTGTTATTGTATGCCTTAATTAGTCTCATCCCACTCTATGGTCTATCCTAACTCCCCATCCTGGGTTGAAAAATGGCCCTGTACTATCCAAGAAGAATAATTTTTCTGTATTGATTCAGCTGAAAATTTATAAAAGTTATAAATTCTTGTTTTTAATTTTAAAAACATTTTTATTGATTTTCATTTTATTGGAAAAGCAGAGACAGAGATCTTCCATCTACCGATTCACTCCTCAGGTCCCCATAACCCCAGGGCTGGGGGCCAGGCTGAAGCCAAGAGCCAGAGCCAGTAACTCACTCTGGGTCTGACATGGGTGACAGGGACCCAGATGCTTGAGTGTCATGTGCTGCCTCCCAAGGTGTTCAGACACAGAAAGCTAGATCAGAAGCAGCGTAGTGAGGACTTGAACCAGCACTCCAATATGGGATGTGGGCAACCCAAACATCAACTTCATCACCACGTCAAGTGCCCACTCCCATTATCTGTTCTGAGTGCAGCCGTAAGAGTTCCTTCGGGCACCCCAGAGCAGGGAGTAGAGTTCGGAGAGAGTCCCAGTTCATAAATCACGTCTCTCCCCGCACCAGCACATCTTCAAGAGTGTTGTCTACTATCTCCTGGGAGCCGTGGAATTTACTGAGACAGAAGTGGTGGATACATGTCCTTTTTCATCAAAAGAACCAGGTTTTCCTGGCAAAACAATGATTATGTGTCAACACCTGACAAGGAAAACCTCAAACTTTCTCCCATAACTTGGGAATCCTGTGGTCTCTGAGTAAAGAGACTTAGGAAGTGACCGACCCCGCCCGTGGTCAGGAGGGGCAGCACCCTCGGTCTCCCACCTTCTCTGCAAGAACAGTCCGACACTGACCAGCGTGGAGTGATGATTGACCCAAATAATTTTACGGAGCATGGATGAACTAACTTTTACAGTGACAGCTAGAAAACTGAGGGTAAAACTACTTAGATCTAACAGGGGCAAAACACAGTCCTGCTTAATGGACAGCAGCAGGCACAACTTGGCATTCATATTGTGGGGATTAGGTCTGACCAGGTTCACTGTGACGATGTAGCCTGTAGGCCTCCTCTAGACAGGAAGAGGCTGGCTGGAGTGTGGGAGAAAGGACCCACACCTTTGCTGTCTATGGTCCTGGCAAATGCGACTTGATTTTCAGGAAACACAGCATAAATTATCAGAAGTTGCAGCTTTCTTGTTTTCTTTTTAAATCTTGTACTCTGATATTTAAAAATGTTTCTATTATACCAAGACGGAAAACCTGCTTTTGAAGACTTCCTAGAAGTTTAATAAGATTAAGACTGGGGCAGGCATTTGGTGCAGTTGTTAAACCAAAGATAACTCCCTCATTTGGGGAGTGAACCAGCAGATGGAAGGTTGATATCCTTCCCTTCTCTGCCCGCTTCTCTCTACCTTTCAAATAAAATGAGGATAGAGAACTTTAAAAAAGGAGCTGTCCTTTTTCCCCACCCACAAACTGAACAATGTTGTGCAAATGCTCCCAGAATCTTTTCCATATGTACACAAACATATATATAGGGGTGTGTGTGTGTGTGTATCTCTATTATGGCCATCTATTCAGCAACATATTTTTCAATCAATATAAAATCTTGAAAATTGTCGTCAATTCATCTTACCCCTTATTCTTTATAATAGCTACACTATAGTTTATTATATCACAATAACAAAAACTATTTTTATCATAACTGAAAATACTTTGCTGGGATGAACATTTTGGGGTAAATGAAGGTAAGAACACAGTGATCAGGGGTTAGGGGAATGAAAAGTGCCTGTTTTCCAGTGCAGGTGGTGAATTTATGCTCATCCACCCAAACCTCTCCCTGCAGCCTACAATAGTCATTTGCAGGCTGCGCTGAGCTCCACACACTCCACCAGACCTCAGGCCAGGCCTTTGTAGTGTTTGTTCCTGCTCCCACCTGCTGTGGCCTGTCCACCATTGTCACAAGTCTAGCCTACCTGTTTATATATTTGTTCCTCAGCCTCAATGAGACAAACATGCAAATGTCTGAAAACAGTCACCTTTTGTTTTTTTCTTACTGGGGTGTTCCTATTTTTATTCAGCATTTTTGCCATTTTTAAAAAAAATATTTATTTGAAAGTCAGAGTTATACACAGAGGAGAGGCGGGGGGAGGGAGGGGGGTTCCATCCAATGGTTCACTCCCCAATTGGTCACAACAGCCAGAGCTGCACTGATCAAAGCCAGGAGCTGCTTCTGGGTCTCCCATGTGGATACAGGAGCCTAACGACTTAGGCCATGTTCCAGTGCTTTCCCAGGCCATACCAGAGAGCTGAATCGGAAGTGTAGCAGCCAGGACTTGAACCAGCACCCATATGGGATGCCAGCACTGCAGGCGGCAGCTTTGCCCACTACATCACAGCTCCGGCCCCAAGCATTTTTGCCATTTAAACAAAGATCTGCCCCTAAATTCCATGTATTGGTAAAACCATTTCAATTTTATTTCTGTCCATCACCAAGCTCTGTGAAAATTAGGAAATCCTTCTGAAGAGCTAACATTAAGTTTGCAATGCAATTCTCAGGTTAGTTTGAATATATGAAGTATTCCCTGGGCTGCTTCTTGGGTTCAGGCACTGTGGCAGGTGCAAGGAGATAATCAGGGAGAGAAAAAAGCATGGTATCTGTGCTCATGGAGCTTGTATCCTAAGTGGAGTCAGAGAAATAGACAATTAAATTGGATCAAGATTCCAGGCAGTGTGAGATTTGCTGAGGATATTGTGAATAAGATAACGTTTAGCGGAAATTAACCAAAGAGAATGTAAGGAATCTGAAACTTGATAGAGTTTGTCACTGTTGAGCCAGTAGAGACTTGCGCTGCCTGCTGAGGGTGAGAAGTTTTTGGATAACCCCAGATGTAATGACTGATGCTCCAGGTGGACCCTTTGGACAGAACAGCCCCCCGGCTCACGCTCTTGCAATGTGCTTCTCAAGTGGAGCTCCTGAAAAATGGCTGCTATGGCATTTACCTCACTTCCCGCGTCCTGAAGGCCTCGGACCCTGACACGGAGGATGAGCGGATCATCTTTAAGATTTTACGAGGCCCACAACATGGACATCTGGAGAATGTGACAACAGGTACTGGCTGCCTTAATCCTTGCCATTGCTCATTGTAAAATACCCAGTGGTGAGCAGGGCTGGAGAGTAATTTCATTAAGTGCAAGCCCATTTGGTAAACACTCCCTAGGGCTTCCTGGCCTATGCTGTTTATAAATCAGTATTGGTGTTAAAGAGGGTTTGAAGCCGAGTTTTCCTAAATTCGGCCTGACTGAAAGAGCTGAATTCCGATTGTTTACAGTTGTTTTCAATGGCCATTTGATAAGGCAACCGCAGGGACACGGTGAGTCAGGACACAGTTCGTATTTGTGACTCACTCTTTCTTCCATCATGGATTCTAAATGATATGAAGTCAGTTTCTTTTTCAAATTTTAGTGTTTCCTAATGTTTTTTCTGGGTTGTAAATGATTTCTGCTTTATGAAGAGAGTGATCGCAATATATCACTGGACAAGATGGCACCAAATTATAAAGTTTTATTACCATATCTTTCTATTTCTCTTCCCTTTATATTTTCTTTAAGGCAGATATCTCAGAAGCAAAGTAAATTTAAAGCCTAATTTAAGTTTGTTGCATTTGAATTTTAATATAGTTGCAGTATTGCTAATTTCTTTTATAAGAGATACTTTTTCTGTTCTTTAAATCTGTTTAAAATAATAAAGTAGCTATATAATTTTATCAGCTCTTATTTAATATGTTGATTATCGTGAGCTTCATGTATTTCTTTTATAGGTGAATTTATTCATGAACAATTTAGCCAAAGGGACCTACGCAGAAAGACCATCCTTTACATCATAAGCCCATCTTTGAAGGAAGTGACTTCAGACCTGGTGGAGTTTCAAATCATGGACCCCAGTGGGAACTCTGCCACTCCTCAAATGTAAGCTTTTTTGCTTATTCAGTAGTCCTGTCTATAACCTGCAGAATGTATCTAAGGAAAATGAAATGTTCTTTTTCAAAAAAACTAAGAAGACAAATTGAAACAGCATTTCAAATATCACAGAATTTAGTTTAGAGAGGGACTGCTTAAGGATAGAAAGCCGGTAGCTTTACAGAGAGTGGAAATGTTAGAAAGTTAGGCGGGGTGGTGCTGGGAAACTCACACCATGCATGTAGACGCGGACTCTGTCACTCTCACACCCAAAGAGGCTCCTGGCTTGACCCTTCCCCGGGCATCCGGGACTGGGCTGGCGTGCTCTTGTACAAACCAGGCAGCGAGAAGTCACTGTAGCTCCAGGTGAGCAACAGAATCTTCTAAGCTACCTGGGGTCAGGAAGAGTGAGGCCGTGGGGAAGGTTAGCCCACCATCTCTCCTTCCCAGACAGCAACAAGGTATCAAAGGCTGTAACTTACAGGTTAGCAAACCTATCACAGTGAGAATGAAGCCAGCAGAAAGGGAAAATACACCTAGTGACACTTGCAGGGCGCAGGAAGTGATGGCCCTCTGAATCCTCTAGTTTAGTAAGGTTAATAGACCGTGGTGGCTTCCCCGACTGGGGCGCCTTTCTAGGCTTTCATGCTGCTGACCTCAAGGAACCCACCACCTGGTGGGCGGTCACAGGAAGGCCAATTCATTCTCCTTGGGCTGCGTGTTTTCTTGTCCCTTCCTTTTATTTAATGCCCTTCCCTGGAACCTCAAAGAAAAGCTGTCCATTTGCCCATGTCTTACTATTCACCATATCCTAGTCACTCTAAATGCCATAAGTGAGTACAACCCTGTTGTGGTCCTTTTAAGGTGGGATGTTGATAAAGGAAGAAAAGAAAGCTGAGAAACCTCTTTGTACTCCTCCCTTTTTCTTTCCGATCCTCAATTGTAGTTCCAACCCTCACCAGCAGAGGTCTCTGTTGTCATTTTTACCAAAAAGCTGGCATCCTCTAAAAACATCCCCAGTATTCTATCTTCATAGTCCTGACACCGTGTAGTACCTGGTCCAGATGTATTAACCCCACAGATTTTTATTAAATGGCTTCTATATGCCAGGAACACCACGTTAGGAGTTGGGAAATAGGCAACGAAAACCTGGCCCCTGGCATTAATATATAATCCTGAGGTTATAAAATTAAACAGATGACCCCACCTCATACACTGCCTTTGCCTAAGATTAGTGATTCCTTAGAATCACAATTGTTACAGGAAATGTATCAACTACTTTCGGTATCAGACAACTTCCAATTCTCAAGAAAATATAAAAACAAAAACCTTCCTGTCCCCAAAACGTTAATAAATTGACTCTACTTGGTTCTCTTTTTTTTTTTTTTTTTTTTTTGACAGGCAGAGTGGACAGTGAGAGAGAGAAAGACAGAAAGAAAGATCTTCCTTTTGCCGTTGGTTCACCCTCCAATGGCCGGTGTGGCCGGCGCATCGCACTGATCCGAAGCCAGGAGCCAGATGCTTTTCCTGGTCTCCCATGGGGTGCAGGGCCCAAGCACTTGGGCCATCCTCCACTGCACTCCCAGGCCACAGCAGAGAGCTAGCCTGGAAGAGGGGCAACCGGGACAGAATCTGGCGCCCCGACCGGGACTAGAACCTGGTGTGCCGGCGCCGCAAGGCAGAGGATTAGCCTATTGAGCCGCGGCGCCAGCTCTACTTGGTTCTTTAACAAGCTATATTTCAACCACAAAACAGAATACTGAAGAGGTTTGCTGTTGACCTATGATTGGCCTCTGGTCCTCCACACGTGAGCACAGTGTAGCTGACCGATGGTGCTGCATGGACACTGCTTCACCCATGTACCCTTTTCCTGTTTTTGAAGATGCTTTATGTTTTTAAATAACCCTGAGAGTCCTTTGAGGATCACAGCAGAATTTACTTATTGTAATTATAACTGCTAGTGAGGATTTCAACCAGGCTCCTGTTTGGGTTGGATATCAGTTTTCATATACCCATTCCGGAGCTATTTCTACTTCAACTTGAAACTATTGGAACTAAATGCTGTAACATATGCCCCCCAACAGGGGGGAATGCAAAAATATCTTTGATTTTTCTCTGACAGAAATTAGGTTATTTTCTTCAGAGCAGGCAGGGCGAGGTAGAAATTACTCAGTATTTATCTTCACAACTTGGGGGTGGTAGAGTTGTCCCCAACCTTATTTGTAAATAAATATCTTCCAGAACGAGGAGCACATTTTTCCAGTGAGAAGCAATGTTGTGAATACCGGATTGTCTTCCCAAGACAGCCAGCAAGTGCCTAGTTACAAGTACAATATAAAACCTGTATTTGCAATGTGGTAACTTTTTTGGTCTTGTAATCACCACAACCAAGTGGGAGTTAGTTACCATCGTGACCCTGAATGGGTGATGACGAAACTGACACATGGAGTTAAGAAGTGGCTTTTCTCCCAAGGCTGTGCAGGTGCTAGGTGCTGGGCTTCGGGTCAGGGGTGCAGCTTTGGAGTCCCTGGCTTTCCTCACTGCACTGAAAAGCTTGCTGCCCATTCTGAATGACTCTGCTAACCTGGCCTGAAGGGAGGGAAGGGGCAGCAAGTTTCCCTCCCATCTTTCTCTCCAGATGTGGGCCAGCCAGGCAGCCAAAAAGAAGGAATACGTACTGCTTGGGAACCGTATTGCTCAGTGGGTTTTTACAATGTTAGTTATAGGTGTCAGTATTGATGTGCCTTCTACATCGATCACATTGGGAATTGGTAGAATACAGGGGCAGCGTTGTGCTGCAGTGGGTTAAGCTGCCACTTGGGACAACAGCATATCATATAAGAACGCCAGTTCAAGTCCTGGCTGCTCTGCTTCTGATCCATTTTCCTGTTAAGATCCCTGGGAAGGCAGCAGATGATGACCCTTGTACTTGGGTTCCTGCCAACCATGTGGGATACCCAGATGGAGTTCAAGGTTCCTGGCTTCAGCCTGGACCAGCCCAGGCTGTTCTGGGCATTTGGGTAATCTACCAGCAGATGGAAGATCTCTCTGCCTCTCCCTTTCTCTCAGTCACTCTGCCTTTCAGACAAATACATTTTAAAAATACATATTAATAATAAACCATTAAACTTGAAACTAAAAGATGCCATTTGAGCTTTATCTCTGCCATTCACATAGTGATTATCTAAGCCTTAGAGACCCTATCTGCAAAAAGGGTGCAATATTACAATTTGTTTAGAAAAACAAAGACAATCAAAAACGTGAAAGCATCCCATGTGTCCTGTAAATACCTCGGATGCCATCTGTGACAACCACTGGTGTCACTAATTCCTGTGGATACGATGAACTGCGAGAGAAGTGTCCTGGAAACCTTTGGTGGACTAGAAAACCTACTTTAGGCCGGTGCCGCGGCTCAGTAGGCTAATCCTCTGCCTGCGGCACTGGCACCCCGGGTTCTAGTCCCAGTTGGGGCCCCGGAGTCTGTCCTGGTTGCTCCTCTTCCAGTCCAACTCTCTACTGTGGCCCAGGAAGGCAGTGGAGGATGGCCCAAGTGCTTGGGCCCTGCACCTGCAAGGGAGACCAGCAGGAAGCTCCTGGCTCCTGGCTTTGGATTGGCGCAGACCTTTCTCTCTGTCCCCCTCTCTCTCACTGTCTAACTCTGCCTGTCAAAAAAAAAAAAAAAAAGGCCTACTTTAAATTAGAAGTTGCTTCTGAGATGATTCACAAAGCGAACACTCGATGTGCGTATGAACCAACATGCTCAGTGCTGCGGAACACTGGCTTAGAATTACTAGAATCATTATGAATACACGCAGGGTAAAAGCCTTCTTAGGAGCAGCCATTTGGTTGAGACACTGACTTGGACACACACATCCCACGTCAGAGAGCCTGAGTTCAAATCCCATCTCTACTTCCCATCCAGCTTCCAGCTAATGTGTACCCTGGGAGGCAGCAGGTGATGGCTCAGGCAGTTGGCTTCTTGCCTTGCACATGGGAGACTGGGGGTGAGTTCTATGCTCCTGGCTCCAGCCTGACCCAGCCCTGTCTGCTGCAGGCAGTTTGTCTCTCCCTCTGCCTTTCAAATAAATAATATTTTTTTAAAAAATTTACCAAACTGTTTGAAAAACAAAAAACCCTTTTGTAATGAAGCTAAAGGGACTAGTGGTGCAATCTGGAGCCAAAGGGGGCCTGTGTTCAGTGGGAATGTCCCAGAATCTAGATTGCCAAGAAGTTTTATTTATGGCAGTCTTTCTGTGTCGTGTCGGAGGATTTTCCATTTTAAAAAGTGTTAGAAATATTGGTCTCTTTTTTTTTAAGATTTTATTTATTTGAGAGGTAGAGTTACAGACAGTGAGAAGAAGAGACAGAGAGAAAGGTCTTCCTTCAGTTGGTTCACTCCCCAAATGGCCAGGTCTCCCACACGAGTGCAGGGAGCAAGGACTTGGGACATCCTCCACTGCTTTCCCAGGCCACGGCAGAGAGCTGGATTGGAAGAGGAACAGCCAAGACTAGAACCAGTGCCCATATGGGATGCTGGTGCTGTAGGCAGAGGATTAACCCACTGCGCTACAGTGCCGGCCCCAGAAATGATGTTCTTTAGGTAAGAATAATCAAATTTGTACCAGCTAACATTATGTGGGTTTTTTGGGGGTGGGGGAAGATGTATTTATTTGAAAGGAAAAGTGATAAAGGAAAAGAGAAGTCTTCCATCCTCAGGTTCACTGCCCAAATGACAGCAATGTCTGGGGCTGGTCCAGATTGAAGCCAAGAACCTGGAACTCCATCCAGGTCTCTCACATGGGTGGAAGGGGCCCAAGTATTTGGGTCGCCTTCTTCTGCTTTCCCAGGCACATTAGCAGCGAGCTGGATCAAAAAGTGGAGCAGGTGGGACTTGAACTGGCACTCCAATAAGGGATGCTGAAGTTGCAAGTGGCGGCTTAACCTGCTGCAGCACAGCTCTGGCTCCTAGCATGCTTGTTTAACTGCATCCCATCCCAGAATCTGAGATG